TGCCACTATGACTTCCCTTCACCTTCTGTTGACGTATCTTGGTGTGAGACCAAGTCGCTGGACTGGACTGCTTCAGTGCTCACCTGTTCACACATACGTTCACCCTTTTCCACTCAGGTGTGGTTGCTGGGCGTCAGATTCTGGTAAGGAGCACAGTCGATTCCCCTTGCCTGAATCCTGGCCCTCTTCCCCTGTGTGACAGCAGATTCTGGAAGCGAGCGGGTTAACAAGCCATGTGGAGACAAAACACAAAAGCGCCCATTCAGTCCACGCAGCTGCCCAAACTTGGCCCAGCCGCTGCATCCATCAGAGGCAAACAGATTCTGATCTCAGCTAGAATAAACTCGCTGGAGGGACGAAGGCACAGCTCTGAGCAGGCAGCGGCAGAAGGGAGAGGGTGGGCTTTCGTCGTACCACCAAGCAGCTTGAAACGAAGGGTTGGAGGAAATTGTGGACACAAGATGGTGGGATTTCAGAGCTTGGGGGTCCCTTAGCCCAAAATCTCCGCTGAATGCAGAAACCTGGCAGCGGGGTGAACTAAGCAACCCTCTTGGTCTCTTCCAACTCTGCAATTTTTTTGTTCTATGATTAAGGCCGGGGTAGGGAAGCGGGTGGCGCTGTGGGTTAAACCTCTGAGTCTCTTGGGCTTGCGGATCAGAAGGCCGGTGGTTCAAATCCCCGCGACAGGTTCCGTCGCTCGGTCCCTGCTCCTGCCAAACTAGCAGTTCGAAAACACACCAGTGCAAGTAGATAAATAGGTACCGCTCCAGCGGGAAGGTAAACGGTGTTTCAGTGCACTGCTCTGGTTCGCCAGAAGCGGCTTAGTCATGCTGGCCACATGACCCGGAAGCTGTACGCCGGCTCCCTCGGCCAACAAAGTGAGATGAGCGCCGCAACCCCAGAGTCAGCCACGACTGGACCTAATGGTCAGGGGTCCCTTTACCTTTACCTTTAGGCAACCTAAGGCCCATGGGCCGGATGTGGCCCAATTGCCGTCTCAATCCGGTCCATGGATGCTCCGGGAATCAGTGTGTTTTTACATGAGTAGAATGTGTCCTTTTTTAAAAAATGCATCTCTGGGTTATTTGTGGGGCATAGGAATTTGTTCATTTCCCCCTCAAAATATAGTCCGGCCCCCCACAGGGTCTGAGGGACAGTGGACCGGCCCATGGCTGAAAAAGGTTGCTGACCCCTGGATTAAGGATTTGGGTTTTTTTAAGAGGAATGGCTCGGTTGATAGAGTAAGAATCTCTTCATACCAGGGTTGTGGGTTTGAACCCCACTTTGGTGAAAAATTCCTGCGTTGCAGTGGGTTGGACTAGATGATCCTCGGGATCCCATCTAGAAATCTGAGATTCCATGTCGTGAATGTGTGGAATCAGCTGCCACATGATGCGGTGGTGGCATTAGTGTGTAAAGGGTTTCAGCATGCAGAGAAAAATGGCCAAGATAGGGTTAAGTCAGGTACGCCGGTTAATTTGTTGTGTACCTGCAACTGCTTAAGCCTGTGAGAGTGAGTCAGCACAATCTAAATCAGGGGTCAGCAAATTTTTTCAGCAGGGGGCCGGTCCACTATCCCTCAGACCTTGTGGGGGGCCGGACTATATTTTGGGAAAGAAATAATGAACAAATTCCTATGCCCCACAAATAACCCAGAGGTGCATTTTAAATAAAAGGACACATTCTACTCATGTAAAAACACGCTGATTCCCGGACCGTCCGCGGGCCGGATTGAGAAGGCGATTGGGCCAGATCCTGCCCCCGGGCCTTAGTTTGCCTACCCATGCCTTAGATAGCTCCTTTTTAAAAAAACAAACAATCGTAACGGCGTCCAGTATATTCTAAATATTATTTTTTGTTGTATGAGGGTTTGGGCCTCTTTCCTACGGTTTCCTCTTTTCTCCGTAGCCACAGGTCTCAGGTCATTGCGAAGTTTCTGTGTCCACTTTTGGGTCTCGTTTTAGCTCTGTCCCTTTCAGATTTCAACATAGTGTTTCCCAACCAGATGATGCAACCAAACCACACAGCCGTTGGGGGGCATTTGTGAGAAGCCTCTTGTTCCTTCCCTTCCTCTTCAACTTCCCATTGGTGGAGAACCTTTCAGGGACCGGAGACCTCCTTGCGCCAATCCCTTGCTCCCACGATAAGGCAAAAGTCGAACAGATCCACTGTGGAAGGGATAGTTTGCTGGGCGAAAGCGACGAGTTGCAGGTAAGGGTCCCTCAAGCTTTCCATTCCCTGTCCTTCATCCTGAAGCAAACTCCCCAGGCTCATCTCAGCTTCCGATAATCTGAATTGTGGAGCGTTCAGAATGGGGAGAGCTTCAAAGCGAAGCTGCGAATGTGGGAAGAGGGAGGAACGACAACTACAGTGGTACCTCAGGTTACATACGCTTCAGGTTACAGACTCCGCCAACCCAGAAATAGTACCTCGGGTTAAGAACTTTGCTTCAGGGTGAGAACAGAAATTGTGCGGCGGCAGCAGGAGGCCCCATTAGCTAAAGTGGTGCTTCAGGTTAAGAACAGTTTCAGGTTAAGAACGGACCTCCAGAACGAATTAAGTACTTAACCTGAGGTACCACTGTATGTGCAATAGATTTGAAGGGTCTTGAGATATTCTGCCTTTCTGCGACTGCAAAATGCAGAACAGTGGTACCTCGGGATAATAACTTAATTCGTTCTGGAGGTCCGTTCTTAACCTGAAACTGTTCTTAACCTGAGGTACCACTTTAGCTAATGGGGCCTCCCGCTGCTGCCACGCCGCCAGAGCATGATTTCTGTTCTCATCCTGAAGCAAAGTTCTTAACCCAAGGTATTATTTCTGGGTTAGCGGAGTCTGTAACCTGAAGCGTCTCTAACCTGAAGCGTCTGTAACCCGAGGTACCACTGTACTTCTTGTTGTTATCCCAAGTTTCTGGTTTTTAAGGTTTTCCGGGGTGCGGGTGTACGAGTGTCTTTCCCAACCTGGTGCCCACCAGATGTTTTTGACTGCAGTGGGGCATGTTGTAGTTGTAGTAGGACTGAACCCTCTGGGCCAGAGTTTCCCAAACTTGGGTCCCCCCAGATGTTTTTAGACTACAACTCCCATCATCCCTTGCTAGCAGGTCAGGGATGATGGGCATTGTAGTCCAACGGAGACCTAATTAGACTGGAGCCCTAAGTTTAGGAACCGCTGCTCAGACTGTACGTGTGAGGTTCCTTCAGCCAGTCCCACTCAGAGGGGATACATCATGCCTCCTAGATCAAGCACAATTGTGGACTTCCTTTTAATCAGTGGTACCTCGGGTTACAGGTACGCGGGTGGCGCTGTGGGTTAAACCACAGAGCCTAGGACTTGCCAATCAGAAGGTCGGTGGTTCGTATTCCTGTGACAGGGTGAGTTCCCATTGCTCGGTCCCTGCTCCTGCCCACCTAGCAGTTCAAAAGCACATCAAAGTGCAAGTAGATAAATAGGTACCACTCTGGTGGGAAGGTAAACGGCGTTTCCGTGCGCTGCTCTGGTTCGCCAGAAGCGGCTTAGTCCTGCTGGCCACATGACCCAGAAGTTGTACGCCGGCTCCCTCGGCCAATAAAGCGAGATGAGCGCCGCAACCCCAGAGTCGGCCACGACTGGACCTCGTGGTCAGGGGTCCCTTTACCTTTACCTTACCTTGGGTTACAGAAGCTTCACGTTACAGACTCCACTAACCCAGAAATAGTACCTCGGGTTAAGAACTTTGCTTCAGGATGAGGACAGAAATCGCGTGGCGGCGGCAGGAGGCCCCATTAGCTAAAGTGGTACCTCTTGTTAAGAACGGTTTCAGGTTAAGAACAAACCTCCAGAACGAATTAAGTTCTTAACCCGAGGTACCACTGAGCTGAGTCCTAATCCTGAATACTGAGATCTTCTACCGAGTCAACCATTGGGTCTCTCTACCACAGTATTGTCTACCATGGCAGACTCTCCTGTTTCCCCAGGCCTGCCTGGGATTGAACCTGCAACCTTCTTCCTGCATTGCTGTGGGCTGGACTAGATGACCACTGAGGGACCCCTTCCAACTCTGCCATTCTAGGATTCTAGGATTCATGCAAGGCATGCGGTCTACCCCCGAGCCAATCAATAGAAATTGGCGGACAAGGTTTCCAAAGTTTATTGGCGCTCCGGACAAGCTCCTGCCATCCCCGCCCACTCGCCTCCGGTCAACAAAGACAGAATAAATTAAGAGATAACTAGAGATATGATGCAAAAGCACTCAGTTGGCACAAGTCCTCCGAGCCGGAGAATTTGCAATCGCCTGGCCACAGAACGTTCCAGAATTGCACAAGTGGGAGGGAGCAGTGGCAGAGAAGGAGGAAGGGCCTTTTTTAGAAAGAAGAAGAGGGAAGAAGTTCATTTGCCAGCCAGCCAGCCAGTCCCTTCTCTAGAGAGCTCCATTCCATCCTCACACACACCCTGTGCCACATTCTGTTCCCGCACCCACAATTCAGTATTCTGCGGTCACTACTACTATGATCACTGTGACTTGTGGCCAATGCAAATATCATGGGATATATCCTGGGAACTGTAGCTTACCCCTTGAAGAACTACAATTCCCAGCACCCTTAACAAATGAGACTCAAACAGTCCTTTTTTGGGGGGGAGTCATGTGTTTTAAATGTACAATGTGGACAGGGGTCAGCAAACGTTTTCAGCAGGGGGCCGGTCCACTGTCCCTCAGACCTTGTGGGGGGCCGGACTATGTTTTGAAAGGGGGAAAAAATGAACGAATTCCTATGCCCCACAAATAACCCAGAGATGCATTTTAAATAAAAGGACACATTCTACTCATGTAAAAACACGCTGAATCCCAGATTGTCCACGGGCTGGATTTGGAAGGCAATTGGGCCGGATCCGGCCCCCGGGCCTTAGGTTGCCTACCCATAATGTGGATGTTGCTGTCTGTCTTGATATGTTTATCATTCTAGAATTGCAGAGATGGAAGGAACCGCCAGGGTCCAACCCCCTGCAATACAGGAATCTTTTGCCCAACACGGGGCTCGAACCCACAACCCTGAGATTATGAGTCTCATCCACTTTACCAGGAGCTAGCTCTGCCCAAATGATAAGTTTTGCTTTCTCAAGCTGGGCAGGAGACCATGCAGGTATTTACAGGGATGCAAATGAATGAATGGGACGCGGGTGGCGCTGTGGGTTAAACCACAGAGCCTAGGACTTGCCGATCAGAAGGTCGGCGGTTCGAATCCCCGTGACGGGGTGAGCTCCCATTGCTCGGTCCCTGCTCCTGCCCACCTAGCAGTTCAAAAGCACATCAAAATGCAAGTAGATAAATAGGTACCGCTCCGGCGGGAAGGTAAACGGCGTTTCCGTGCGCTGCTCTGGTTCGCCAGAAGCGGCTTAGTCCTGCTGGCCACATGACTCGGAAGCTGTACACCGGCTCCCTCGGCCAATAAAGCGTGATGAGCGCCGCAACCCCAGAGCCAGTCACGACTGGACCTAATGGACCTTTAAATGAATGAATGGAATATTTATTGCTAAAAGCTATAAGCCGTCACAACTGGTCACAATGGATAGAATACAAATAATTGATTTAAAACCGAACAACAACCGCAAAGCAAACATACAAAAATGCAAAAATCACACCTGCATAAGTTAAGAGCTCCACATCTCACTCTCCCCCTTATGATACAGTGCTACCTTGGTTCTCAAATGCCTTGGCACTCAAACAACTTGGAACTCAAAGACTGCAAACCTGGAAGTAAGTGTGTGAACTTTTTTCCGAACGTGCTCCGTTTTGAGTGTTACACTGAGATCTGTCTGTTTTTGCTATTTATTTTGTATTTTTGTTGTTTTTGTGACTGTGTGAAACCCAGTTCAGCTACTGATTGATTGATTGTGTGACCGCAGTACATTGTTTATTGCTTTCATTTTATGGATCGGTGGTCTCGCTAGATAGTAAAACCCATGTTCAATTGCTGTTTTAGGGGTTGTTTTTAAAAGTCTGGAACGGATTAATCCGTTTTGCATGACTTTCTATGGAAAAGCACGCCTTGGTTTTGGAACGCTTTGGTTTTGGAACGGACATCCTGAACAGATTACGTTTGAGAACCAAGGTACCACTGTACTTGTCTTGGTGCGTAGCTCTCAACTTACTTGCAGCCAAGGCAAATTTTCAGAGATGTAAATAAACTCACTCTCTCTCCCATCCATACAGAGTCGCATGATGGATTCCTCAGTCCTGATCTTTATTGTTTGCCTGGTGTTATCCCTTCAATGCTTCCGCCTCCAGGCTCTCCAGTGCCCTCCTGTGGCTACCCCAAGCAACATCACCGAGTTCTTCTGCTCTTCCCCGTCCCTTAGCCACTTCCCAGCTGGCTTCCCTGAGCAGACGACCCTGATCTCCGTCGAGTTCACAAACATCTCCAGCATCGGTGAGGATGCGCTGCTGGGGTTGCCCAAGCTTCAGGAACTTCACCTATCTAACAACAGGCTGGAGGACCTTCCCGGCGGCCTCTTCCGCGACCTCCCAGAGCTGCACACCTTGGATCTCACAAGCAATCTCCTGGAAGATCTGCCTCCGTCCGTATTTGAGAACGCCAGCTCATTGAATCATCTGTTTCTCAAGATGAACCAGTTGACCAAGTTGCGGCCACAGTGGTTCCACCCATTAAGGAAGCTCCGGACCCTGGATCTCTCCAACAACCAGCTAAAGGACGTTCCCCCCTCCTGCTTTAGCAAGCTGGAGAATTTGACAACTCTGGACCTCTCCTCCAACTTCCTCCGCCAGCTCTCCCCACAGATCCTGGAGGGGATGTCTCTTCTGGAGAGGTTGGACCTAGGAGGCAACTATCTCCACTCCATCGCCGACAAGACCTTCCAGGAGGTCCCACGCCTGGGGTTCCTCTTCCTCCAAAACAACAGCTTAACCCGTCTCCCACCAGGAATCTTCGAGCCTCTGAGGAATCTGGATACCCTGTTCATCTCCGAAAACCAGATCGCTTCCTGGGACCCTGGGTTCTCAGGCCAGCTCACAAAGCTCAGCCTCGACCTCGCCAGAAACCCATGGACGTGTGATTGCCTCATGTACACCTTCGTGGACTGGGTGACGCGTCATTCTGCCATCCTGTACTCCAGGGAAGAAGTGGTTTGTGCCTCCCCCGAGAGCCTCAAAGGCCGGGTGGTGATGACTCTCAAACAGGCTGAATTTGGCGTTTGCTGAATCCTCAGTACATAACCAGGGTTTGCCCAGCCCTGTCCCTAAGGAGGATGTTGCAATGAAGCTCCAAAATCATGTATTAGATCAGGGGTCAGCAAACTTTTTCAGCAGGGGGCCGGTCCGCTGTCCCTCAGACCTTGTGGGGGGCCAGATTATATTTTTTTTGGGGGGAGGGGAATATGAATGAATTCCTATGCCCCACAAATAACCCAAAGATGCATTTTAAATAAAAGCACACATTCTACTTATAGAAAAACACGCTGATTCCCAGACTGTCCACTGGCCGGATTTAGAAGGCGATTGCGCCCAGATCCGGCCCCCGGGCCTTAGTTTGCCTACCCATGTATTACCGTATTTTTTGCTCTATAAGACTCACTTTTTCCCTCCTAAAAAGTAAGGGGAAATGTGTGTGCGTCTTATGGCACGAATGCAGGCTGCGCAGCTATCCCAGAAGCCAGAATAGCAAGAGGGATTGCTGCTTTCACTGCGCAGCGATCCCTCTTGCTGTTCTGGCTTCTGAGATTCAGAATATTTTTTTTCTTGTTTCCCTCCTCCAAAAACTAGGTGCGTCTTGTGGTCTGGTGCGTCTTATAGAGCGAAAAATACAGTAGATTATTTGTCCCATGATTCAGCTATCTACTCAGGCAGAGAGAAGGGTCCATTCCCCCGCCATCTGCTGTGCTATCTGATCTTTTTAAACTGAGAGATGCCAGAAATTGAACTCAAGACCTTGCACAGGCAACGTTCTGCCCCAGAGCTTTGCTACGTTTCCTCTCCCCAAATTGCTGCCAATGCCCTCATCCGCACTCTGCATTTAAAGCAGTACGGTCAAACCTCGGCTCCTGAATGCCTCTGTTTTGGAAAGTTTCGACTCTTCAACGCCGAAAACCAGGACGTAAATGCTCTGGTTTCCGAACATTTATTGGAAGCCACAGTGTTGCTGACAAAGGACAGCTGGGCATATAAAGGGCCCCATTACCTTCAGTAGCTTAAAAGGTAAAGGGACCCCTGACCATTAGGTCCAGTTGTGGCCGACTCTGGGGTTCATCTCGCTTTACTGGCTGAGGAAGCCGGCGTACAGCTTCCGGGTCATGTGGCCAGCAGGACTAAGCCGCTTCTGACGAACCAGAGCAGCGCACGGAAATGCCGTTTACCTTACCGCCGGAGTGGTACCTATTTATCTACTTGCACTTTGATGCACTTTCGAACTGCTAGGTTGGCAGGAGCAGGGACTGAGCAACGGGAGCTCACCCCGTCGCGGGGATTCGAACCGCTGACCTTCTGATCAGCAAGTCCTAGGCTCTGTGGTTTAACCCACAGTGCCACCCGCGCTTAGGGCCTCGTCAAACCTAAATCTGGCCCTGCCCAGGTGGCGCCGTAACGGAGTGTGAGAGGCAGTGTGATAGGAATTTTGAGGTCTTAGATATATGGTAATGTTCATAAGCGTACCAGCCAAGCACGTACATAGATCAGCACAGGAAGACCAACCTGGAACCATTTTGATTCCCAAACTGAGCAAATGTTTTCTCTGCAAGGTCAAAGTGGGAAACCTCCCCATTCTCTTTCCTCTCAAATCCTGTCTTAAGGGCACCTTTAAGATATGACTAGGGTGTGAGCCTGTGACCTGGCCCAGGAACTAAGTATTTATCACTACAAAAGTATGGCCAGGCTCCCCAGGCAATCCAATCAAGTAACCTGCCAGACAGGAGATAAACAAGGACAGGAGAAAAACAACATTCAAATTTCTGTTTGAGACCGCCTTTTCTGGGATGTAGGTATGATGTATCTGGGGGTGGTCTTGATCTACAGGGTGGCAATTTCAAAAGTCTTTATAAGGCCTTGCGCGCCATTTTTCTGGGTTCCTCCTCCTCTCCTGCGGGTGAGGGGAGCACCCTGTTGCAACAGATCAATAAAGATCAAGTTTACTTGCTGCTTTGCTTTTCAATATTCTCTGGTTGGCCTCTGTTATTTTCTCCTACCAATAGGGAACCTACGTAAGGACTCTATATGGGCTCTTGGATACCCCATAAGGGAAGAAGGGCAATTTTTGTTTACAACCGCAGGGAGCGCCACATTTTAACATCACGCAGGGCGCCACCGAAATTTGACATCTCCAAATCTGCCATTGCACCTCCCTCTCTCTACTGTGACTCGAGGCGGCACCGTGTTTGAAAATTAGAGAGCATTCGCACAATTAGCCATTGCATGGCCTTCCCAAATACATGCAACCAGCTTTCCAACATCCTTTTGGCATTCAGCTGCTGAGTTTGCAATTAGAGGGAGCAAGAGTGCTGATATATTTATTTGCCTCTTCAGTTAGTGTAGTTTCCCTTCCTTTTCTTTTCCTCCCCATTAAAAAAGAAAAAGAGAAGGAAAGAATGCTGTTAATTGGAAACAAAATGCGCCATCTTATCCACGAATATCTCTCGCCCGGAAATTTATTGCGAAGCTGCGCTCCCGTGGAAGTTTTAAATTAAACCCAATTGCTTAAAGACGCCGGGCAATTTGCTGTGATTTAGCTGTGCAATAAAACCCGAGCGCCAAAGCGTATTCGCCAACCCAAAGGAGGCTGGGTGCTTTGTCCTGTGTCGGTCTCGTCTTTGGGTGTCCACCCCCCCTTTCCTTAAATAAGAATAAACAGAGCTGTTTGCGCACACAGGAAAGAATAAAATTAAGAATCGGACCTGGGTGAGGAATCCTCTTCAGCCCGAGGGCCGCATTCGCTTGCGATGAACCTTCTGGGGGCCGGATGCAAGTGTCGGGGTGAGGCCAAGGGCAAAATTGGGTGGAATTCTTATGCTTATGTGCTTGAAACACTGCAAGGTCGTCTCAAGCTGCCTTTTTATGTGGAGAGTGTGGGATGTGATACACAAGTAGCAGTCAAGTACGACATTCCTTGTTTTCCTAGAGTGGACATGCAGGGGAGTGTCTGGTCCAGCCAGTCGAGAACTTCCTGTTTCCTCCTGGCTGGGACATACTTCCTTTTGCAGGTGACCAGAGATGGGCGTGACCTTACCTATCCAGGTAACAAAAGGGACAGGGCACGCAGCCCCCCCTCTCTGACTTCCTCCGTCGTTGGAGCACCAGCTTTCAGCTAGAAATGCTCTGTTGGCTCTCAGGCAACAGAGGACACTGGGAATATCTCCATATGGGATAGATCAGGGGTCAGCAAACAGCAGGGGGCCGGTCCACTGTCCCTCAGACCTTGTGGGGGGCCGGACTATACTTTGAAGGGAGGGGGAAATGAACGAATTCCTATGCCCCACAAATAACCCAGAGATGCATTTTAAATAAAAGCACACATTCTACTCATGTAAAAATACGCTGATTCCCAGATCGTCCGCGGGCTGGATTGAGAAGGCGATTGGGCCGCATCCAGCCCACGGGCCTTAGGTTGCCTACCCCTGCTTTGGACACATCAAGGAAGGAGTGCGGGAAACCAATTTTTGGATAAAAAGTTTTAAATTTGTCTTGATTTGTGGCTGATTGGGTAAAATTTGGGGGGGGACCAATAAAAACCTTCCTGTATTCCTATTTAAATAAGTTCTTTATTTAGAACCATGAGGTCTGGAATCTTAATTTTTGTTTAGGGGGATGGACCACAGCTCAGTGTTAGAGCAGTAAACGTAAAGGACTCCTGGACGGTTAAGTCCAGTCAAAGGCGACTGTGGGGTTGTGGCGCTCATCTCGCTTTTCAGCCGGCGTTTGTCCACAGACAGCTTTCTGGGTCATGTGGCCAGCAGAACTAAACCGCTTCTGGCACAACGGGACACCGTGATGGAAACCAGAGCGCATGGAAATGCCATTTACCTTCCCGCCGGAGCGGTACCTATTTATCTACTTGCGCTGGTGTGCTTTCAAACTGCTAGGTTGGCAGGAGCTGGGACAGAGCAACGGGAGCTCACCCCGTCACGGGGATTCGAACCACCAACCTTCCAATCGGCAAGCCCAAGAGGCTCTGTGGTTTAGACCACAGCTCCACCTGCATCCCATACGATATACGATATACAATATCTTTATTGTCATTGTCCCATGCAGAACAATGAAATTGAAAAACTACATAAAACTACATTAAAACTACATAAAACTACATTAAAACTACTACAAAACTACATAAATCTACTATAAAACTACTACAAAACTACATAAAACATTCAAAACCCCCTAAAAACTCTAAAACCCCATTTTAAAATACACTATACTACAGAGACCCCTTATGCTGCGTTTAAAAGCAGAATTGCATTTGCGTAGAAACTGTTTCTCAGGCGGCTAGTCCTAGTCTTTATAACCCTGTACCTTCTTCCAGAAGGCAGAAGCTGAAAGAGATCATTTCCGGGGTGCGCACTATCCTGCGCTATCTCTGCAGCTTTCTTATGGCACCTGGAAGCGTAGATTTGATCCAAGGTGGGAAGAGTGCACCCAATTATTCTCTTCGCAGTCTTTACAACCCTGGATAGCATTGTTTTTTCCCTAGCACACACACATCGCAGCCCAACTTTGATCCCTGGCACCTGCAGGTAGGGCTGGTAAAATCTCCTCTTTGAGAAGCTAGAGAGCTGCTGCCAGTCCGTGCTAACAATACTGGGTTAAATGGCCAAATAGCCTGACTCCTTGTGCTACTGAAGTACCATTTGTGCCACATAACCATTGCTCATCCAGATGACCCGCAGAAAGCAGCACAGGCCTACCTCACAGGGTTGGTGTCATAAGAGGCGATTTGAATGTTTGAAACACTCCATTGCTATTTATTGCTGAGTGCTTTGACATTTATCGCGACGGCTGATTTATTTGTTTTCCAGGTAAAAATATGGCGAACAAGCACAGCTAATTTACTAGCTGCCATCCCAGGTAATACAGTTTGTCACCCCCCCCAACTGTATTACCTGGGTTATGAAGGCGCCCAAAAGATGTTAAAGCATAGATTATGGGATAATGCACACAGTGACTTGCGGTCTCGATCACACGCAGTCTGTAGTCCGCTGGCAGTAGGAGTACAGTATGGGCATGTCTTTAAGTTAACATCTTACATTAAAAACCTGACAGTACCAAACTAGCGAAGGCTTTTCACCAAAGCCAGACTAAACGTCTTTCCTTCTGCAGTGTTGGATGGCAGGTTGAGAGGAGTTCCCTACCAGGACAGACTTTGCTTGTGTGCTCAAGACATCGATTCCATAAGACATATTTTGTTGCATTGTGCAAAATATGAGCAAGCCAGGGCTGAACTGATACTACCCTTGCTGGTACCTTTCCCAGGAAAATCAGAAGACCGGACAAATGCTAGAACATTAGCAGTGGCAAAGTTTTTATCGGTGGTTGCAAGAACCAATGATCCCTATATTCTGAACAAAATGCTTGTTTAACCTGGAGGTAGGCTGTCTGAATTGTGTATTGCTTTGTAATGATTTGTTGGGTCTCTGGACCGTAATAAAGATTGATGATGACTAGCTGCCATCTTATGCATGCTTTCCTGGGAGTAAGTCCCAAACGGGGCTTACTTCTGAGTAAACTTGGATAGTATCGCACTGTGCGTTAGCGATCATTTTTAGGAAACCCCCCAAGAACCAGTCTTGCCTTTCATCCTATCAGATATTAATATTAAAGATATTGGGCTGTAGCCAAATAAATCCTACTCTGAGCAATTAATGAAATTAATGGATCTTAGTTAATTGTGTCCTTTATGGCTCTGCCTCCAGGAGGACTAACATTGGGTACGAGCCATGCAGACAAATTCTTTTCTGTTATAAAGTTGCAATAGTGTACACTGTTGGAAAAGTGAGATTAATTTTGAAATAATGTAGGGAAATGGATTTAATGATTTTCAGCAATGTTTGCATCAGCATCTTTTGCATAGTAAAATAAAATGGAAGCTATTCTGAGCATTATTAAAGGGGAAACAGGTCCAGTTCGTCATCGTTGTTTTTTAAAAAAGTATTATTTTATTGATTTACACAGCAGCAGCCTACACAGGTCTCTTAGGAAACTGGGCCCTATAAATTCAATGGTGATTGCTCCCAGATAAGTGGGCACAAGGGTAAAGAATTGGGGGCGTACCCAGCTAAGTCCTACTCAGAGTAAACCCATTGGAATTGATAGATCAAAGTGAGCCAGGCCCGTTCATTTCAACAGGCCAATTCTGAGTAGGGCTTCAGTGCATTAGAATGGAAGCGAAATATCAAGAACAATGCAGAAAATAATGTAATTGTGTGTGTAACATTCACAAGACCAAACACACACTGTTCATGTTTCGCCTGCATTTATGTTCCTAACATCTGGAGATGCTGCCCATTGCGGCAGCTTCCGTTTCCAACAGAATTCCCCACCTTGCGCCTGAAGGTATACTGTGCCAGAGTTCTGTTTCTTCCAAAACAACTCCCTTTTGTCCAAAATGGGACTCTGTACCCTCCTGCAGATGGTGACAGCAGCCACGAAATTAAAAGATGCCTGCTTCTCGGGAGAAAAGCAATGACAAACCTAGACAGCATCTTAAAAAGCAGAGACATCACCTTGCTGACAAAGGTCCGTATAGTTAAAGCCATGGTTTTCCCAGTAGTGATGTATGAAAGTGAGAGCTGGACCACAAAGAAGGCTGATCGCCAAAGAATGGATGCTTTTGAATTCTGGTGCTGGAGGAGACTCTTGAGAGTCCCATGGACTGCAAGAAGATCAAACCGATCCATTCTTAAGGAAATCAGCCCTGAGCTCTCAAGGGAAGGACAGATCCTGAAGCTGAGGCTCCAATACTTTGGCCCCCTCATGAGAAGAGAAGACTCCCTGGAAAAGACCCTGATGCTGGGAAAGATGGAGGGCACAAGGAGAAGGGGACGACAGAGGACGAGATGGTGGGACAGTGTTCTCGAAGCTACCAACATGAGTTTGACCAAACTGCGGGAGGCAGTGGAAGACAGGAGTGCCTGGCGTGCTCTGGTCCAGGGGGTCACGAAGAGTCGGACACGACTAAACAACAACAACGCCCTCCTTGCGGAGAGAGCACCAGCAGAACAGAGGCAGAGGGGTTGCCATGGTAACTGGGGCCAGCAACACAAATGGAAACTGGTGGTTCAAAGCAGTGCCCTGCGGTTGCCATAGTCACCACTCCCAGGCTGCATCCATTTGGACCAGAAGAGCAGGGAACTCTTCCAGGTTTCAAATCAGTATTTGCTGGTGGGGCGGTGTGGGTAGGTGGGGAGTTCCTCCTGCGAAGAACCCACAGAGTCATGGTCTTGCACCCATCATGACCTCTAGTTTATCAGCGTACCCCCTCCCCCTGTTTGTTTCTCACAACAGCCCTGGGGGGAATCAACTGGGTCGAAGTCATTTGGCGACACAACATCATGTCTGAATAAGTAATGAGTGGCAGACCTAATAATAATAATAATAATAATTTATTTACCGGTATACCCCATCCATCTGGCTGGGTTTCCCCAGCCACTTCGGGCAGATCCCAACAGAATATTAAAAACACAGTAAAACATCAAACATTAAAAGCTTCCCTAAACAGGACTGCCTTCAGATGTCTTCTAAAAGTCAGAAAGTTGCTTATTTCCTCAACATCTGATGGGAGGGCATTCCACAGGTCAGGTGCCACCACCGAGAAGGCCCTCTGCCTGGTTCCCTATAACCTCACTTCTCGCAGGGAGGGAACCGTCAGAAGACCCTCAGAGGTGGACCCCTCAAATACAAGGTTATTTTGAACCTTCGGACCTCCTTCCCTCCCTCCATGGATTCCATATTTAAATTTAAGTTTGCTGCATCTTCTTACCATTTTCTATCTATTAATTGGGGACGCGGGTGGTGCTGTGGTCTAAATCTTGCCAATCAGAAGGTCGGCGGTTCGAATCCCCACGACCGGGTGAGCTCCCGTTATTCTGTCCCAGCTCCTGCCCACCTAGCAGTTCGAAAACACATCAAAGTGCAAGTAGATAAATAGGTACCACTCCGGCGGGAAGGTAAACAGCGTTTCCGTGCACTGCTCTGGTTTTGGTGTTCTGTTGCGCCAGAAGCAGCTTAGTCCTGCTGGCCACATGACCCAGAAGCTGTACGCCGGCTCCCTTGGCCTGTAAAGCGAGATGAGCACCGCAACCCCAGAGTCGTTCGCAACTGGACTTCAGTGTCACGGGTCCTTTACCTTTTTATCCAGGTATCTAGAATGTTGACATTAATTTGCTTCAACTTGCTTTTAAAGCTTATTGTTGATTTCAGTTATTTTTGAATATTTTAAGTAGGCTTGTTTGTTTGTTTTTAAACTGCTTGGGATGTTGTTGTTTTAACTGACATTTTTACTACTTTATTCTTTTCGCAAACAACTTTGAGGTTTGATTACAATCAAGCAGGACCTAGGTTTGTAAAATAAACAGATACAGTGGTACCTCAGGTTACGTACTTAATTTGTTCCGGAGGTCCATTCTTAACCTGAAACTGTTCTTAACCTGAAGCACCACTTTAGCTAATGGGGCCTCCCACTGCCGCTGTGCCACCGGAGCACGATTTCTGTTCTCATCCTGAAGCAAAGTTCTTAACCCGAGGTACTATTTCTGGGTTAGCGGAGTCTGTAACCTGAAGCGTCTGTAACCTGAAGCATATGTAACCCGAGGTACCACTGTACTGTAATTCAGGCTCGGTGTCTGATTAGACCCTACGACCCTTAACGAAGCAGGACCACATAAAAGCGATCCGCAATTTACCTGGAAAGTAAACCACATGCAGAGAGCGCTCCGGAGGTTTTGCCTTCTAATCCGAAATGTGACTAGTGTCTCTTTTAAAAAAACAAAACAAATGAAAATAAAACCACTATACTAATTCCAGCGCCAGATACAGAAGCAGAAAACATTCAGACTAACCACTGGTGACAATACATTAATACATGGGTAGGCAAACGCGCTGTGGGTTAAACCACAGAGCCTAGGACTTGCCGATCAGAAGGTCGGCGGTTCAAATCCCCGTGACGGGCTGAGCTCCTGTTGCTCTGTCCCAGCTCCTGCCAACCTAGCAGTTCAAAAGCACATCAAAGTGCAAGTAGATAAATAGGTACCGCTCCGGCGGGAAGGTAAATGGCGTTTCCGTGCACTGCTCTGGTTCGCCAGAAGCGGCTTAGTCATGCTGGCCACATGACCTGGAAGCTGTATGCCGGCTCCCTTGGCCAATAAAGCGAGATGAGCGCCGCAACCCCAGAGTCGGTCACAACTGGACCTAACGGTCAGGGGTCCCTTTACCTTTACCTTTAGGCAAACTAAGGCCCAGGGGCTGGATCTGGCCCAGTCGCCTTCTAAATCTGACCCACGGACGGTCCGGGAATCAGTGTGCTTTTACATGAATAAAATGTGTCCTTTTATTTAAAATGCATCTCTGGGTTATTTGTGGGGCATAGGAATTCGTTCATTATTTTTTCCCCAAAATACAGTCCGGCCCCCCACAAGGTCTGAGGGACAGTGGACCGGCCCCCTGCTGGAAAAGTTTGCTGACCCCTGCATTAATTCCAGCTCCCTGCTCCTCCCACGCCCACCTGCCACCCACGTGCAAGAAGAAACCCTTTTTAAGTCTATTATTGATTTCCTTTGTAACCAGTTCGCGACGCCACGTTCTGTTCCCCGCCGCGTTCCGCCGCTCCCCATTGGCTGGGGCTCGATTCCTCCCCTCGCCCGATTGGTTCCGACGCGCCGCAATGTAGCAAAGCCGGCGGGCCAACATTCTGTCCCCGCCCACGCCGGTGAGTAGCTGAATCGAGTCACCTCCGCGTTTAGCTGCGTGCGGATCGTCGCTGGAAGACCGTTGTTGCTCCGGCTCCGGGGTAGTTGAAAGGTATGGTCGTGGTTTAATTGTTTCAAGGTGGCGATCGTATGCAACAGTTCCGGGGTTAAAAAGCAGTTTCCTAGGGGGAGGGGGGTAAAGGAAATTCCTGAGGTTAAGGGATCCCAGATTTGTTGGGGAACGATTTTAAAAACTGGGTGGGTGAGATTTCTTAATTTTAATGGGCGATGCGTTGGGACTTGCTGATCTGCTGCTTCATACCGCGCGTTGAAAATACCCCATAGATTCTTACACTCCCTCAAACTCCCTCTTCCTCCAGCTCCCCCTCCTCACCTCACAGTCCTGTAAAAAAATTTTTTTATACCTGCTTACCTGGGAACAAACTCCATTTAAAAACTGGGTCGGCGTGCCTAGGATTGTACTGTTAGGATCGTAAAAAAAAACCCACAAACCTCCTAATTCCCTGAAAAAATTGATTGTATAATACAGCGTCTCCTTTAATTATGCATACATAGATTGGGCTAAATGTTTTGGGAATCGAAACTAGCAAATGAGAGAAAGATTCCAAAATGCAAATAGTATTGTTTTGTTTTTTAATGCAACAGTAGGATCAAAATATGCCTCGGAACTCCCCGTTTGGATATTTCTGGAACGCTTTTGTTTAAAAGTGGAGCGGGTTGGGGGCAACTCACCCCCCTCCCTCTCCATCCTTCTAGGGTTTGCTTCCGGAGTAGAGTTCTTTTTTTTAAAAAAGGAACTTTGACGTGTTGTGAGGATGTATTTGCATGTGAAAGTGTTTCTGTGTGTCTTCAACAAAAGGAGATCTTTGCTTCACTACAAAGCGATTCAGAGTTTCCCAAAAGAAGTGCACACACACACACACACACACACATATACACACCCTAGCTGATAACAAAAGCACCCATGGGATTTAACTTCCAAGGCAGGGAAGTTCAGGACTGGCAAGTTAATGAGTAAATAACTTCTTGGTGATCCTGGTGAGAACTTCTAACTCTCTTAAGCAACTTGGACTTCCTAAGAAGGCGATTTGGTCCTGGTGTTCAGCCGCAGTCTTAACAGCCTTCTCTGCTCTCAATCAAGAGGTCAAGCGAAGGTACAGTGGTACCTCAGGTTAAGTACTTAATTCGTTCCAGAGGTCCGTTCTTAACCTGAAACAGTTCTTAACCTGAAGCACCACTTTAGCTAATAGGGTCTCCTGCTGCTGCTGTGCCGCCGGAGCCCGATTCCTGTTCTCATCCTGAAGCAAAGTTCTTAACCTGAAGCACTATTTCTGGGTTAGCGGAGTCTGTAACCTGAAGCGTATGTAACCTGAGGTACCACTGTATGTGCATTTAAGGAGAATTGGAAAGGCCCATGAGCTATTTAAAACACTTTTTTTTTTTAAAGGGGAACCCTTTTCAATCTGAGGGGGCTGCACTTCCTTCTGGGGGCTACATGAAAAATCAGGCAGAGCAATTACTGCAAATCTTAACTTTGTAAAGTGTAGACGCACTCCTTTCCTCCGTACAGGCAAGCAGGTTTAGAACAGGGCTCAACAACTTTGGTCAGCCCTCAAGCATGTTAACTTCATCAAATCTGACCCTCTTTGGAAAAAAATTGGACACCCCTGCAAGGGTCTGATCCTATGCAGGCTTTTAAGTGAGACTTACTCCTGTGAGAGGGATGCGGGTGGCGCTGTGGGTTAAACCACTGAGCCTCTTGGGCTTGCCGATCAGAAGGTTGGCAGTTCGAATCCCCGCGACGGGGTGAGCTCCCGTTGCTCGGTCCCTGCTCCTGCCAACCTACCAGTTCGGAAGCACGTCAAAGTGCAAGTAGATAAATAGGTATCACTCCAGCGGGAAGGTAAACGGCGTTTCCGTGCGCTGCTCTGGTTCGTCAGAAGCGACTTAGTCATGCTGGCTACATGACCAGGAAGCTGTACGCCGCCTCCCTTGGCCAGTAAAGCAAGATGAGGGCCGCAACCCCAGAGTTGTCCATGACTGGATTAACTGTCAGGGGTCCTTTGTTGTTGTTGAGTCGTTTAGTCGTGTCCGACTCTTCGTGACCCCATGGACCAGAGCACGCCAGGCACTCCTGTCTTGCACTGCCTCACGTTCGTAGCTTCGAGAACACTGTCCCACCATCTCGTCCTCTGTCGTCCCTTTCTCCTTGCGCCCTCCATCTTTCCCAACATCAGGGTCATTTCCAGGGAGTCTTCTCTTCTCATGAGGTGGCCAAAGTCTTGGAGTCTCAGCTTCAGGATCTGTCCTTCCAGTGAGCTCTCAGGGCCGATTTCCTTCAGAATGGAGAGGTTTGATCTTCTTGCAGTCCATGGGACTCTCAAGAGTCTCCTCCAGCACCATAATTCAAAAGCAGGGGTCCTTTACCTTTTTACTCCTGTGAGTGCATCCCTACTTAATTTATAGAGCTGTCCCATAGCAGGCGGTTTCACGGAAGCCAGGGTGAGAGTGTCGGGACTGGGACCTGGCAGGTCATGGTTCAAATCGTCACTCGGTCATGAATCCCACTGGGCGACCTTGGAGCCAGTCGCTCTTGGCCTGCCTCACAGCTTTGTTGTCGTGATTAACTGAGATTCGGATGAACCATGGGCTCCTGGGAGAGAAAGGCAGGAGATGAATGCAGCAAATAAAGCTCTGGTTTTCCCAGTAGTGATGTATGGAAGTGAGAGCTGGACCGTAAAGAAGGCTGATCGCCAAAGAATGGATGCTTTTGAATTCTGGTGCTGGAGGAGACTCTTGAGAGTCCCATGGACTGCAAGAAGATCAAACCTCTCCGTTCTGAAGGAAATCAGCCCTGAGTGCTCACTGGAAGGACAGATCCTGAAGCTGAGGCTCCAAGACTTTGGCCACCTCATGAGAAGAGAAGACTCCCTGGAAAAGACCCTGATGTTGGGAAAGATGGAGGGCACAAGGAGAAGGGGACGGCGGAGGACGAGATGGTGGGACAGTGTTCTCGAAGCTACCAGCATGAGTTTGACCAAACTGCGGGAGGCACTGGAAGACAGAAGTGCCTGGCGTGCTCTGGTCCAGGGGGGTCATGAAGAGGCGGACACGACTAAACGACTAAACAACAACACTTAAGGAAGCCGGAGGGGCCAGCCAGACGGGGATGTCAGTCACCACCCTGGCATTCGGAGATCACCTGGCACCAGGCAGATTTCTAACACTGACTTATAGTGAAGGTCAGTATAATATAGGACAGGGCTCAGCAAGGTTTATCTTGCCTGGGCCAGATCGGTCCCATGGAGATCCCTCTCTGGGCTGAAACGTGTATGTGTGTGAGAGAGCTTGCACACCTGTGATTTTCGGCGCCTGCGCATGTGCAGATGCAGTTTTCAGCGTCTGCGCAGGCGCTGTTTTCGGCGCCACGTAAGTGAGTCCTTGCGCCGCGCTGTGCCAGTTTAGCACGGTGCATGAGCAGGCAACTCGGTTCGGGAGCGGCTCGTGGGCCAGTCAAACGACCTCCGTGGGCTGCTTCCAGCCCATGGGCCTTAGGTTGCTGACCCCTGAGATAGGGGAAGGGGTCGGTCGTTGAATGCATGGAGAAGGTCGTCCGGTTCAATCCTGGATATCTCCAATTCGGACTGGGAATGACCAGCCCTGGGGAGCTGTTGCCAATCCGAGCCAACACTACTGAGCAGGGCGGATTTGATTTAAATCAAATCACGATTTAAATCACTAGTCAGTAAGACTTGCTTTAAATCTTTTTTATTTAACAGAAAGACTTATTCTTGCTAGTATAATCTTAATACAATGGTACCTTGGGTTACATACGCTTCAGGTTACAGACTCCGCTAACCCAGAAATAGTGCTTCAGGTTAAGAACTTTGCTTCAGGATGAGAACAAAAATTGTGCTCCGGCAGCAGGAGGCCCCATTAGCTAAAGTGGTGCTTCAGGTTAAGAACAGTTTCAGGTTAAGTACGGACCTCCGGAACGAATTAAGTACTTAACCCAAGGTACCACTGTATTTACAACCAGATGAAGGTTTTCATTTTTGGAATAATAAATGTTTAGAGTGGTTACTGGTTATACTATTACTGGTTATACTATTAGAAATACATAGACAGGCAATTATGAAATTATGGTTTATACTTGGACAACTTTTCTGCTGTAGTTGATTGGAAGGAGAAAAAGAAACATTTCCTTCATAACAATTTAAACCATTTATTTAACTAAAACAGTAATGTTGTAGCATATGTATCCGCGTTTGTTAACTGATGTGGTTTAAACAATTTTTTAAAAAAACATCCTTAGACTGAGTTTTAGCACACGTGAAAAACTTAAAGGCAAATCCTTATTTCCTGATCAAAAGCCTTTGGACTATAGTGTAACTTAAACAGAAAGCTATCTTTAGGAAGATTTCTCCTCCGAAAGCATTTTATTTTAAAAATCCGATTTAAATTTTTAAAATCCGATTTTATAAATTTTTTAAAATCCGATTTAATAAAATTTTAAAAAACTGATTTAATAAATTTTGTAAAATCCGATTTAATAAATTTTTTAAAATCCGATTTAATAAAAATTTAAAAATCCGATTTATTTATTTTTTTAAAAAATCATTGGTTTTTATCCACCCTGCCTGTGGCGGAAAGCAGCTTTGTATGTTGCAAGATGTTGCTAAGTGGGTGCAGGTGAAACACTTCCAGGCATGCGGAGATTTCCAGCTCTCGGTGAATGTTGACGCGGGAAGGAGGCAGTTGTGATGTGCATTGCACAAGCATGCTCCACGCTTGCACGGCTGTTGCATGTACGTGCTCTGAGTCATCAAAGCCTGACCTTCCAGGCAGGAGGTTGTAAGCTGCAGGCCGTGTCCTCAAATGAGTAAGGCCCTTCTCTGCCAGAGGCAGGCAGCCCACTAGGGCAAAGTTGACTCTCTGAACGGGGCTGGGCTTGATCACATGTGTCACAGTGCTGGCACGCAGGCATTTTGTGCAGAACAGTCAAGTTTCTTTCCTTTTTTTAATAATTTTTATTGATTTTAACATATAAATTATAAAATGTCCCACAAAACTTATCACTTATAGAATCTTTTTAGACTTCCATCAGCACCTCTGAAGATCCACCGTTTTAACCACTTCTTATGCATTTCTTAACTTTATATTGCCTTTACATCTCATCATCCTCCCCCTTCTCCATTTTTGCAATACTTCCAATAATACTCCTCACAAAACTTCTTGCAAACCTACAAACGTCGTCTGATCTTCACAAATACTTTTCAAATAGTCCGTAAATTTACTCCAGTCTTCCGTGAATTTCTGGCCCCACTGGTTTCGAATCCTTCCTGTTAGTTTATCTAATTCTGCATAGTCCATTAACTTCATCCTCCATTCTTCAATCGTCGGTAATGCTTCTTGCTTCCATTTTTGGGCCAATAATATTCTTGCTGCTGTTATTTCAGAACGGTCAAGTTTCAGTTCCCTGTATCTTCAAAGTCAGACTGGGGCTTCGTTGGTGGAGCACAGGACTCTTAATCTCAGGAAGGGGTCCCCTTCTAACAATTCTATGATTTTATGATTCTAATAATAACAATAATAATGAAGTCATACTTCTTGTTACGTTCGGTTCAGGTTTCGTCTTTTCAGGTTGCGACCCGGAAGTAACAGAGCAGGTTACTTCCGGGTTTCGCCGCTCGCGCATGTGCAGACACTCAGAATGACGTCATGCGCAGAAGCGGCGAATCGCAACCTGCGCACTCGCAGACGGTGCTTGCGTTCTGCTCATGATGCAAACAGGGCTCTGGAATGGATCCCGTTCGCAACCAGGGGTACCACTGTAAGGTAAAGGGACCCCTGACCATTAGGTTCAGTTGTGGCCGACTCTGGGGTTGCGGTGCTCATCTCGCTTTATTGGCCAAGGGAGCCGGCATACAGCTTCCGGGTCCTGTGGCCAGCATGACTAAACCGCTTCTGGCGAACCAGAGCAGCGCACGGAAACGCCATTTTCCTTCCCGCCGGAGCGGTACCTATTTATCTACTTGCACTTGATGTGCTTTCAAACTGCTAGGTTGGCAGGAGCAGGGACCGAGCAACGGGAGCCCACCCCATCACAGGGATTCGAACCGCCGGCCTTCTGATCGGCAAGTCCTAGGCTCTGTGGTTTAACCCACATCGCCACCCACATCCCTTTGTCTGGCTTATTCCAAACAAAAAGGACTTTGGGGGAGGGGGAGCTAAATTTAAATATATATTTTTCAATTCATTATAAATCATTTCCCAATATTGTACTGTTTGAGCCCCATAATGGAAGAAACCTGAGTTTCAAGTCTGGAAAATGCGTTCGGTTGGGCTGTTTGCCAGCAGTTAGAGAGCAGCATGTATTTGCAGTGCCACAGAGCTGTTGGTTTGCTTAAGCAAAAAAATGCAGCGTGACTCATCCAACTGGGACGGACTGGTTTCTCTTCACATTATAACATGGGAACCATTGTTTCTCGTCCGCTCATTGGGATTTGAAACAATGGAAGGTTTCGCTTATCTGCTGAGCATCTAGGGAGCAACGCAGGCTTAAAATTCTAAGACACAGCGACAGCCACCTGCTTGGACGACTTGCACAAATTTGTGGAAAGTGTCTTAATGCAGTTTCCGTTTCAGTAAATCAGAGCTGTCAATAGAACCATCTTCCATGAATTTGTACAGCCCTTAAAAAACAACAACGAAGGCCTGCTCATCAACCGTCCCTCAGCGTATCATGTGTCGGGGAGTTCCATAAGTTAACTGGCCATTGTGGGGCAGAAGCGGGAGCCCTCCTGCCTCTCCTGACAGCTTCTTCCTCCTCTCTTTTAGCCGTGCCATGACGTCGGAAGGAAGTCCCGTGAGCGACACGGCTCCAGAAAACCAAGAGCCTGATCAGCAGGTATGTGAGGAGTGAGTCCCTTCACCCCAAGCTGGGTGTTGGTCGCTGGCGGTTTCTGGGCCCTGATCTGCCCCTTCTGTCTCCATGGCCAAATAATTGCGCCCCTCTATTCCAGGTAGGAGATTTCACTCAGTCAGTCAGTTTTATTGCACATAGCCAAAGGCTGCTGCAATGTACACAAAGGTAAAGGGACTCCTGACCATTAGGTCCAGTTGCGGACGACTCTGGGGTTGCGGCGCTCATCTCGCTTTACTGGCCGAGGGAGCCGGCGTGCAGCTTCCGGGTCATGTGGCCAGCATGACTGAGCCGCTTCTGGCGAACCAGAGCAGCGCACGGAAACGCCATTTGCCTTCCCACCGGAGCGGTACCTATTTATCTACTTGCACTTTGACGTGCTTTCAAACTGCTAGGTTGGCAGGAGCAGGGACCGAGCAACAGGAGCTCACCCCGTCGCGGGGATTCGAACCGCCAACCTTCTGATCAGCAAGTCCTAGGCTCTGTGGTTTAACCCACACCGCTACCCACATCCCCAATAAACAATGTACTGTACTATAAACTAAATAAGACAGTATTGTAGAGGATAAAAATTAAAATGTTTTCTTACCTGCGCTGGTGATAGTCCTTGTTTGGATGGGGGGCTTTTATCCATTGCCGCAGTCACACAATCAATCCATCAGTAGCTGAACTGGGCCTCACACAGTCACAAAAACAAATGAACCGAAAAAGCCTCAAAAATAAATAGCAAAAACAAAAGCGGCAAACTTTATCTGTTCCGGAAGTCCGTTTGACTTCTGAAATGTTCGAAAACCAAGGCGCAGCTTCTGATTGGTGCAGGCGCCCCGGAAACAATAGCCAACTGCCGCATCAGACGTTCGGCTTCCAACAAACGTTCGAAAACCAGAACACACACTTCCGGGTTTTCGGCATTTGGGAACCAAGGCGTTTGAGAACCAAGGCACCACTGAAAATATGCTGCCCAAGTGATAATTTTTCTCTTTCTCTCCTGCCCTGGTAGAATGTGGTCAGTCGAGTGGTCAGCCTCCCGCTGGTCAGTTCGACCTTCGACATGGTCTCCTCGGCTTACGCCTCCACAAAAGAGACCCACCCCTACCTCAAGTCCGTCTGCGACGTGGCAGAGAAGAGTGTGAAGACCCTCACGGCGGCGGCCGTTGGTGGCGCCCAGCCTCTCCTGACGAAGCTGGAGCCTCAGAGTGGGTGACGCTGTCAATTTGCTGCATTGTTTTGTGCCTTGTGCCGCGCTGAGGTTGAGAAACGGTGGCACGTACCCTCGCCTCCTCACTGTATGCTTAAAGCGCAGGGCGTTCCCCCAGAGGATCCTGGGAACTGTAGTTTGCACCTCGCCACTGGCAAACTATGTTTCCCAGGAATCTTTGGCGGGGGAAGGGAGTCGCATGCTTTGAATATGTTTTCAGTGCATGGCGTGACACAAAAAGAAGGATCTCATAGATCACACCCATATTTATTTATTTTTTAGTTTTTTTAACATATCATTTTCAACAGTAATTAAACATACTTTTACATCTTATTCAAATTTTTGACTTCCATCAATCCTGTCTGGAAATTTTCCAATCTAATCTCTCAGTATGCATTTCTTATCTTCCCTATTACATTTCAAACTCATAACCAATATCTCTTATCTTTTTCTACTTTGTAACACTTCATATATTTCTCCTTACAAAACTTCTTGTAGTCCTACTAGCGTAATTTGTTGATTACAGTTGCTCTTCAAATATTTCATATACTTCTTCCAATCTTCCGTAAATCTCTGGTCCCGCAGGTTTCGAATCCTTCCTGTCATTTTGTCCAATTCTGCATAGTCCATTAATTTTGTCTGCCATTCTTCTTTCGTCGGAATTTCTTCTTGTTTCCATTTCTGGGCTAACAATACTCTTGCCGCAGTTGTTGCATATAAAAATAATTTAACATCTTTCCTATTAATGTCCTGACCTATAATACCAAGTAAAAATGCTTCTGGTTTTTTTTTTAAACGTGTATTTCAACATCTTTTTCATCTCATTATATATCATTTCCCAGAAGTTCTTTACTTTTTTACATTCCCACCACATATGATAAAATATTCCTTCTTTTTCTTTTCCAACATTTATTATTTGTCTTATACATTTTAGCTAATTTCACTGGTGTGATATACCACCTATACATCATTTTCATCATATTCTCTTTCAAAGCATATACCGTGCATTTAAAAAAAAGAATACTCCCCAAAGAATCCCGGGAACTGTAGTTTTCTTCTCGCACCACGTCCCGGCAAACTACAGTTCCCAAAATCCTTTGGTGGGGAAGGGGAGAAGAACAAGAAGGAACTATCCTCCATTTCTGGATAGCTCATTTGGTAGAGCATGAGACTCTTAATCCCAAGGTCGTAGGTTCGAGCCCCACAAAGGGTGTTGCAGGGGGTCAGACTAGATGACACATGTGGACCCACCCAACTACATATCTGCGGTTCTGTAGGTGTATGGTGTGGATGTGACTTTAAAAACAGGGTCTCGTGGGTCACCTCCAAACTCTGCTTTTTAAGCGCAGGACTCTCCCTGAACCCTGGGAACTGTAGTTTGCCCTCACAGGGCACGGGCCACAGCAACCTTAACAAACTACAGTTCACAGGGATCTCAGGAGCGGGAGCCATGTGCGCTGAATCTGTGACCGCCGCCTGCAGAAAAAGCAAAACAATCGCGAAGGCGAAGGAATTCCAAAACCCTCAACCAGGTGGTGCTAAACTACAACTCCCATTATCCCTGGCTGTAGGGGGCTCATAGGAGTTGGAGTCCCACAACCTCTGGAGCATGGGTAGGCAAACTGAGGCCCGGGGGCTGGATCCGGCCCAATCGCCTTCTCAATCCAGCCCACAGATGGTCCAGGAATCAGTGTGTTTTCACATGAGTAGAATGTGTGCTTTTATTTAAAATGCATCTCTGGGTTATTTGTGGGGCATAGGAATTCGTTCATTATTTTTTTTCAAAATATAGTCCGGCCCCCAGCAAGGTCTGAGGGACAGTGGACCAGCTCCCTGCTGAAAAAGTTTGCTGACTCCTGCTCTGGAGGGTCAGCCAGTCTCCCCAAAACTGCTTTATTGGGGCCAACCATAACGTTGCACATTGTGAGCAAGCCTTTTTTATTCTTCAGATGTTGAACAAAGTAGGGACAAAGACTCCTCTCCCAGCAGGCCCCCAGTTCCGGACCAAAACCTTATTCAGCCAACTCCCCAGCTTCTCAGCTTTCACTAGGCATTGGGCACCCATGAGGACTATCACCTTGGCAAGGCTTTACCGGAAATCCCCCCAAAAGCAGTTCCCTGGCCACTGCTGCCAAGATGGCCTGCATGCTTTTCTGAGATGTTGTGTCCCCCCATCGCTGGTTTTTGGAAGCTATCGATATAATCTCTGTGTCTTTTTAGTTGCAACGGCCAATGAGTATGCTTGCAAAGGGTTGGACAAATTGGAAGAGAAACTGCCTATTTTGCAACAGCCGTCGGAGAAGGTTAGTAATTTTTTTCTTCTTTCCCGACATGCTCTGCTCAGTGGTACATTATCTGTGTTTCTATCACATGCAAAAGGAAGGATGCTCTAGCCAGGAGAAAAAGGAAGTTTCGACTGGCTGGACCAAACATTCCCTCGCATGTCTTCTCTAGGATTACAAGGAATGTTGTACTTGACTGCCTCTCATGGATCACATCCCACAATGTAAACAGCAACCTGCTTTATGTGTTCTGTTGCACAGCAAGATTCTGCTGGTGCAGAACTCTTAATTCGTCGCCATGTTCGAGAAACTCTTGGAGCTGGAATGTCAAGAACACGCCGTCGTATTTTATCTTGCAGAGTAGAGACCGACTCTCGCATGATGGGAACTTATCCCTGTCTGTGACGTAGGATTGCTTCTCCCCACAGCTTAGGGGGCACAATACTTGCCTTACCCCGGACGCTAGCAACCCACTCTGCGCCACTGCTAAAGACTGAAATGGAAACATCCAACCATTTCTGCCGCATTTGCCAGAGTGAAACCTCCTGTCTAGTGCAAACTTTGGTTGATAGCATTTTGCTCACGATTTTCCAGGTGGTCGCAGACACGAAGGAACTGGTCTCCACCAAAGTGACTGGGGCCCGGGACACTGTCTCCGGTACCCTCAACGGGGCGAAGGATGCTGTGGCTGGCGGCGTGAGCGGGGTGGTGGAAATGGCCAAAGGGGCCGTTCATGGTGGCGTGGAGATGACCAGATCGGTGGTGGCTGGCAGTGTGAACACCGTCCTGGGGTCCAGAGTGGGTCAAATGGTCACCACTGGCATGGATGTGGTCCTGGGCAAGTCTGAAGAGCTAGTGGACCATTATCTCCCGATGACGGACAAAGAACTGGGTAGGTATCCTCGTTAAGGGAATTATTTTATTCGTATCATTCGTTAAATTTATAGGCCTCCCTCCCTCCCAAAGTTACTCAAGGCAGCAAACACACAGGCAGTAAAGCAATAAAATATATTAAAAACCAGTTCCTGGACAAATGCAGACCGGGAAAGATACCTGCTTTCGTTTTTTTGCCAATTTTTATTTATTTTTTTAAAAAATCACAAATCGACACCAAATTAATTCAGATTTAAAAGTTGACTTCCCATACCCCTACCTTGATGTTTCACTTCCCTCCCTCACTTGCTTCTCAGTGTTACATACATCTCCAAATTACATTTCAAGAACTTAAAATATTTGAGCGTTTTATCCTTATTTTTTTACGATTTTCCTCTACTGCTTTGGGGTTTTGATAGACCGCTGTGCTCACCTGTTATCTGCACATTGTTTTTACATACGCCGCTCAGAAATAATTAAGTGGTTGGTTAGATGTTTTAAATAAATATTTAGAAGATGAGAGAGAGAGAGAGAGAGAGAGAGAAAGTACCTGCCTGATATTTAACAGGAGGGGGCTATGTTTATCATACTATATATATATTTATGCCCCCCTGTCTGAACGGTTACCCTGTTCTCACCATGAACCATGATGTCGCCAGTTGGTCCTAGAGGTCCCAAGTCCCTGATGGGCAGAATAGGGACCGCCTCTCGCATGGTGGGAACTTTCCCCTGAACTTTCCCTTGTCTGTGACGAAGGATTGCTTCTCCCCACAGTTTATGGGCCACAGTACTTTCCTTACCCTGGACGCTGGCAACCGACACTGCACCACTGCTAATAATTGAAATGGAAACATCCAAACTTTTCTGCCGCATTTGCCAGAGTGAAACCTCCCGCCTGGTGCAAACTTTGGTGCATAGCATTTTAAGTACTAGGCATTCAGACATAGCGTTTTGTGCATATTGAACTGATACCTTTAACGCCACCATAACCATAACCACCACCCCTCTCTCATTCCCAGCTGAACTCGCTACCTCTGTGGAGGGTTTTGAAATCGCCACCGTGGAGCAGCAGAAAGAGCAGAGGAGCTACTTTGTGCGCCTGGGGTCTCTCTCAGCCAAACTCCGCCACCGAGCCTACCAGCACTCTCTGGGCAAGCTGAGGGATGCCAAGCAGAGTACCCAAGATGCCCTCGCCCAGCTACACCAAACCATCGAGCTGGTAAGAATGTCCCGAAAACTGATCCAGAGCCTTTTATTTCTAATCTATACTCTACACACTCCTTAACTGGGCCGGGGCTGCTTATGTCTGGGGTGGCGGGCATGTGGTTTATTGGGATATTTTGCTATTGTGTATTTTTTTGGGAGGGTTATGTTGTAAGCCACCCTATGAACTTAATAAATAAAAGTGATTTACAGCTTGAGAAGTGCCTGTTGGCTGAGCTGCTATGACATCACATAAGGCACATTTCAGCTGCCCAGGGTGAAGGTTCCAGTGATGTATTGTTGGCAAACGATTAGAGGGGTTGGATTGAATGGGTAGAAGACGCAAGGGATCTGGGGCATAAAGGAGAGCTTGCCAGAACAGGCCAGTGATCTAGTGATCACCCAGATTCTTCTAGGAATCTGGCAAACAGGGCACAAGCACAACAGCAGTTTCTGATTCCCAGAAACCGGTATTCCGAGCCCTGCCACATCTGACGGTGGACGTGGAACACAGCCATCGTCCCTAGGATCTGCTGATAGCCTTCTGGTCCATGAGTTTGTCCCATCCAGTCCACAACCCTATTTTAAAGGCACCCAAGGTGCTTGCTGTCACGGCCTCCTGTGGCAGAGAGTTCCGCAGTTCAGTTGTCAGAATAAGGACTTCCTTTTGCCCGCCCTTTCTCTTCCAACACCCAGCTTCGTGGGGTGCCCACTGCCTTCTAATGTTGCAAGAGAAGCTCTCCTCTGTCCACTTTTGGGGCACCTCGGTGGGTTGGGGACTGAGGTTCGGGGCTTGGCGGGATGGCATGTGCACTGGACGGCTGGAACGGAGTGAGATTTAACCAGGCGACGTTTGAGGACCCTGGTGAAAACAGCCGCATGGACCGCAGAGACGTTGGAGTTGGTAAGCAATGGCTGCATTGCATGGAGGCATAAAACAATTCTCCATCCACATCAGGCCTTGTCTATACATAACTCAGAGCGCAGTGCTGATGATGTCGAGGTTTCAGGTTCAATCTGCCGCATTCGCCAGAGTGAAACCTTTTGAAACGGATGATCTTTGGGGTTCTGCCCAACTCCATGATTCTATAAAAGGTGTAGGGGAACCTGTGGCCCTCCAGACGTTGCAGAACTACAGCTCCCATTATCCTTGGCCGTGCTTGCTGATGGGAGTTGTAGTCCCACGCCATCTTGAGAGCCAAAGGGTTCTTCTTGACCTGTAAGCAATAGCAGGTGCAGGAGAATGACTGGGTTTTTATTTATTTTTTTAAACAAAAAGAAAAGCAAGCTTCTGGTGTGGTTCCCTCCGACCCTTTCTTGTCCCTTGTCAGATGGAACATGTCAAACAGGGAGTGGACCACAAGCTACATGGCGGCCAAGAGAAGCTACATCAGATGTGGCTGGATTGGAACCAGAAGCAAGCTCAAAGTGATGAGCCACAACACTCCTTGGTGCAGCCAGAGGTAGCTCCTCCCTTTCTCTTAGGGGGGTGGGTGGGGAGATCAGCCCCTTCTAAAAACGAATGACCAGTTACCCCCCACCCACCCACCCCCAAAAAAGATCCCTTGATGGACAACCCTGCGATCAAGAATCTGATGCTGTACAGCAAATCAGCACACTTTTTCAGTATTATTTTCTTACCTGCGCTGGTGATAGTCCTTGTTTGGATGGGGGGCTTTTATCCATTGCCGCAGTCGCACAATCAATCCATCAGTAGCTGAACTGGGTTCCGCACAGTCACAGAAATAAACTACCGTATTTTTTGCTCTATAAGACTCACTTTTTCCCTCCTAAAAAGTAAGGGAAATGTGTGTGCGTCTTATGGAGCGAATGCAGGCTGCACAGCTGTCCCAGAAGCCAGAACAGCAAGAGGGATTGCTGCTTTCACTGCGCAGTGATCCCTCTTGCTGTTCTGGCTTCTGAGATTCAGAATATTTTACTTGTTTTCCTCCTCCAAAATCTAGGTGCGTCTTGTGGTCTGGTGCTTCTTATAGAGCAAAAAATACAGTAACCAAAAAAGCCTCAAAAACACAAAATAAATAGCAAAAACAAAAGCACCAAACTTAATCCGTTCCGGAAGTCCGTTTGACTTCCGAAATGTTCGAAAACCAAGGCGCGGCTTCTGATTGGTGCAGGCTCCCCGGAAACTATAGCCGACAGCCGCATCGGACATTCGGCTTCTGACAAATGTTCGAAACCCAGAACACTTCCGTCCGGGTTTCCGGTGTTTGAGAACCAAGGTACCACTGAGAACCAGATTTTGAACAAAGGCCAAGGTTCTAGTCCCTCTTGAGGTGGAAGTAATGCTGGTTTCTAAAGGGGGGGGGACTTTGCGCAAGGTTGCCAACGCGGTTCCTTGTTTCTCACGGAGGACCTTAAGGTCCATAAATAGCAACACCCTAGTGGTCCCGGGCCCTAAGGAAGTCATATTAGCCTCAACCAGAGCCAGGGCCTTCTCAACACTGGCCCCGGCCTGGTGGAACGCTCTGCCTCATGAGACCAGGGCCCTGCAGGATCTGATTTCTTTCCGCAGGGCCTGTAAGACAAAGTTGTTCCACCTGGCCTTTGACTTGGAATCAATTTGATTCCCTCCCCCCCTTTCTTTTTTCCTTTCTCCTCCTGTGATGAGGCTGCATTTTAATGTTTTAATTGTTTTAATGTTATACAGTAGTACCTCAGGTTACATACGATTCAGGTTACATACGTGTCAGGTTACAGACTCCGCTAACCCAGAAATAGTGCTTCAGGTTAAGAACTTTGCTTCAGGATGAGAACAGAAATCGGGCTGCGGCAGCAGCAGGAGGCCCCATTAGCTAAAGTGGTGCTTTAGGTTAAGAACAGTTTCAGGTTAAGAATGGACCTCAGGAACAAATTAAGTCCTTAACCCAAGGTACCACTGTATTTTAATCTTGTTTTTTAAGTTGTACAGTGGTGACTCGCAAGACGAAATTAATCCGTTCTGCGAGTGTCTTCGTCTAGTGGTTTTTTCGTCTTGCGAAGCAACCCTATTAGCGGTTTAGCGCTATTAGCGGTTTAGCGGCTATTAAAGGCTTATCGGATTAGCGGATTAGCTGCTAAAAGGCTATTAAAGGCTTAGCGGCTTAGATAAAGGGGGGAGTTCCAAGGAAAGCATCTCAGAGACCTCTGCATAGTACATTTTCGCTCTTGCGAAGCGAAGCCCATAGGGAAATTGGACCTGTCGAAGCAGACTCAAAGAGCGGAGACGCCCTTTCAGATCTAGCCAGGGCTATTTCCGTCTTAGGTCAGCACCAGCACTTTGATCTATGCTGGAGCACCACTTGTATTTCATATCTAACTTGTTTTTATTATTGGTTGTTAGCCGCCCTGAGCCCGGTCTTGGCTGGGGAGGGTGGGGTATAAAATTATTATTATTATTATTATTATTATTATTATTATTATTATTATTGTTATCCTAGGTGGAATCCCAGTCTCTCGCCCTGCTCAGGGGCCTCACCCAGCAGCTACAGCTCTCCTGCGTCACCCTCGTGTCCAGCGTCCAAGGCCTTCCCTCCGGCATCCAGGACAGAGTCCAACAGGTCCGCCAAACCGTTGAGGGTCTCCACTCGTCCTTCTCCGGGGCTCGCTCCTTCCAAGACGTGCCGGCCGCCCTCCTGAGCCAGAGCCGCGAGAGGATCGCCAAGGCGCGCAGCTCGATGGACGAGATGTTGGACTACGTCGTGCAAAACGTCCCCCTCCCGTGGGTGGTGGGGCCCTTTGCGCCCAACCTGGTGGAGCTTCCAGAGGCAGAGGGAGTTGGCTCCCGGGCGCAGGAAGACCCCGCTGAAAAGCCTAAGACCCCGCAAAAGGAGCCCTCCGAACCGGAGAAGGAACTTTAGAGCTTCCGTGCTGTCCATTTCTGAAATCTGCGGCGGCTGCAGAGAATCCTTGGGAACCGTAGTATTGCAAGGAAGTCGAGAATACCGAACCTGTAGCCCTCCAGATGTTGTGGCTCTTGGCTCCCAGCACATCTGGAGGACCATAGGTTCCCCGTCTCAAAGACCTGGTGCTTTTTTATTTTCTTTTTGCAGAACTACAGTTCCCAAGTGTTTCTGGCTGAGCAGAGGTTCCAACAGCGCCTGTTGTAATTGAGATGTGCCTTATTGGAATGCTGAATGGTGGCGGCGACAAGGGGAAAAATGGTCTGAACGATGAGCCGCTTTGTGTGTTTGTCAAACACATCTCCCATCCTTTAGAAAGAGAATATTGTCCTATTCCCCCACTGCCAACACTTAGGGGCATTTAAAGTCCCTAGCAAATAGCTAAGAACTCTGAAATTTTGAAATGGAAGGAGTAAATTACTTGGGTAAATTACTTACACAATCTGGGGGCCGCTAGAATTTTTGGAATTTACTATTAAAAAAGAGAGAGGGAAAAAAAGGTTTTCTCAAGCTAAGTTCTACTCAAGAGTTGACCGTTTGAAATTAACGTTCCGAAGCAATGGGTTGCATCTACTGCTGGCCCTACTCCCGAGTAGACCCGTGCCCAGCATGTCATGGTTCTACTTCCGAGTAGGACTGACAGTGGCTGCAAACCTCTTGAAACGACTGAAGCAAGTGAGCTATGGGCATTATTTTCAGCTAGTCTACTCTTGAGTAAGACTAACACTGGCCATGATCTAACACGGAATTGTAGAGTTGGAAGGGACCCATGATGGTCCTCTAACTAGTCCAGCCCCCTTCAACGCAGGAAACTTTTGCCGAACTTGGGACTCGAACCCACGACCTCTGGGCTTAGGGGGGCTTATGCCCTATTGACTGAGCTATCCATGTGTGCCCTGTAAATCGTGGTTTTCTAGATTTAGATTCAGGAAATCCCAATGCTTTTAACGTAAGTTTAAACTATTGTTTTAACTTTTAGTGAAATGTCTCCTCCTTCACTCTTGCCCTACCCTGTTGTGGCTTTCAGTTTTTGACAATGTTTCTCTTCCCTACCCCCCTCCTCAATTTCTCAAGTTTCTTCCCAATGCCATGGGGGTGGAAAAAAGACCCCACCCCGCTCTTAATGTGGTTCCAGCATGAATCTTGCATAGCCTCCGTTGGTGGCCTTTCTTTTGTAACTGAGGGCTTCACCACAATTCCTCTAGTCTTGCTGCTGCCCTCTGGGGTGGGAAACTGCTCTTTAGTGCTCATTCAGAGCAAACAGCCGTTCAGGTTTCCAGTGGGTTGCTGTTTGTTCCTATTTCGAGCTAAAGAGCAGGGTTTGTTTGTTTTTCTGGGAAAGGAGAAGGACAAGGAGGCAAGCACTTGGAACTGTCCGAGCGCAGGTCAAGAGGAACTTTGGGTGAGCCCTGGAATCAACGCCGGTCCCGAGAAATCCAGCCTGAAGTGCCGCTAACGTTTTTGTACCTCCGTAGAATTGTTTTACTTCCAGAATAAAGAAATGACTTCTTTTGAGCTGTGGATCTCTCAGTGGTTTTTGATACCATCGACCAGGGTCTCCTCCTGGACTGTCCAGAGGAGTTGGGGGGAGATAATAATAATAATAATTTATTATTTATACCCCGCCCATCTGGCTGGGTTTCCCCAGCCACTCTGGCTGGCTTCCAACAGAATATTAAAATATAATAACCTATTAAACAGTTTCCCTAAACAGGGAAACTTATGCAGTGGTTCCTCTCTTTCCTCCTGGGCCGTGTCCAGAAAGTGGTGTTGGAAGATGAGTGTTCAGACCGCTGGGTTCTCATTTGTGGGGTGCCTCAGGGCTCCGTCCTCTCCCCCATGTTTTTTAACATCTATATCGGGCATAGGCAAATTCCGGCCTTCCAGATGCTTGGGACTACAATTCCCATCATCCCTAGCTAACAGGACCAGTGGTTGGGGATGATGGGAGTTGTAGTCCCAAACATCTGGAGGGCCGGAGTTTGCCTATGCCTGATCTATATGAAGCCACTGGGAGAGAGCATTAGGGGGTTAAGGCTGGGTGTTCATCAGTATGCGGATGATACCCAGCTCTACCTCTCTTTCAAATCAGAACCAGTGAAGGTCCTTTGCGAGTGTCTAGAGGCGGTCAGAGGACGGATGGCAACTAACGGATTGAGGTTGAATCCTGACAAGACAGAAGTACTGTTTTGGGGGGACAGGGGGCGGGTGGGTATGGGAGACTCCCTGGTCCTGAATGGGGTAACTGTACCCCTGAAGGACCAGGTGCGCAGCCTAGGAGTCATTTTGGACTCGCATCTGTCCATGGAGGCGCAGGTCAATTCTGTGTCCAAGGCAGCTGTTTACCAGCTCCATCTGGTACGCAGGATGAGACCCTACCTGCCCGCAGACTGTCTGGCCAGAGTGGTGCATGCTCATTTATCCCTGCCTCATTTGTTTGTTCTTGCGACCATGTTGATGGTCAATAATTATAATAATAATAATTTATTTCTATGCCACCCATCTGACTGGGTCGCCCCAGCCACTCTGGGCGGCTCACAACAAAAAATAGTAAAAAATACAAAACTTCCCTGAACGGCTTTATATTTTAAAGAAAAGAATCTCAAAGTGGTTACAAACATACCTCAAATCGTCAAATAAATCAATCCAGAATAAAACGTCGCTGAAGAAAATATACTTTCAAAGCAACGCAATGAACAAAAAACATTCTCTTCAACGCTTTCAAAATAAAACATGAAGGAGATCGGGTGCAGAATGCACACTGAGCGCAGCAAAGTTAACACACACACAAAGTTTCGCTTAAGTGTTTTGAAATGAAACATTGCTAAAGGTGGTCCCTGGCTTCTTCCACAGCCTCTGCTTTCGTAGCTGGAGTCGGTCTGGGTCCCGCCTTCACAGGCCAGGTAAGAAAAGCCTGCGAGGCAAGGAGAGATCCTGCGAGACTCGCAGCCAAAACTATGACCAAGTCTCTCTTCTGGCAGGACCCTTGTGCCTTTTGTACGCAACATACACAAAGCATTCGAAGTCTCCCATATCACAGCCTCTGCGCCTGTGGGATTTCTGCCTGCAGTGCTGTAAGATGCTACACGAAACACTAGCACCAGGAGTTAGGTAAAGGTAAAGGGACCCCTGACCATTAGGTCCAGTTGTGGTCGACTCTCGGGTTGCAGCACTCATCTCACTTTACTGGCCGAGGGAGCCGGCGTACAGCTTCCGGGTCATGTGGCCAGCATGACTAAGCCGCTTCTGGCGAACCAGAGCAGCGCACGGAAACGCCGTTTCCCTTCCCGGTAGAGCGGTACCCATTTATCTACTTGCACTGGTGTGCTTTCGAACTGCTAGGTTGGCAGGAGCAGGGACAGAGCAATGGGAGCTCACCGCGTCGCGGGGATTCAAACCACCAACCTTCTGATCGGCACGTCCTCGGCTCTGTGGTTTAACCCACAGCGCCACCCACGGCCCAGCACCAGGAGTTATCTCCGGGGTAAAAAGGAATGCTATACAGAAGGTTGTCTCTGAGCATAAGCAGAGTGGCGTTTCCACAATTCCCTGCACTCCACAATTTATCTGTGTCTCTGGGCAGACTCGAGAGTTGCAATTTCCACCCGAATCATAAGCACGTGTTTACACAAAAGTAAGTCCCGCTGTTTTCAAGAGGGGAGCTACTCCCAGGGAGATCGTGCCAAGGAATCCAGCAGGGCTTACTCCGAAGTAAAGGAGGCATAGGATTGCAATTTTGCTTTTTTTGCTTATCAGCTTCACAGTTGTATCAGGAACCATTTTTTAAACTTGATTTTTCAGCAAGAGGCAATGACAGCAATGCCGTGTCATTCAGCAGGCTGGGAACCCTCCCGCCCCCAAGAAAATGAAGCTGCGAGGGGTTTGCTGCCCCGGTTGGATTTCTGCCTGCCTATAGAAGATCGCAACGTCGGCTCCGAATTCGCCCACTTCCACTTTCATTTCCTCCAGCGGGGGTGGAGCTTCACTTCGCTTGTTTTGAACCAAACTTTCAGGAACCGGAGGAAAAAATCGCCTTCTCCCCCACCCTTCCCCTTTAACCCCACCCACATTCCGGAGCTCACATGATGCCTGTTTGCTCCTGATTGCAGACAGCGAGGAAGGGGAGTCACTCCGGAGTATATTAAGAGGTGGGCGCGGGCGTGTCTCTTACAGTTGCTGGAGCTGAAACTCCGCCGGACCCGTCAGGTGAGCTAAAAGACTTTGTAGTTTCTTTCTTTCTTTCCCAATTCGGGTCAGATACTTCGAAAGCAATGGTTTCACTATCCATCTCTTCTTTTAATACTATTTCTGAGTCAGTATTTATAGGGCTGTAGCTGGATTTGAAATATTTAGCTGCTTACCGCAAGTTTTGGGGTGATGGCCAGCTTTTTAATTATTATCTCAAAGTCTAGGGATGTAACAGCTTGCTTAGTCGAGGTGTGCTTAAATCGCATTTCCCTGCCTCCACGAAATGCTGGGAACTGTAGCTCATAGGGAGCTACAATTAACAGCATGCTTTGCAAACTAAAGTTCCCCGGATTTTGGGGGTTGGGGTTAAATGTGCTTTCAGTGTGGGGGAACGAATGAGTAGGGCTTAAAGAGTAAAGTAGAGGCAAAAAAGCACCCTCTTTTCACGTATAGTATTTTAGAGTTGGAAGAGACCCCCAACGGTCATCTAGTCCAACCCCCTGGAATGCAGGAATCTCAACTGAAGCCCATCAATTGAATTTTATTACAGTGGTACCTCGGGTTAAGTACTTAATTCGGTCCGGAGGTCCGTACTTAACCTGAAACTGTTCTTAACCTGAAGCACCACTTTAGCTAATGGGGTCTCCTGCTGCCGCTGCGCCGCCGGAACACAATTCCTGTTCTCATCCTGAAGCAAAGTTCTTAACCTGAAGCACTATGTCTGGGTTAGCAGAGTCTGTAACCTGAAGCGTATGTAACCCGAGGTACCACTGTATTTCGGTCACAGACCAGTTCCAGCCCACATACAATATCAAGGAAGTCATGGAACACGATAGGGATACATTTGAGTTTGCAGTTAGGTATAACAGGGACAATAGATATAGCAACAGTTAAAAAAATATATAAATTAAAACTTAGTCACTAACATATAACCTAAAATGATCATTTAAGGCCTTAATCATTATGATAGCACAGCATGTTCCCTAAGTTTTATGGCAATCGCACAGAATTTGGCTACCCTTAACGTGATCTCAGGATCCTTGTCCTCTACCAGGGATTTTAGACATTGAAGTTCAGATTCATTTGGAGATTTTTGCATAGCAGGGGTAATAAATAGAGCGTATAACCCCGTAGAAACGGCAGCGTAACAAGGCATGAAACAGTTTCTACCTCCATCAAACCGCAGGGAGAGCGCTCTCAAGTGACCTGGAATGAGACCTTGGGCTGTTACGATTAGTAATTAGGTTAAGGTAAAGGGACCCCTGACCATTAGGTCCAGTCGCAGCTGACTCTGGGGTTGCGGCGCTCATCTCGCTTTACTGGCCAAGGGAACCGGCGTACAGCTGGTCATGTGGCCAGCAGGACTGAGCCGCTTCTGGCGAACCAGAGCAGCGCACGGAAATGCCGTTTACCTTCCCGCCGGAGCGGTACCTATTTATCTACTTGCGCTTTGACGTGCTTTTGAACTGCTAGGTTGGCAGGAGCAGGGACCGAGCAACGGGAGCTCACCCCGTTGCAGGGATTCGACCTGCTGACCTTCTGATTGGCAAGTCCTAGGCTCTGTGGTTTAACCCACAGCGCCACCCGCGCCCCATATGATTAGTAATTACTCACTGACAAATGTTAACACCAGCTCAAAACAGCTTGCCATCTCAGAAATAAGGCATAAGGATCCCGAATGCCTTGGTACTCAGACGTTTTGGCTCCTGAACCCTGATATTAAAAACACAATCAAACATCAGACGTTAAAAACCTCCCTAAACAGGGCTGCCTTCAGATGTCTTCTAAAAGTCAGATACAGTGGTACCTCGGTTTACGAACTTAATCCGTTCCGGAAGTACGTTCTTAAACCGAAGCCATTCTTTCCCTAATGAGGCCTCCCACCGCCGGTGCCCTTCCACCTTTCGGATTCTGTTCTTGGACCGAGGTAAACTTCGCAAACCGGGACACTACTTCCGGTTTTGCGGAGTTCGTAAACCGAATCGTTCGTCAACAGGACTGTTCTTAAACCGAGGTGCCACTGTAGTTGTTTATTCCCTTGACATGTTCCACAGGGCGGGCGCCACCACCGAGAAGGCCCTCTGCCTGGTTCCCTGCAACCTCGCTTCTCGCAGGGAGGGAACCGCCAGAAGACCCTCGGAGCTGGACCTCAGTTGTCCGGGCTGGACAATGGGGGTGGCTGCAATTGCTTTGTTAAACGTTGGCTATCCGGTTCATCTGTGATGGGTTTTGTCTCTCCAAAGAGAAGTGTGTGATGTCGAAACAGCTCTGCTTGAGTAAATGGTGGGGAGTCTTGCAAAATTTATCTTTTTTGGGTGAAGGTTGCAGTCCTTCACATCCCAGAAAATGTGGCAAGGGTAGTCGTCTAGGCGTACGGCTTTGTCTTGCCAAACAAAGAACCTCTGAGTTGGAGGTTGTTTGGCAAGCCAGCCCACCTCCCAAAAGCAAAGGATTCTTGACAGCCTTTATACAGAGTCAGGCCATTGGGTCTTACAACACCCAATGGCATCAACTCTCCAGGGTTCGAGGCCGCAACTGGGGATGTCTGGATTCGAACTCGTGACCTTCGGCGTCCAAAGCCAATTCTGCTCCGCTGAGCTTACAGCACTTCTACAGGACTCCTGAGTGGCTCGCAACTGATTCATCGCCATTCGGAGTCTGTTAGGTTCAGTACTCAAATCAAATCATATAGAGCCAGGCTGGAAAACAGAGTTGGCGTTTTGCAAAAAATAAAATAAATAAAATAAAATAAAATCCCAGTGCCAGATTGAAGACCTCTGCTCCGAACAGGGTGGATTTGATTTAAATCAAATCGATTTAAACCACAATTTAAATCACTAGTCTGTAAAACTTGATTTGGATCCTTAATTTTTTTACAGAAAGACTCCTCCTTGCTGGTACAACCTGGAATATTTCCAACCAGATGAAGGTTTCGTTTTTGGAACAATAACTTTTCAGAGTGGTTTTTACAGTTATATCAAAAATTACTGATTTGGTTATACTATTAGAAATACATAGATGACGAAATTATTGCGAGGTTTAATAAGTTGACTGTTTATACTTGGGCAACTTTTCTGCTGTACTTTTTTGGAAGGAGAAAAGCAATCATTCCTTTCATAGCAATTTAAACAATTTATTTAACTAAAACAGTAACATTATAGCAAAGGTATCCATGTTTGTTAACATGTTTTTTTTAAAAAAAAACGTAGACTGAGTTTTAGCACACGTGAAAAAACTTAAGACAAATCCTTATTTCCTGATGAATAGCCTTTGGACTATAATGTAACTTAAAGAGAAAATCTTTTTGCTCCAAAAGCATTTTATTTTAAAAATCCAGTTTTTTAAAAGACAGATTTAATTTTTTTTTAAAAAATCCGATTTTAAAAAATTATTTATTGATTTTTATCTACCCTGACTCCAAAGCACATCTTTCCCCATGTGGTGCACAGATTTGCAACTCAGAAACCTTGAGCCGAGTCCAGCCGCAAGGCCTTGTTCGCTGTCAAGGAAAAGAGGGGGGGTGTCTTTATTTTCTTTTTGCAAAGAGACTTGTAAGCAGCCCGTGACAAAGGCAGACGTGATTCTTCCCCCATCCCGAATCGACCTTCTGGACCTTCTGAGCTGCTAATCGCACGTGGCTGCCTTATCTCCCAGCCTCCAACCAGGGAATGTCTTTGTGGCCCTGGATTTTACCCCCAAGATTATCTCTGTATATGTGACTCAAGAGAGTTTCTTATTCCTTCTTAGCTGCAAGAATGTCGTCCTCAGAAGGTGATGCTGCTGCCTCTACAGTAACCGAAGAACAAGACCCGAAAGTAAGTGGCTGGTTTTGTTTTTCCCAACTATTTGTCTCTCCAGTATACCTGAAGGAGCGTCTCCACCCCCATCGTTCTGCCCGGACACTGAGGTCCAGCTCCGAGGGCCTTCTGGCGGTTCCCTCACTGCGAGAGGCCAAGTTACAGGGAACCAGGCAGAGGGCCTTCTCGGTGGTGGCACCTGCCCTGTGGAACGCCCTCCCATCAGATGTCAAAGCAATAAACAACTACCTGACATTCAGAAGACATCTGAAGGCAGCCCTGTTCAGGGAAGTTTTTAATATGTGACATTTTAGTGTATTTTTCATCTTTGTTGGAAGCCGCTCAGAGTGGCTGGGGAAACCCAGCCAGATGGGTAGGGTACAAATAATAAATTATTATTATTATTATTATTATTTTGTATAGTTCAACTTTCTTATAATTTCTGTTTGGTATGTTGTTATAAACAAAATCTGCCCTTCTTCCCTTATGGGGTATCCAAGAGCCTATATAGAGTCCTTAAATGGGTTCCCTATCGGTAGGAGAAAATAACAGAGGCCAACCAGAGAATAATGACAAACAAAGCAGCTAGTAGGCCTGATCTTTATTGATCTGTTGCAACAGGGTGCTCCCCTCACACGCAGGAAAGGAGGAGGAACCCAGAAAAATAATGTGCAAGGCCTTATAAAGACTTTTGAAATTGCCACCCTGTAGATCAAGACCACCCCCAGAAACATCATACCTGCATCACAGAAAAGGTGATCTACAACAGAAATCTGAGTGCGTTGTTTATCTCCTATCTGGCAGGTTACCTGTTAATGGTCACTTGATTGGATTGCCTGGGGAGCTTGGCCAGTCTTTTGTAATGATAAATACTTAGTTCCTGAGCCAGGTCACAGGCTCACCCTATTCATACACAGACATACCCTTAAAACAGGATTTGTGAACGAAAAGACAATGGGGAGGCTTTTCCATGTTGTAGCTTTTCCTGTCTGCCGGGTTATCTGATAATGCCTTATCTCAGGGGTCAGCAAACTTTTTCAGCAGGGGGCCAGTCCACTGTCCCTCAGACCTTGTGGGGGGCCGGACTATATTTTGAACAAAAAAAAAATCAATGAATTCCTGTGCCCCACAAATAACCCAGAGATGCATTTTAAATAAAAGGACACATTCTGCTCATGTAAAAACACGCTGATTCCCGGACCATCCGTGGGCCGGATTTAGAAGGCGATTGGGCCAGATCCGGCCCCCGGGCCTTAGTTTGCCTATCCATGTCTTATCTGATTGCCTTTCCTGGTAGTCTGGCCATTCCTTTGAGATGGTGATTACCCAATTCCTGAGACAAGGGGAAGGTTCCCTCACCCCCTCCCTCCTTGCAGAGAAAACATTTGGTCAGTTTGAGAGTCAAAATGGTTTCAGGACGGTCTTCCTGTGCTGATCTGTGTACGTGTTTGGTTGGTACATTTATGAACATTTATTATATATACAGTGGTACCTCGTGTTAAGTACTTAATTCGTTCCGGAGGTCCGTTCTTAACCTGAAACTGTTCTTAACCTGAAGCACCACTTTAGCTAATGGGGCCTCCCACTTCTGCTGTGCCGCCGCCGCCGCGCGATTTCTGTTCTCATCCTGAAGCAAAGTTCTTAACCTGAGATAATATTTCTGGGTTAGCGGAGTCTGTAACCTGAAGCGTATGTAACCTGAAGCATATGTAACCCGAGGTACCACTGTATAAGACCTTGTCTAGACATATTACAATGTCTAGTTCTCTATTTCCTCCAAAAAGCTCAAGGCAGCGACTCTCCCTCTCCCTCCCCTCTGTTTATCCTTCCCGAAAACCTTCTGAGGATGATTTTGGCTGAGGGACAGTCCCTGGCCCCAAAGACCCCCACTGAGTTTCCTGGCTTGAGTGCGAGAGTTGAACCCGGGTCCCCTAGTCGGGCACTCTGACCGCTGTACCACACTGCCCTCCCATCAAATGCCAGTGAGGGGTTACTTGGCAGATCCTTGCAAAAATTGCCCACGGCCCAGAACAGGTTTGGCGGCAAGGTCTAAGAGGGTCAGAGTTCGAAACGCGTGCGGGAGATGGCATTCGGATATTCCCCAGAAACAATGGGGGCTACTCTAAAGAGCAGAAAGCTTTAATAATAATAATAATTTATTATTTTTACCCCGCCCATCTGGCTGGGTTTCCCCAGCCACTCTGGGCGGCTTCCACAAAGACCAAAAATACACTAATATGTCAAACATTAAAAACTTCACTGAACAGGGCTGCCTTGATGTCTTCTGAATGTCAGGTAGTTGTTTATCTCTTTGACATCTGGTGGGAGGGTGTTCCACAGGGCGGGCACCACTACCGAGAAGGCCCTCTGCCTGGTTCCCTGTAGCTTTGCTTCTCTCAGTGAGGGAACCGCCAGAAGGCCCTCGGCGCTGGACCTCAGTGTCTGGGATGGACGATGGGGGTGGAGACGCTCCTTCAGGTATACTGGGCCAAGGCCGTTTAGGGCTTTAAAGGGCAGCACCAACACTTTGAATTGTGCTCGGAAACATACTGGGAGCCAATGTAGGTCTTTCAAGACCGGTGTTATGTGGTCTCGGCGGCCGCTGCCAGTCCCCAGTCTAGCTGCCGCATTCTGGATTAAGCGCTGGAGGTTGGCGTTTCAAAATCTCTGCTCAAATGTGATTGCAGGAAAGTGGCACAAAGGCAGCCCCATCTCACGGGAGCAAAAGTCAAGTGCTTCGATTGGCTTGCTTCCAAGGAATTGCATTCAATGGGCTGCATTCCCAACCCTCCCCAGGCCTGACCGTCTTGCGGAGCGAAGCTGAAATAACGAAACTGTCTGGTTCTACTTAGTGGCAAAGGTCAGCACCGAAACTTTGAATTGTACTTGGCAATGGCAGCCAAGGAGCAGATTGATAGGAGCACATCTGCAAACATTTAAAGCGCATTACTGCGGACTGTAAGGGACGCGGGTGGCGCTGTGTGTTAAACCACAGAGCCTAGGACTTGCCGATCAGAAGGTCGGCGGTTCGAATCCCCGCGACGGGGTGAGCTCCCATTGCTCAGTCCCTGCTCCTGCCAACCTAGCAGTTCGAAAGCACATCAAAGTGCAAGTAGATAACTAGGTACCGCTCCGGCGGGAAGGTAAACGGCGTTTCTGTGCGCTGCTCTGGTTTGCCAGAAGCGGCTTAGTCCTGCTGGCCACATGACCCGGAAGCTGTACGCCGGCTCCCTCGGCCAATAAAGCGAGATGAGCGCCGCAACCCCAGAGTCGGCCACGACTGGACCTAATGGTCAGGGGTCCCTTTACCTTTTTACTGCGGACTGTAGTTAACTCTCTCTTCCCAAGAACTGAAATTCCCAGCTCCTTTAAACTACAGTTCCCAGGAATCTTTGCCGGCAGGGGGAGACAGAAGTCGTGTGTTTTAAACGCACATCGGATGTGCTTAAATGTATGTCCTGTTGCGTTGCCAGTTGAGGGACCTCCAAGCGCAGCTGGTGTTTTAATATTTTTGTGTGTGATAATTTTATTATTAGAACCCTGCCCATCTGACTGGGTTGGCCCAGCCACTCTGGGAGGCTTCCGGCATATACAATAACACAATAGAACATGAAACATTAAAAAAAAATCTCTATGCAGGGCTGCCATGAGGTGTCTTCTAAAGTTCTTCAGAGCTTTGCCAGTTTACAGTGTCATTAGCCTGACTAGCCAGCAGTGACTTGTAGTTCATAGACAGCAAATGATTCCATTGTGAGGTCAGCTGGCCCGAGAGATGACAGTCACTGTCTTCGGCTTGAGTCAGGATTCGAACTCAGGACGGTCTAATCACTGTACACGCATGACAGCACATTTTTTATTTTTATATTTTTTATTACCGTATTTTTCGCTCTATAAGACGCACCAGACCGCAAGACGCACCTAGTTTTTGGAGGAGGAAAACAAGAAAAAATATATATTCTGAATCTCAGAAGCCAGAACAGCAAGAGAGGGATCACTGTGCCGCGAAAGCAGCAATCCCTCTTGCTGTTCTGGCTTCTGGGATAGCTGCGCAGCCTGCATTCGCTCCATAAGACGCACACACATTTCCCCTTACTTTTTAGGAGGGAAAAAGTGAGTCTTATAGAGCAAAAAATACGGTAATTTTTATTGAAGTTTTTATCTCTACAAAATTAACAGAAAGAAAGAAACGTTTCTTTCGCATGACAGCACACTTGTCTTTCGTCTGCCCATCGACCTGCGAGCCACACTGCCCCGGGTAACCGCAATTTCTAGTTTTTCTGCAACTTTTATCGAGGGGCAGACGCCATGCCGAAATTCAGAACGCCAAATCTTCGGCAGCTGTGGGCTCCTGCGGAGAACTAAACTGCTCTTTTTAATCCCCCTTTCTGGCTTCTACGTTCAGAGGCTCACAAATGGACTAGAGGCCAGAGTTCGAATCACGCTGCGTCATGAAACTCATGACTCCCATGCTATCTCTCACCCCAACCTACTTTATGAGGTGAAATGTCCAGGTTGCACAATCAGCTTTGATTTATTCGTTTGTTTGCAAGGGGACTGAATTGTGACAACCCAGACTTCTGCTGTGGCAGCGCTGGAGAAACTTCCTTTTGCAGAATCTCTTGTCTCAGATAATATTATTATTAATAATAATAATAAATTAATAATTTATTATTTATACCCCGCCCATCTGGCTGAGTTTCCCCAGCCACTCTGGGCGGCTCCCAATCAAGTGTTAAAAACAATACAGCGTTAAATATTAAACACTTCCCTGAACAGGGCTGCCTTCAGATGTCTTTTAAAGATAGGATAGCTGCTTATTTCCTTCACATCTGAAGAGAGGGTTTTCCACAGGGCGGGCGCCACTACCGAGAAGGCCCTCTGTCTGGTTCCCTGTAACCTCACTTCTCGCAATGAGGGAACCGCCAGAAGCCCCTCAGCGCTGGATCTCAGTGTCCGGGGTGGACGATGGGGGTGGAGATGCTCCTTCAGGGATACCAGACCGTTTAGGGCTTTTAAGGTCAGCACCAACACTTTGAATTGTGCTCGGAAATGTACTGGGAGCCAATGCAGATCTCTCAGAACCGGTGTTATGTGGTCCCAGCGGCCACTCCCAGTCACCAGTCTAGCTGCCGCATTCTGGATTAATTGCAGTTTCCGGGTCACCTTCAAAGGTAGCCCCACGTAGAGCACATTGCAGTAGTCCAAGTGGGAGATAACTAGAGCATGGACCACTCTGGCGAGACCGTACACAGACAGGGAGGGTCTCATCCTGCGTACCAGATGGAGCTGGTAAACAGCCACCCTGGACACAGAATTAACCTGCGCCTCCATGGACAGCTGTGAGTCCAAAATGACTCCCAGGCTGCGCACCTGGTCCTTCAGGGGCACAGTTGCCCCATTCAGGACCAGGGAATCCCCCACACCCGCCTGCCCCCTGTCCCCCAAAAACAGTACTTCTGTCTTGTCAGGATTCAACCTCAATCTCAATCTTCCCTCATTGAAGCCGCTAAGACCCACAGAACCCCACCTGGCCTCGTGGAATCATAGTCAGAAGGGACCCTAAGGGGCATCTATTCGTATTTCCCAAAGGATTATCAACAAATAATAACCGCGTCTCCCGCAAAAGCCCTGAGTTTATATATCTTCCATTCTTTTTCTCCTCCGTCCCCAACCCAAAAAACCCCGGTCAGAATGTAGCAGGCAGGGTTTTGATGAATCTAGTTTCACCTCTTTCCATACTTTAGCGCAATTGTTTGGGGAAAGAGCTGCGGTCTTTGTGTGTTAACCAAATACCCAAATATGCCAACTTTTTCCCACCCCAATGCCCGTTTTGTTTTGCAAATTTTTTGGCCCGGATTTTAGTTTTATCTTCGTTTATATAGAAAACCAGCTAAGTCTCCAGATTGTTTTATCTTCCTTCTTACCTGAGATAGTGAGATCCAGCGCCAAGGGCCTTCTGGTGGTTCCCTCATTGTGAGAAGTGAGGTTACAGGGAACCAGACAGAGGGCCTTCTCGGTGGTGGCACCCGCCCTCTGGAATGCCCTCCCTTCAGATGTGAAGGAAATAAGCAGCTATCTTATCTTTAAAAGACATCTGAAAGCAGGGAAGTTTTTAATATTTAATGCTGTATTGTTTTTAACACTCGATTGGGAGCCACCCAGAGTGGCTGGGGAAATTCAGTCAGATGGGCGGGGTATAAATAATAAATTATTATTATTATTATTATAGGGACGCGGGTGGCGCTGTGGGTTAAACCACAGAGCCTAGGACTTGCCGATCAGAAGGTTGGTGGTTCGAATCCCCGCAACGGGGTGAGCTCCCGTTGCTCGGTCCCTGCTCCTGCCAACCTAGCAGTTCGAAAGCACGTCAAAGTGCAAGTAGATAAATAGGTACCGCTTCGGTGGGAAGGTAAACGGCGTTTCAGTGCGCTGCTCCGGTTCGCCAGAAGTGGCTTAGTCCTGCTGGCCACATGACCCAGAAGCTCCCTCGGCCAATAAAGCGAGATGAGCGCCTCAATCCCAGAGTCGGTCACGACTGGACCTAATGGTCAGGGGTACCTTTACCTATAGTTATTATTATTATTTTATTTACCGTCTTTGTATTTCCCAAAGGTTGATCAATAAATAATAACCGTGTCGCCCGCAAAAGCCCTAAGTTTATATATCTGTGTTTATATCTTCCATTCTTTTTCTCCTCCCGGTCAGAATGTCGCGGGCAGGGTAGCCAACCTCCCACTGGTCAGTTCCGCCTACAACATGGTCTCTGCGGCGTATACATCCACGAAGGAAAGCCATCCCTATGTGAAATCCGTCTGCGACGTGGCTGAGAAAGGCGTCAAGACCATTGCTTCGGCGGCTGCCAGCGGCGCTCAGCCCATCTTGAGCAAACTCGAGCCCCAGAGTGAGTGGCCTGTCCAGTTTCCAGGGATGGCGGGGGGTGGGGTTTGCCAGGGGCGGGGGGGTTTTTCCATCCTGCTTGCTCTGGTAGTAATGATGCATTTTGCATTTCTGCTGTGTTTTGGAGGCAAACAGGAGACCTTGCCTTGATAATGATAATAATAATATTATAATACCGTAAAATGAATGAATGAATGGAACTGGGACTTCAATGAATGAATGAATGGAACTGGTTTCCTGTAACCTCACTTCTCGCAGGGAGGGAACCCCCAGAAGGCCCTCGGAGCTGGACCTCAGGGTCCCCTCTGTGAGATGCCCTCCCATCAGATAACAAGGTGATGGGTAAAGCGACAACCTTTAGAAGACATCTGAAGGCAGCCCTCTATAGGGAAGCTTTGTAACATTTAATGTTTTATTATGCTTTTATATGTTGGAAGCTGCCCAGAGCAACCCAGTCAGATGGGCGGGGTACAAATAAATAATAATTATTATTATTAATTAAGAATGTGGAAAGGTGTGGGGAAAGGAAAGTATACTATATCGCTGAAAGAATTAACAATTACAATTCCATATATTCTTCTCTAATATATAGATATTATTGCTATTATTCCTCATTCAGTTTCATCAGCCAACGAGTTTGCCTGCAAAGGGCTGGACAAGTTGGAGGAAAACCTGCCGATTCTTCAACAGCCCACCGATAAGGTAAATAGAGACGTCCTTCCTGGAGGGCAGGATTCACTGTTCCCTCTTCACACGTCCAGGGAATTCTGCAATGTGTATTAACACTGCAACGTCCTGGCTGGGTTAAACAAGTTAGGGAAGCATCCCAGGGAGAGATTAAGGGGGCAGACTGCAGACTGCAGACTTGCTGTTTGTTTTAAGTGCATGCTAGTAAAAATGTGAACATCAGGCCGCCAATTTATTGTTTAAAGGTAAAGGTAAAGGGACCCCTGACCATTAGGTCCAGTCGTGGCCGGCTCTGGGGTTGCGGCGCTCATCTCGCTTTACTGGCCGAGGGAGCCGGCGTACAGCTTCCGGGTCATGTGGCCAGCATGACTAAGCCGCTTCTGGCAAACCAGAGCAGTGCAAGGAAACGCTGTTTACCTTCCCACCGGAGTGGTACCTATTGATCTACTTGCACTTTGACGTGCTTTCGAACTGCTGGGTTGGCAGGAGCAGGGACCGAGCAATGGGAGCTCACCCCGTCGCGGGGATTCGAACCACCGACCTTCTGATCAGCAAGCCCTAGGCTCTGTGGTTTAACCCACAGCGCCACCCGCGCCTATCTGGCTGGGCTTCCCCAGCCACTCTGGGTGCGGCTCCCAGCAGAATATTAAAAGCGCAATAAAACATACGGAACTGCCAAACTCCTTAGAGGTCTCCTACAAGTCTCCAGATGCGTTTCAAACGAATGGGTTAGACTAGAAAGGGGGATGATGAGAGTGGAGGCTTATATCTGCCTAACATCAATCTATAAATGGTTGGCATTGAGTCTGCTCCCCCTGAGGAATAGCCCCACTGATCCTCTGCGACCAGCTCCAGTCAGGCTGGCAGACAGCAGTCCTGAACACCCTTCAGAAACTTGGTTTTGCCCCTCAAGCCCTTCTAAGCCTGGTCTTGAACCTGGCAAAAGCTATGGTCAGGCAAAGAATCATAGACACCGAGAGAGAACAGGACTGCTCAAGGTGCCCTGACTATAAAATTTGAGAAATTGAGAGAGATATAGCCGCACTGGCAACATATCTCTTCTTTCTCGTATCCAAAAATGCAAGAAGGGCCTTCACACTCGCCAGAAGCTCGGCTTTGCCCTCGCCCGTCCTTTAAAGGATCCTTTAAAAAAGTCCCATATGCTCAGAGACTTTGCTCCTGTTCATTGGGGGAGATAGGAAGCCCAGAGCACTTGTTCTTTAGATGTCCCTTTTAGGAAGAGGCACGGAGTGAGACCATTGATCCCCTGCTGGTGAGGCTCGCTGACCTCCCGGAAAAGCAAAAATGTGACCTTTTCCTGTTAGGCAAAGATCATAAGACGACCCGGATGGTCGCCAGATTCTGTGTAGGCGCAGACCATCTCCTGACCCAAACTAGTTTAAGAAAATCCCCAAACATGGTTCCATGGGTGACTCTGGGTCATCTCTCTGCTTTAGCTTATCTTAAAGTTTTAAGTGTCTATACGCTTATCGCATTTATAAATTTTAAATTTATTGTTGTACACTGTTTTATCCCTTCTGGGATTGTACCCCCAAGTGCGTTTTATAAGCTGGTCTCCGACCGTAATAAATTATCTATCTATCTATCTATCTATCTATCTATCATACGAAACTGTCCTCTAGATCATTTCAGGCACCAAAGATTTGGTGACCTCCACCATGACAGGAGCCAAGGACGCCATCAGCAGCACGGTCTCGGGTGCGAAGGATGCCGTTGCCAGCACCGTGACCGGGATGGTGGATCGAACCAAGGAGGCGGTCCAGGGGGGCGTTGAGATGACCAGGTCCGCGGTGGCCAGCGGAGTCAACACAGTGATGGGCTCTTCGGTGGGGCAGATGGTGACCAGCGGTGTGGATGCTGTGCTGGGGAAATCGGAACAGCTGGTGGACCACTACCTTCCCATGACGGATGAGGAGCTGGGTGAGGCCCTGCACGCTTTCACCTTTCCACAGAGTTGGAAAAGACCCTGGCGGTCATCTAGACCAACCCGGGAAGAGTTGCTGGGTTGTCTCCCAAGGCTGACAATCTCAGCAAGCAGGGGTTATGGGGCAACTCGCCTGCGACCTGGGGTTTCTAAAATGGGCTTTGTTTAGTGCTCCTGGGAGAGCCCCGAAATTCTTAGCAATAGCCCTGCGAGGGAGACCGCTTCCGTCTCCATAGAGCAGTGATAGTAATAATTTATTACTAATACCCTGCCCATCTGGCTGGGTTTCTCCAGCCACTCTGGGCGGCTCCCAACAGAACATTAAAAATACAACAAAACATCAAACATTAAAAGCTTCCCTAAACAGGGCTGCCTTCAGATGTCTTCTAAAAGTCTGGTAGTTGTTTATCTCCTTGAAATCTGGTGGGAGGGCATTCCACAGGAGGGCGCCACCACCGAGAAGGCCCTCTGCCTGGCTCCCTGTAACTTGGCTTCTCGCAGCGAGGGAACCACCAGAAGGCCCTCAGAGCTGGACCTCAGTGTCTGGGCAGAATGATGGGGGTGGAGACGCTCCTTCAGGTATACTGAATTAAAGCTTTACTTCTGGTCAGTGAGCCACTATAGCTGCCGGAGAGCTGTGAAAATTCAAGTCCCAGGGTTTTTAGACTCATCTACCCATGTACTAGGGACGCCAGTGGCGCTGTGGGTTAAACCACAGAGCCTAGGGCTTGCCGATCAGAAGGTCGGCGGTTTGAATCCCCATGACGGGGTGAGCTCCCTTCGCTCGATCCCTGCTCCTGCCATCCTAGCAGTTCGAAAGCACGTCGAAGCGCAAGTAGATAAATAGGTACAGCTCCGGCGGGAAGGTAAACGGCGTTTCCGTGCGCTGCTCTGGTTCACCAGAAGCGGCTTAGTCCTGCTGGCCACATGACCCGGAAGCTGTACGCCGGCTCCCTCGGCCAATAAAGCGAGATGAGCGCCGCAACCCCAGAGTCGGCCATGACTGGACCTAACGGTCAGGGGTGCCTTTACCTTTACCTTTTTACCCATGTACAGTGGTACCTCGGGTTAAGAACTTAATTCGTTCTGGAGATCCGTTCTTAACCTGAAACTGTTCTTAACTTGAGGTACCACTTTAGCTGCTGCCACCGCCGCACGATTTCTGTTCTCATCCTGAAGCAAGGTTCTTAACCCGAGGTACTATTTCTGGGTTAGCAGAGTCTGTCACCTGAAGCGTATGTAACCCAAGGTACCACTGTACTATTTGAAATGCAAGTGGAGCAAATGTGGATCCCCCCCCCAGCTCTCCTACCCCCCTAGGGTTTCACCTCAGGTGCCAAACTGTCTCTGGCCGGCCCTGAAGGGTTTCCACGAAGACATTGAATTCTCTTGGGTTTTCTCCTAGCTAAGCTGGCCACCACCGTCGAGGGTTTTGAGATCGCCACCGTGGAGCAGCAGAAAGAGCAGAGGAGCTACTTTGTGCGCCTGGGGTCTCTCTCGGCCAAGGTCCGCCACCGAGCCTACCAGCACTCTCTGGGCAAGCTGAGGGATGCCAAGCAGAGTACCCAAGATGCCCTCTCCCAGCTGCACCAAACCATCGAGCTGGTAAGAAGCATCCTGGGTAGAGCAAGGAGATGCGGCAGCCCAGATATTGCTGGGCTCACAACTCCCACCGGGGTCCCAGCCTGCATCAATGGTTAGGGGAGGGGTGGCGGTAGTTTGTTTATTTATTTCCTAAATTTATACACCTCTTGGTTGTGAAAACTGCAACCTCCAAAGCCGTTTGCAGAAAGCTGAAACGCGAAGAAGAGAGAGAACACAACAATGTTCAGCTCTTGCAAGATTTTTCTTAATAATAATAATTTATTATTTATACCCCGCCCATCTGGCTGGGCTTCCCCAGCCGCTCTGGGCGGCTTCCCAAAAAATATTAAAATACTGTAATACATTAAACATTAAAAGATTCCCTAAACAGGGCTGCCTTCAGATGTCTTCTAGAAGTCTGGTAGTTGTTGTTCTTTTTGACATCTGGTGGGAGGGCGTTCCACAGGGCGGGTGCCACCACCGAGAAGGCCCTCTGCCTGGTTCCCTGTAACTTGGCTTCTCACAGTGAGGGAACAGCCAGAAGGCCCTCGGTGCTGGACCTCAGTATCCGGGTAGAACGATGGGGGTGGAGATGCTCCTTCAGATATACTGGACCGAGGCCGGTGTACTGGACCGAACCCAGTGTCTTAAAGCCTGCTATAAGTTTGGAGGATTGTGTTCAGTTGCTCGGAGTAAACCAATTGGAATCAATCAGCTAGTTAGTGGCCGTTGACTTCAGTGCGTTGAATATGACATGGATTTTTTTTATATAAAAAATTGAAATAATTTCTATATGATTTTACAAGTGTAGAGTTGTAACAATGCAAATTGCATATCCATATTTGGAGATTTCTCTGAATCTCTAGGCTTCCCACCTTTCCCTTCCATGGGTTTGTTATAAACCTTTTCAACTGCGTATTATTTCATCATCCAAATTTTATGTCTCTCCATTTTATCTATAGTGTCTTCTACATTACAGGTGCTATTGCAATCCTGATAATGTTCTCATCTGCTTACAGCGGTATCTCAAGTGCCGTATTTTTCGCTCTATAAGACGCACCAGACCACAAGACGCACCTAGTTTTTGGAGGAGGAAAACAAGAAAAAAAATATTCTGAATCTCAGAAGCCAGAACAGCAAGAGGGATCGCTGCGCAGTGAAAGCAGCAATCCTTCTTGCTGTTCTGGCTTCTGTGATAGCTGCGCAGCCTGCATTCGCTCCATAAGATGCACACACATTTCCCCTTACTTTTTAGGAGGGAAAAAGTGAGTCTTATAGAGCAAAAAATACGGTAAATTTAAAAAAACAAAAACCCATTCTTCATTGAAGTTTTAGTCTTCTTGGTTCCTTGCGCTTCCTGGTCAGTTTTGCCATTTTGGCATAATCCAATAGCTTAGTTCGCCATTTTCCCCTGGTAGGGACTTTGTCTTCTTTCCATCTCTGGGCTAATAACATCCGCAAGGCTGTCGTCGCGTACATAAAAAGCCTTTTCTGCTCCTTTGAGATCTCGATACCTACAAATCCTAATGAAAAAGCTTCTGGGTTGTTGTTGTTTTTTATATAAAAGTTATTTTAAACATTTTTTCCAATTCATTGTACAGTCGTACCTCGGATCCCAAACGCCTTGGCTCCCAAACAAATCCGCTCCCAAACAATCAAAACCCAGAAGTGAGTGTTCCGGTTTTCAAACGATTTTTGGAAGCCGAACGTCCAACGCGGCTTCTGATTGGCTGCCGGAGCTTCCTGCAGCCAATCAGAAGCTGTGCTTTGGTTTCCGAATGTTTAGGAAGTCGAACGGACTTCCGGAACGGATTCCGTTCGACTTTGGAGGTACGACTGTATATCATTTCCCAGAATGCTTTGACATCTTTCCGCGGGGCCTGCAAGACAGAGCTGTTCCGCCTGGCCTTTGGTTTGGACTCAGTCTGACCCTTATGCTTCCCTCCCCTTATGGTTTTGATCTATGGGCTACTTTTAAAATGAGGCTGTATTTTAAATTGCATTTTAACCTGTATTTTAAATTGGTTTTCCCCCCTATTATGTTTTTATTGTAATTTTACCAGTGTTAGCTGCCCTGAGCCCAGCTCTGACCGGGGAGGGTGGAGTATAAATAAAATTTATTATTATAATTACCTTACACACCCACAACATATGGTAAAAGGTGCCTGGAAACTATTCTGCGAAAAGAGTCTCAAGGCTGCAAAAGGGGCTGCTGTTGATTGTCTTCTTCTGAGCCAGTGTGGTGTAGTGGTTAATAGCAGTGGAACCGGGTTCGCTTCCCCGCTCCTCCACCTGCAGCTGCTGGGTGACCTTGGGCCAGTCACACTTCTCTGAAGTCTCTCAGCCCCACTCACCTCACAGAGTGTTAGTTGTGGGGAAGGAAGGGAAAGGAGAATGTTAGCCGCTTTGAGACTCCTTAAAGGTAAAGGGACCCCTGACCATTAGGTCCAGTCGTGGCCAACTCTGGGTTTGCGGCGCTCATCTCGCTTTATTGGCCGAGGGAGCCGGCGTACAGCTTCCGGATCATGTGGCCAGCATGACTAAGCTGCTTCTGGAGAACCAGAGCAGCGCACGGAAATGCCATTTACCTTCCCACCAGAGTGGTACCTATTTATCTATTTGCACTTTGACGTGCTTTCGAACTGCTAGGTTGGCAGGAGCAGGGACTGAGCAACAGGAGCTCACCCCGTCGCGGGGATTCGAACCACCGACCTTCTGATCGGCAAGCCCTAGGCTTTGTGGTTTAACCCACAGCGCCACCCGCGTCCCTTTGAGACGCCTTAGGGTAGTGATAAAGCGGGATATCAAATCTAAACTACTACTACTCTTCTTCTTCTTCTTCTTCTTCTTCTGTCCTCCCAGATGGAGCATGTCAAACAAGGCATGGATCAGAAGATCCAAAGTGGTCAGGAGAAGGTTCACCAGATGTGGAAGCAATGGAGTCAGAAGCAGTCCCCCGAGCTGAGCCAGAAGAACATCCCTGAGCCTGAGGTAAGTCGCTTTCGGAAGGTCCCGCCGTGTGTCCCAGCCTTTTGCAAAACCTTGACGTGCTCTTGCTCTCTTCCAGCAGATGGAGACCCAAGCCTTGGAGGTCTCCCGCGGCCTGGCCCAGCAGATTCAGTCGGCCACCATGACGTTGGTCTCCAACCTCCAAGGCCTCCCGGCCAGCCTCCAGGAAAAAGTGGGCCTCCTCCGCCAGAACGCTGAGGAGCTCCGCGTGGCCTTTGTGTCCGCCAATTCCTTCCGCGACCTCTCCAACACCATCTTGGCCCAGAGCAGGGAGAAGGCCTCCAAACTCCGCGAGCTGACGGACGAGTTGATGGACCACGTGGCGCACAACGCCCCCCTGTCTTGGCTGGTGGGACCCTTTACTGCGTCCGGCAAGGCGGAGGAAGAGGAAATAGAGATTCAGCAGTAGCGTATAAGAGTGCCAGACCCTTTTTAAAATAATCCTTTTATTTTTCGCTCTGTTAGATGCACTGGACGATTGGACGGACCTACTTTTTAGGGGAGGCTCCCCGCTCTCCTGGGGAGACTTCATTCCATGGCTAAGCCAGAAGCTAGAACAGCCAGCGGGATCCCGCTCACTGTCCTAGCTTCCTCTTTAGCCACACGTAGCCTTCATCCCTTCCTGGGAGAGGCTGCGCGTGGCTAAGGCTCCCCCCAGAGCCGCGCTCCCTTTAAAGAGCGTGCGGAGTGTGTGTGCGGCTCTTGGGGGCTTTTCCCTGAGGAGGGAGAAGGGCTTGGAGAAAAGCCCCCAAGAGCCGCACACACGCTCCACGCGCCTCTTTAAAGGGAGCGCTGAGCAGAACCTCCCGCCTGCGTTCACTGCATAAGAACCACACACATTTCCCCTTCCTTTTTAGGAGGGGGAAAGTGCGTCTTACAGAGCGAAAAATACGGTATATATATTTGTTCCCAGCATCTAGGCAGGCCTTGAACCAAAGAGAAGACCCAACTCTAGGACACGTCCATTTCGTTCTAGAGCAGTAAATTTGAGAGGGAGTGTTTTGAGGGGTTGCTGTTTTTGCCTCTCTCTTCAGCTTAGCTGAAAAGTCATCTTGGACTCAACTCCTTGCGCTTTTCTGTGCCCAAAGAAGGAGTACTTCTTGCTAAGGGGTGGGCCATGGGGTGGACCACAACCTAGTTAAGAGCAAATCCCATTTTCTTCTCCTTTCCTCCCAAAATACTTTCCTCTAAGTAAAGCTTAATTGACTGATCCTAAATCTCAAGACAACGGAATATTTGGGTGGAGGTGAAATGAGATTGCAGTTCAGCTTCCTCTCAGCCATCCATGTGTCCCTTAAAGCCTGTTCTTGTATGGAATTTGTCCCATGACTTCCTCCTAGCTCCACGTGCCACATTATGTACACTCAGTGCCTTGATTCGTAAATAAAACGCTTGTCGCATTGAAAACACGAGCCATCTTGAATGAGCAGGGAGGTGGGCAGCAATCTTGCTGGGTCAACAATCTATGGGGGCCACCTGTGAGGTCCCTTGGCGGTTAGGGTTAGGGACTCCTGGGGGAGGTGGAATAGTGAGGACTAGAATCTTGATGGTGGATGACATGAGGTGGGAAAGATCCTGCATGCGGTTCAGCATGAAGTTGTGAAGGAATGGGTTTCCCAAACCCCAAAACTGACTGTGCAGGCAGTTTGAAACTGCACCAAAATCCCTATTTTCCCTTAGCTAAAATGCTTTAACTTGAGTTCTTGAGCTGGAACCCAGCTGTATAGAGCTGTGCTCGGAGCCCTGTCCTTTATCAGTTTGTGACGGCAAGTATGGCCTTCACTGTACTAGTAGAACAGAGAAGACACGTCTGTGCCTTATCTTACGTCCTGACCACAAAAATGCACAGACCTAGTCTGGGAACAGCGCCAGAGTGTGTTCTCGGAGATGATGACCTCTTTCTCCACGATAAGAGTAGGAACATGAAGATCCTTTTATGGTCAGAAGTACAGGAAGGGAGATCCTTTTATGGTTAAGAATACCAGAGCAGGAACATATGTGACATATGTGATGTCAACCTGCGTACATAGGCTGACGTGGTTGGATTCCTGGGGAATGTGGGAGAGGGTGCCTGGAGGATATAGAATCATAGAATCATAGAATCATAGAGCTGGAAGAGACCACAAGGGCCATCGAGTCCAACCCCCTGCCAAGCAGGAAATACCATCAGAGCACTCCTGACATATGGTTGTCAAGCCTCTGCTTAAAGACCTCCAAAGAAGGAGACTCCACCACACTCCTTGGCAGCAAATTCCACTGTCGAACAGCTCTTACTGTCAGGAAGTTCTTCCTAATGTTTAGGTGGAATCTTCTTTCTTGTAGTTTGGATCCATTGCTCCGTGTCCGCTTCTCTGGAGCAGCAGAAAACAACCTTTTTCCCTCCTCTATGTGACATCCTTTAATATATTTGAACATGGCTATCATATCACCCCTTAACCTCCTCTTCTCCAGGCTAAACATGCCCAGCTCCCTTAGCCGTTCCTCATAAGGCATCGTTTCCAGGCCTTTGACCATTTTGGTTGCCCTCCTCTGGACACGTTCCAGTTTGTCAGTGTCCTCCTTGAACTGTGGTGCCCAGAACTGGACACAGTACTCCAGGTGAGGTCTGACCAGGGCAGAATACAGTGGCACTATTACTTCCCTTGATCTAGATGCTATACTCCTATTGATGCAGCCCAGAATTGCATTGGCTTTTTTAGCTGCCGCGTCACACTGTTGGCTCATGTCAAGTTTATGGTCAACCAAGACTCCTAGATCCTTTTCACATGTACTGCTCTCAAGCCAGGTGTCACCCATCTTGTATTTGTGCCTCTCATTTTTTTTGCCTAAGTGCAATACTTTACATTTCTCCCTGTTAAAATTCATCTTGTTTGTTTTGGCCCAGTTCTCTAATCTGTCAAGGTCGTTTTGAAGTGTGATCCTGTCCTCTGGGGTGTTAGCCACCCCTCCCAATTTGGTGTCATCTGCAAATTTGATCAGGATGCCCTTGAGTCCATCATCCAAGTCATTGATAAAGATGTTGAATAAGACCGGGCCCAAGACAGAACCCTGTGGCACCCCACTAGTCACTCTTCTCCAGGATGAAGAGGAACCATTGATGAGCACCCTTTGGGTTCGGTCAGTCAGCCAGTTACAAATCCACTGAGTGGTAGCATAGTCAAGACCACATTTTACCAGCTTCTTTACAAGAATATCATGGGGCACCTTGTCAAATGCCTTGCTGAAATCAAGGTAGGCTACATCCACTGCATTCCCTTCATCTACCAGGCTTGTAATTCTGTCAAAAAACGAGATCAGGTTAGTCTGACATGACTTATTTTTCAGAAATCCATGCTGACTATTGGTGATCACAGCATTCCTTTCTAGGTGCTCCCAGACTGTTTGCTTAATGATCTGCTCCAGAATCTTCGCTGGTATTGATGTCAGACTGACTGGGCGGTAATTATTTGGGTCCTCTCTTTTCCCCTTTTTGAAAATAGGGACAACATTTGCCCTCCTCCAGTCTGCCGGGACTTCGGCTGTTCTCCAGGAATTCTCAAAGATGACTGCCAGTGGTTCTGAGATCACATCTGCCAGTTCTTTTAATACTCTTGGATGCAGTTCATCTGGCCCTGGAGACTTGAATACATCTAAACTAGCCAAGTATTCTTGTACTGTCTCCTTAGTTATTCTATACTGCATGAAACTTATCATTTCTTTGGACTTGCTGTGGACTGACCACGCAAGTGCCTTCTGCTATCCGGAGAGCAGAACAAACTCTTTCTTTGAACCAACCTCGGTGTCATTTGACTTCCCTCCTCCTGTCCGGGAGCAACACAGACGCAATCGGTGAACTCCAATAAGGCTACAGTTGGCTGAACTGGGGGAACTGGAGGAAGTTGAGGACTTGGACCAGCCCAGAAAATGTCATAAATGTGTAGGGAATCTTAAGGATTGTAGGAAAGGGTATCTTGAGTAAGTATTATCAGCTAGTGAGTGATGTAGCAGAACATATTCCCCTCAATATAGCTGGAAGCGAGTTTGCAGATTCGGGAGGACCTTAACAAATAAAATGGCAACCTCATTTTATCAATGTCAAATTACAATACCCATCCAAATATAAATCAACTATACAACCAATTCTATATTTTGAGTGACTTCCTATGTGCTGGGTTTCGGAGTGCAAAGTTCTTATTTCTTCCTCCTTTCAAGATTTTAGTTGCCGTATTTTTCGCTCTATAAGACACACCGGACCATAGGAGGGGGGAGAACAGGGGGAAAAAATTCTCAGCCTTTCTGCTCAGCACCCCTTCAGCAAAGCAGTAGGAGAAACGGAGCCCCTTCTGTTTCTCCTGCCGCTTCGCTGAAGGGGCGCTGCGCAAAGAGGTCGAGAATGTTTTTTCTTGTTCTCCCCCTCTAAAACAAGGTGCATTCTGTGCGTTCAAGGTGCGTTCACCCAAAGCCTCCAGAGTCCAGCAGGAGTTCCCGCTGGGCTCCGGAAGCTTTGGGTTCCTTTCGACCTGCTCTTTGGGGCTGGCGGGGGGAAGTGCTGCTTCCCCCACCTCCAGCCTCAAAGACCAATTCGGGGAGCAGCGCAAAGGCGGTGCGCCGCCTTTGCGCTGCTCCCCGAGCTTGTGGGGCTGGTGGAGGAGGGAAGCGTTGCAGCCTTCCCCCCCCCCACCTTCGTACAGCCTTTGTAGCCTCCGCAGGGCAGCGGGGTGAAGGCACCCCGCTGCCCTGTGGAGGCTTTGCACAGCTAACCCCAAGCTAGAACAGTGAGTTGGAGCACAGCGCTCTGTCTTCCTGTTCTGGCTTTGGGCTTAGCCGTGCAGCCTGCATTCGCTCTATAGGACGCACACACATTTCCCCTTAATTTTTGGAGGGGAAAAAGTGCTTCCTATAGAGCAAAAAATATGGTAATCCAATTGCATTCAGTCCTGATCTTAGTCCCTCATCAACAGCTACTGATTTCTTGACCTCCATTCGTGTTGAGATATTTAAAAACAAAATTATTCTCTTTATTTCTTAATTTCTATTGCTTGCTCTTTATCCTTTCCTTCTCTTTAGATTATTTGGACTTTTATTGTATTTTACGATAAAAGTTTTTGATAAAAATCTGATTTAAAAAGAAAGGAAGCGCCCAAGTACAATGCTGCTATATGTTGGCTCAATGTGGAACGTGGCAAAAATTTAGACAACTCTCCACAAAGACCTGGGACGCGGGTGGCGCTGTGGGTTAAACCACAGATCCTAGGACTTGCCGAACAGAAAGTTGGCGGTTCAAATCCCTGCAATGACTGGGTGAGCTCCCGTTGCTCGGTCCCTGCTCCTGCCAACCTAGCAGTTCGAAAGCACATCAAAGTGCAAGTAGATAAATAGGTACCGCTCCGGCGGGAAGGTAAACGGTGTTTCCGTGCACTGCTCTGGTTCGCCAGAAGCGGCTTAGTCCTGCTGGCCACATGACCTGGAAGCTGTACGCCGGCTCCCTCGGCCAGTAAAGCAAGATGCGCACCGCAACCCCAGAGTCGGCTACGACTGGACCTAATGGTCAGGGGTCCCTTTACCTTCCCACAATGACCAGGCATGGGGCATCTTCTTCAGTCGGGAAGTTCCATTTGTGTCCTGGCCATGGGCAACTTTCCAGGAGCTGTATGTTAGTGCCAGGTGGGCAGAATGTGACTCTGGACCTGTTACACGTTCAAGGTATGCAAACATTTTCTGCATACACACGCCTCCATCCAAGTTAAGCAAGGTGCGTTCTCAAGAGTTCAGGGGCACATTCCCAGCAGGCGAAAACAACTCACTGGGGTGTGTGAATTCACCCATTTGGGTTTCTGGTTCAAATTTCCCCAACCTTCAGTTCAGTTTGCAGTTTCCACTTCAGTTTTGTGGATCTTTCCATTAAGGTCCTCCTGAAAGTTCGTTGGCGCGTTTCTCCCAATCTTCACGCTTTTGTACGCAGTTCTGCCTAACATGCACATTCTGTGCAAAGCAAGGCTCGCGGGTATAAAATGGATGCCTTCTTAAATGTCGTTTTCGCTCATATGCATTTTTATGCATACTTGACCCCAGTACGGTATATTGCAACACGTTACAGTGGTACCTCGGGTTACAAACACTTCAGGTTACGGACTCCGCTAACCCGGACGTAGTACCTAGGGTTAAGAACTTTGACCCAGGATGAGAACAGAAATTGCGCAGCGGCGGCAGCGGGAGGCCCCATTAGCTAAAGTGGTACCTCAGGTTAAGAACGGTTTCAGGTTAAGAATGAATTCCGGAACGAATTAAGTTCGTAACCAGAGGTACCACTGTACATGTCTGGAGAACAGCATTGCAAAATTCAGAGAAGTGTGAGTTTTGAAAGAGGTCTGCGTTTCAGTTTGGGGTAAGTGTGAACTTGAAATATGGGATAGTATTGAGTTTCTTCCCATCCCTGTGTGTGGAGCACGGCCGCTGAGGAGGCAGTACTCAGGAGGCCTGAGATACAGAATTGTCCATAATGCACTGGGACAAAAACCCCACCCCCCATAAAAATGTCTTATTCAGTGACTCTTAACCTTTTTAAGGACACTGACCCCTTTGGAAATCTGATGAAAGCAAGCGACCCCACACTCACCAAAGCAATGGGCGTAAATACACAACATTTTTGCATACTGTTTATTTTATTGTATTGTGGTGGGGATTTGCCCAGATTACAGACTCCCATAGACTGTAGCATAAGAAGTGCTTGTCTACTGAATTCTTCCATTTGAGTTGTTTTACCCATGGTGATGTAACCTATCACAGTCATTAATAATAGTGATAATTCAATAATAATAAGGCCGGGCCTCCCCAGCCATTCTGGGCGGCTCCCGACAGAATATTAAAAACACGATAAAGCACCAAACATTAAAATGCCTTCTAAAAGCCAGGTGGCTGTTTATTTCCTTGACATCTGATGGGAGGGCGTTCCACAGGGAGAGCGCCACCACCAAGAAGGTCCTCTGCCTGGTTCCCTATAACCTCGCTTCTCGCAGGGAGGGAACAGCCAGAAGACCCTTCAAGCTGGACCTCAGTGTCCGGGCTGAACGATGGGGGTGGAGACGCTCCTTCAGATATACTGGGCCAAGGCAGTTTAGGGCTTTCAAGGTCAGCACCAAAACTTTGAATTGTGCTCGGAAATTTCCTGGGAGCCAACGTAGGTCTTTCAGGACCGGTGTTATGTGGTCTCAGCAGCCACTCCCAGTCCCCAGCCTAGCTGCCGCATTCTGGATTAGTTGCAGTTTCCGGGTCACCTTCAAAGGCAGCCCCACAGAGAGCACATGGCAGTAGTCCAAGCGGGAGATAACCAGAGCATGCACCACTCTGGCAAGACAGTCCACAGGCAGGGAGGGTCTCATCCTGTGTATCAACTGATTCCGGAAAGCAGCTTTAGCATGTAGAGGACCTCTAGCTCCTGTGGGATGGGGAACTGGGACAAAGAAAAATATACCCAAGGAATTCCCTGGTGATTCCTGCTTTGGGGGAAGAAGGCATTGAGAGACTGAATGCCCCATGGGATTTTGAACCATGGAAGCAAGAGTTGAGTTCCTCTTTGTCTAACATAACATACATGTGGTTCATTTGGTGGGCGTTTTGCTAATCCAAAATATGTGGGAATTTTGACACTTAAATGCTCCCCACAAAAGAAATTTATGCAAGTACAGTGGTACCTCGGGTTACAGACGCTTCAGGTTACAGACTCCGCTAACCCAGAAATATTACCTTGGTTTAAGAACTTTGCTTCAGGATGAGAACAGAAATCGTGTGGCAGCAGCAGGAGGCCCCATTAGCTAAAGTGGTACCTCAGGTTAAGAACGGACCACCAGAACGAATTAAGTTCTTAAGCCAAGGTACCACTGTAGTTCCTTGCCCCCGGGGCAGTTTCAGCCCGGCCGAACAAAGCAACCGCGTTTTTGGCAGCTGAGGGAAGACAGAAGCAGGCGAAATAAGTCGGCATTCTGCCTGTCTTCGAAACGCTGAATAAACAGGTGGCCCCAAGACAGACTGGTCTTCTGGAAATGGTGCCGTTCCAAGCCCTGTGGGTTACCTACCCTTTCCCCCTCTGCTTTGCAGTTGTGACGGTTCCAAAGCGCCCCCTTGGAAGGGAGAGCAGGGGCCCAGCGCCTGATCTGTGACGTCACACCTATGACATCACACCGCATCACAAGGGGGAATGGATGGAATGGTGGGGGAAGCTGAGGTGTGGCGCTCCTCAGCGGGGAAGCTGCAGGTCTCCTCTGCCTGCATGGGAAATGACGTTGCCTTGGTGATGCCATGATTTGCGCCCTGCCAGTTGGGCTGAGATCATGGCAGATAGTGAGTAGGAAAGCAGACTGGCATCTCTCTGTATCTCTCTCTGAATTATAGGATAGCTGATGATGACAGACCTAGAACCAATTCTGCGTGTGGCCTTCTAGATGCACCTACCTGTCGAATCTCCTTTTTACCTTCCAGATTCCCCCCCCCCCACAACCCCCAGAAATACCTCTAACAGTCTGGGAAAGGGATACGTCCTTGCTGTGCTTCCTCCCCACTTCTCCTTTTTTTCTTTTCCAAATTACACTTAATCCCACAGATAATTCCTTTTCCCATCACCATCCACCACCCCACCTTTGTGTTAGACTTCCAATCTACTCAATTGCAATTTCTTCCCACTTCTGTTACTTTCTTTCACACACCTTTAACCTAATTTCATACTCCTTTTTCTATCACACATTGTTATCCATCTTATTTAGTATTTCAGTATTTAAAATGGAACTTGTTTATTTTAATAGGAGTTCTGATTTTTCAATATGGTTTTGCAAGGATCCTTTAAACGCCTTCCAGTCCCTGTCTATCTTCTCTTTTGAGATCCTTCTAATTTCTCCCATTGTTTTGGATATATTGTAATAGTCCAATAATTTGGGAAGCCACTCTGTTTTTGTCGGTATAATACCACTTTTCCAATTTTTCGCAATCAGTAGCCTTGTGGCTACTGTTGCGTGTAAATATAACGTCTTGTCTTCTTCCTTTAGACTTCCTGGTACAGGATCCCCACTTCTTTATCCCTACAGTTCCCCTCTTAAGAATAAAAGAAATATCGAATTGTGGAGTTGGAAAGGACCACGAGGTATCGTTTGGTCCAACCCCCTGCAAAGCAGAAATCTTTTGCCCAAGGTGGGGCTCGAACTCACCAGCACCTGCCTCATGGCGCAAACTGCAACTCGCTTGGAGGTTTCTGGCGTGGGCTAAGATTTAAACCCCACACCAAGGGGGCCGGTCTCTTTTACAGAGTAAAAGCAGTCTGGTACTGGCCTCGAGGGAAGAGATGGGAGTCAGGATTCAAGCGAGGAGGAGCAATGAGAAGTATCCATTCAAAGTCCGGCTTCAGAGTTTGGGACAGATAGGTTCGCCATATTTCAAAAAGTGAAAATCGGGACATTTTTGGTTGAGCTTCTTTTTTGGGGGGGGGGGGGTTATGTCCAGGAAATTCCAGGCATATGGCAGCCCTAGAGATAGACGTGCCATTTCGGTTCTCTTCCTTTCTCATTTTCCCAAACTTAAACCCAGTTCCGCACGTTAGCTTTTGCAAACGATTCTTATCAGGAGGCGAAAACGGGATAGTGGAGCCCTTTAATTTGTTCCGTGCTTTGGGTCTAGTTAGCTCATCGGACGAACATCATGTGACTTCAGCCTCAAAGGACCCTTCAGTCAACACACCTGGCACGAGGACGCAAGAGGATGAGGTTTGTACGTCACAATACAGTGGTAGCTCGGGTTACATACGCTTCAGGTTACAAATGCTTCAGGTTACAGACTCCGCTAACCCAGAAATAGTACCTCGGGTTAAGAACTTTGCTTCAGGAAGAGAACAGAAATCGTGCTCCGGCGGCGCGGCAGCAGCAGCAGGCCCCATTAGCTAAAGTGGTGCTTCAGGTTAAGAATAGTTTCAGGTTAAGAACAGACCTCCGGAACGAAGGACGCAGGTGGCGCTGTGGGTTAAACCACAGAGCCTAGGACTTGCCGATCAGAAAGTCAAGAGGTTCGCATCCCCGCAATGACGGGGTGAGCTCCCGTTGCTCGGTCCCTGCTCCTGCCAACCTAGGAGTTCGAAAGCACGTCAAAGTGCAAGTAGATAAATAGGTACCGCTCCAGTGGGAAGGTAAACGGCGTTTCTGTGCGCTGCTCTGGTTCTCCAGAAACGGCTTAGTCCTGCTGGCCACATGACCCGGAAGCTGTACGCCGGCTCCCTCGGCCACTAAAGCGAGATGAGTGCCGCAACCCCAGAGTCGGACACAACTGGACCTAATGGTCAGGGGTCCCTTTACCTTTACCAGTGTACTTTCCCTTCCGAAAATAGGGAGCCAAATTAGGCCACTTGGTCCCTATGGCTCGTTATTTGACAACACCAGGGGTCGCCAAACCATCATTTCTGGGCACCCACAGCCTCCTTCACTGGTGTTCCCAGCCTAGGGCTCTGAGCAATCCCATAATAGCCCCAGCTATGCTTGTGGGGGGGTGCTTTTTTGCCAAAGTCTAAACCTCAGGGAAATGGAGTGCAGCCAATGAGCGAAGTCAGAACTGTGATGGACAAGCGAGTTGTCTGCACACAGGAATCCCTCCGCGGCGTTGTTTTCCCCCTTGGAAGCACTCTCCCTGCTTCTGTCGTATTTTCTGGGCAGAAATCCACAGTTTGAGCCAGTGCCGGATTTACGTATAAGCTAAACAAGCTATAGCTTAGGGCCCCACTCTCTTGGGGCTCCCCCAAAAAAATTAAAGGAAAAAGATACTGGATGTACCGTATTTTTCGCCCCATAGGACGCACCGGCCCATAGGATGCACCTAGTTTTTTTGGGGGGGGGGAAATGATTCCCCCCCCCAGGTGCGGGTCTGGGGGCGGGGGAAGCCCGAGCTTCCCCTGACCCCAGCCCCCAGAACAGGCTGCTATCCGCTAGCCGTGGGAGAGCCGCGCGACTTCGCGCGGCTCTCCCACAGCTTGCGGAGCGCTGCGCGAAGCCCGAGGCTTGGGACGGGCTGAGCTCAGCGCGCCCCAAGCTTCTGGGTGCAGGCAAGGTCTCCGCTAGCCGTGGGAGAGCTGCGTCTCCCACGGCTAGCGGATAGCTTCCTGAAGCCTGGAGAGCGAGAGGGGTCGGCCCCGCTTGCTCTCCAGGCTTCAGCGAAAGCCTGCATTCACCCCATAGGACGCACACACATTTCCCCTTCATTTTTGGAGGGGGAAAAGTGCATCCTATAGGGCAAAAAATACGGTACATTTCCAAAATATAAGATAAAAAACAAAGCAACAGTGCAGTGGTACCTCGTGTTACATATGCTTCAGGTTACATACACTTCAGGTTACATACTCCGCTAACCCAGAAATATTGCTTCAGGTTAAGAACTTTGCTTCAGGATGAGAACAGAAATCGTGCTTCAGCGGCACAGCGGCAGCGGGAGGCCCCCATTAGCTAAAGTGGTCTTCAGGTTAAGAACAGTTTCAGGTTAAGTACGGACCTCCAGAACGAATTAAGTACTTAACCCGAGGTACCACTGTACATAGAGGGCTGCAGCGAGGTGTTTTCTTGTCACCCCCACAGACACACACCCCCCCTGTTGCAACGTCACTGAGGTAGATAAGATTAAGTGACTGGGACTGCAGCGCTTTTCTCCTTAAGAAGCTTGTTTTTTGGTTGTGCTAATTTGTGGGTGAACATATCAGACGTCGCAGCGATTCTTCAAACAGCTCTTGTTTATTCAGAGGCCAGAACAGAACTGAGCTGAAGGGTTCAGCCAGCCTGTTTATATAGAGCTCCAGTACAACGTAGCTGTAACAACTTTCTGTAACTATCCAATCACTGAACGTCACTTTCGATCCCTTATTTGCATAACTACCTACAGTATCCCCCTACTGGCCCAGGGTGAAAACTTCAGTACATAGCAGGTTGTTTGGCGACTGTGCAAACCAACCTCCCCACCCCTCGTTTCTCAGCTTTCAGATACTACCCTTCACAACCCAAGCTGGCCTCCGGAGACGACAAACCCTCACACCACAAGCAGCATTCTGTGTGTCCCCGATGAAGCCATCCGGAGGATTTCCACCACCACCAAGAGCAACAGCCTCGCACCCTCTACCACGAGGTATTTAAGTGAGTACCAACCAGACTGGCGGGCGAGCGAAGACGGGGAGCTGGTAAGATGATGGATTTTTCGGAGCTAGCCGACCTAACCGGAAGAGTCTGCGACCAGAAGGAGGAGGAGTATCAGGAAGAATGGAATAAATTTAATGATTATCTAGTTAGATTTGTTAAGTTAAATCAACTGAAAACAGCTTGCAGATACTTAATGGGCTTAGGATTTTATTTATGTTAAGTGATGAATTAATACGTTTAATTCCATAAGGATGTTAATGTTTACGTTAAATTTCATAAAAATTGGGATTTGGAAAGCCGTTAAAAGGACATGCAATGAAATTCAACCAAGGGGAAGTGAGAAAGTCACTTAACAAAGTTAATAACTGTAATTTTCAATAAGGCTATGATTTATGTCTGCTTGTTTTGTGTGTTTGTTGGTTGTTTATAATATTGTGAAAACCACTGTATTTTTCGCTCTATAAGACGCACCAGACCACAAGACGCACCTAGTTTTTGGAGGAGGAAAACAAGAAAAAAAATATTCTGAATATCAGAAGCCAGAACAGCAAGAGGGATTGCTGCACAGCGAAAGCAACAATCCCTCTTGCTGTTCTGGCTTCTGGGATAGCTGCGCAGCCTGCATTCGCTCCATAAGACGCATACACATTTCCCCTTACTTTTTAGGAGGGAAAAAGTGAGTCTTATAGAGCAAAAAATACGGTAATAAAAAAAAATGGGGGGGGGGGGAGAAGACGGGGAGCTGGTAAGCGGCGTCTCCGAGATGGGCTTGCGGGCAAGGAGGATAACACAATATGCTTTCCCTGCAGCCACAGAAGCTCAATCGAGACTCGAGAGGCAGCCCTCGCAGGACGAGGAGTTGTTGGGCACCAATGAGAACGAGCTGGTGATGCAAATGACGATATCAGAATATGAGCTGTTCCCGGGACTGGGAGATAGCTTTTCTCAGGAGGGACCAGGGAGCGGGCTGCGACATTCATTCGAAGAGCAACTTACCGCTTACAGGGCTCCCCAAAATAAGATAACGTCCCACCAGGAATTGCCAGAGGAGGTACGCTGTTGTTTTTTTAAAAAATCAGCAAGGTGGGGACCAGGTAGGGATGTGGTTTGGTTCACATTTCGGCAGGCTGAGACCCTTCCTGTCCACGGACTGTCTCGCCAGAATGGTGCATGTTCTAGTTATCTCCCGCTTGGACTACTGCCATGCGCTCTACGTGGGGCTGCCTTTGAAGGTGACCCAGAAACAATAACTAATCCAGAATGCGGCAGCTGGACTGGTGACTGGGAGCGGCCGCCGAGATCATATAACACCGGTTCTAAAGGAGATACACTGGTTTCCAGTCCGTTTCCGAGCACAATTCAAAGTGTTGGTGCTGACCTTTGAAGGCCTAAATGGACGTGGCCCAGTATACCTGAAGGAGTGTCTCCACCGCCATCGTCTAGCCCGGGCACTGAGGTCCAGCTCCGAGGGCCTTCTGGCGGTTCCCTCACTGTGAGAAGTGAGGTTATAGGGAACCAGGCAGAGGGCCTTCTCAGTAGTGGCTCCTGCCCTATGGAACGCCCTGATGTCAAGGAAATAAACAATCTTAGAAGACATCTGGGGATGCAGGTGGTGCTGTGGGTTAAACCACAGAGCCTAGGGCTTGCTGATCAGAAGGTCGGCGGTTCGAATCCACGCGACCGGGTGAGCTCCCGTTGTTTGGTCTCAGCTCCTGCCCACCTAGCAGTTTGAAAGCATGTCAAAGTGCAAATAGATAAATAGGTACCACTCCAGCGGGAAGGTAAACGGCATGCTCTGGTTCGCCAGAAGCGGCTTAGTCATGCTGGCCACATGACCCGGAATATGTCTACGGACAAACGCCGGCTCCCTCGGCCTATAGGGGGAGATGAGCGTGCAACCCCAGAGTCGTCCGCAACTGGACGTAATGGTCAGGGGTACCTTTACCTTTTAGAAGACACCTGAAGGCAGCCTTGTACTGGGAAGTTTTTAATGTTTGATGCTTTATCGTGTTTTAAATACTCCGTTCGGAACCACCCAGAGTGGCTGTGGAAACCCAGCCAGATGGGCGGGGAATAAATAATAAAATTATTGTATGCCCCCAGGATATTTCTTCTACAGAACTTGTCGCTTCTATTGAACTCCTTGGTCAGAAGCTCTGCAGTGCCAGTCCATACTAAAACTGATTTCTTTCCCCTAGGAAGATGAGGAATGGAAGGAAGCATCGGCAGAAAATTTACCGGGAGAGAAAGGCTCACAGGAATATGTGCTGGCGTCTTCACCTCCACCAGAACCCATGCTACCACCGCCACCAGCAGAAGGGGAGTTGGTGACCCCTCTTACAGCCCCAGAGAGGGAATGGCTGCCCCCCCCGACACCCCCGCAGAGGGGTCGAATGACTCCCCCAGTGCCACCTTTGCAGAGCGAGTGGGTGATATTTGAGAGGACACTTATAGAGAGGGAGAGGGTGACCCCGGTGACTCCGCCAACAGAGAGGGGGTCGCATGGTTCTCTGCCGCCGTCCCCTCAAGTGTTGCCTGTCGTTCCACAGCCACGGGACGAGGAACCTCAGCTAGCAGCCCCCACGGAAATAGCCGCCACGCCCCAGCCGCCGCTGCCAGGCCCTGATCCGCAACCAGAGAAAGCGAGGACCCCCCCTCGGCAGACGTCAGAGGAAGAGCCGCTTATCCCCTGGGCTTCAGCCACAAATGCGTTTTCGGTTTTCCAGACGGTGGAAAAGGTACCGTATTTTTAATCATTAATTTTTTTTTCAAGGAAAAAATATTATTTATCAGGTCTGTTACTTCTTCAAGAGACAGTAAGCTGCAGAGGGAAATCTGGGGAAAGGAAGGAAAATGCAAAGCAAACTCATTTTTGCTTTGTTATTTTCTGCTGGTTTTGACCGGAATGAATCCTCTCAAGGGGCCTTTGGAAAAACTGCCCATCGAGTAAATGTTTCTTTTTTCTATCTACAGTATCCCCCTGCTGGCCCAGGGTGAGAACTTCAGTATATAACAAAATAGTTGCTTTCAACTGTTTTTAACTGATGATTTTATTGTTTTTCTCTCTTTGTAAACCATTTTGAGGGTGTTAACAACCAAGCGATGTATAATTTCTATTAAGTAGACGAACTCCCAGCATGGCCCAAAATTCAAGGGTTGTGTTTTTTTTGTGGTTTTTTTTTTGTTTTTGAGTACTTCCTTCTACTACATGGAAATATTTGGGGTCATTCAAGAGAGTCGAAATAGCTTTGGGGTTGCTGCCCTGTACTAATTCAGATATGGTTTTACATGTTTCGTATTGTTGCAGGAATCTATGTATAGGTTGGGGGGGGGTTGCCCCCCGGCAGATATCATGCACATGCAGCCCACTACCAAAATCAGCACAATCACTTTTGTGACTTTTGTGATTTGTCCCCACAAAACACTTCATCACAGTTTCTTCCTATCTATTCAAAGGGCCTTTGCTGCACGATACCAAATGTAAGAATTCACTGATCAATGTATCTCTGTACTGGCTCACTGGGAAAACTTTAGAAATTCATATAGACATGTGAGCTCAGCTCCTCAGCAGCCCCTCTGACTGAGTGATAATCCCTGGCATCCTGATACCTGAGTGCCAGACAGGTAGCCATTCCGGAAATAACAAACCCAGATGAAGACAAAAGGGTGTGATTCACTTGGCTGGGAAACAGGGAAATGTAAATATCTCTTTTGTTACACTTGATGGGTGTTTGGTGGAGGGCAAGGGGAACCATGGGGCAGGGTCCCGGATGCTCAGATTACTGCCACCAGACCTCCCTTTTCATTATGTAACCATGATGTATTAGTGATGTGGTTTGGGGGGGTGTAACATGGGGATTAGCAGCTAATAAAAGTTTGGGTTCTCTTTTGTTCGGGGTTTCCATCTTGTTCCACCTTGTGGCAGGTGGGAGTCCTGTCGCGACAGTCTTCAATAAAGACCAAGCCGACTGGCTGCTGTTTTACTCTGGTATTCCTGGCTGGTGTCCTTGTTTTTTGTCCAAGGGAGCTCTCAGATTTCTCCATTAACAGTTTGTGTGTTTACCTTGTGCACCCATGAAAACCCATTCCATTTTCAACACCCCAGAATTTGTGTCCCAGTAGCCCTCTCTCCCTCCATGAATTTTCCTAATTCTCCTTTAAAGTCCTCCAAATCGGTCGCCGTCACAGCATCTTGGGGCAGTGAACGCCACAGTTTGATTTTGCGCTGCGTGAATAAGTACTTCCCTTTTGCCTGTCCCAAATCCCCCAACTTTCAGCGCCTCTTTTCAGCGCTGCCCCTTTCATTCCTTTCCACTTCCAGCCTGAAGCAGCCGCAGAGAAAGTCTCTAAGGAAACATCACTAAGGAACTACGAACCTCCCACGGCATCCCGCTCAGGAAAGGAGATTTCGAGCCGAACAGAAACTAAGGTAGTCTTTGGCCAGCTAGAGAACGGTACTCTTATTGTTCCATTTCTTCTACAAACTGCTTCCTATAAAGCATCTCAAAACGATTTCACAACAAAAACTTGTATTTCAAAAACTGCACATATAAAGACAGTTAAAACCATTGTATAAGGGGAGCGCGTGGCGCTGCGGTCTAAACCACTGAGCCTCTTGGGCTTGCCGATCGGAAGGTCGGCGGTTCGAATCCCCATGAAAAGATGAGCTCCCGTTGCTCTGTCCCAGCTCCTGCCAACCTAGCAGTTCGAAAGCATGCCAGCCAAGTAGATAAAAAGGTACCACTCCGGCAGGTGGTGGTGGCGCCCGCCCTGTGGAACGCCCTCCCATCAGATGTCAAAGAGATAAACAACTACCTGACATTCAGAAGACATCTTAAGGCAGCCCTGTTCAGGGAAGTTTTTAATCTGTGATATCTTAGTGTATTTTTGGTTTCTATGGAAGCCGCCCAGAGTGGCTGGGGAAACCCAGCCAGATGGGCGGGGTACAAATAATAAATTATTATTATTACAGTGGTGCCCCGCAAGACGAATGCCTCGCAAGACGGAAAACTCGCTAGACGAAAGGGTTTTCCGTATTTTGAGCTGCTTCGCAAGACGATTTTCCCTATGGGCTTGCTTCGCAAGACGAAAAACGAAAACGTCTTGCAAGTTTGTTTCCTTTTTCTTAACACCGTTAATACAGTTGCGACTTGACTTCGAGGAGCAACTCATAGAACGCGGTGTGGTAGCCTTTTTTGAGGCTTTTCCAAAACTTCTTTTAAACTTTTAAAACTTTTTTGGGGGGTTTTGGATTTTGGGTTGGGGTGTTTGGAATTCAAGGACTTGGTGTTGGGGAGGGGTTTGCAAGAATCTGGAAGCTTGTGTGTTTTTTTCTGCATTTTTATGATTTTCTGTGACCATTGGGCCACTCTGCTGTTTTTTTTAAAAAATTCTGGATTTGAATTTCTGTGTGGTGGGTGGCTGGGGGAACAGTTGAGGAGGGGGTTCTTCAGCAAGAAGCAAAGAGTGGAAGAGGAACCTTCTTCGAGTTGTCCCCCAGAGTCTTAGAAAATGTACTGTACACTTTGTTGATTTTTAAATGTTTTTCTGTCATGTTTAGAAACTTAGTTTATTGTTCCTTCAGTTTTTGAAATGCTCTTTACAGTATGTGTGACTTTAAAGAGCACTTAATAAACTCTTGTTGTACCAAATTTGGCTTTGTTTGGAGTGTGTTTGACCATAGGAACGCATTAATTGGATTTCAATGCATTCCTATGGGATTTCGTGCTTCGCAAGACGAAAAATTCGCTAGACGAAAAAACTCGCGGAACGAATTAATTTCGTCTTGCGAGGCACCACTGTAGTATTATTATTATTTTTATTATTATTATTATTATTATCCCTGCTCCTAACGTCTCTCCACCTCCTAGGCCTTGCCTGCGAGAGTGGACCCAGCCCCTTCAGACATGACGCGCTTCAAGCCCAAAGCAGCCGCGCTCACCCAGAGGGGAAAAGACAAGACGTTTCACGACGCCATGGAAGACATCGCCTCACAGATTAAGGACGCCAGCACTTCCTCCATGGCAAATAGCATCAACTCGTTTGTGGACTCTCCGATTGGGAAGGTGTTTGCAAACACCATCGACCGAGCCCTGCAGAAATCTGAGGAGTGGATGAATTATTATCTTCCTCTACCAGACACCAGCGCCGGTGAGAAATGAGCAACCATTTGGGCAGCCAAGGTGGTTTGTTTGTTTGTTTGTTTGTTTAACTTTAAAGCAATGTTGCATATCATGTACTCGTTGTTCTCCGAATATACAGTGGTCCCTTGATTCTCAAACTTAATTCATTCCGGACGTCCGCTCCAAAACCAAAGCGTTCCAAAACCAAGGTGTGCTTTCCCATAGAAAGTACAGTGGTACCTCGGGTTACATACGCTTCAGGTTACAGACTCCGCTAACCCAGAAATAGTACCTCGGGTTAAGAACTTTGCTTCAGGATGAGAACAGAAATTGTGCGGCGGCAGCGCAGCAGGGGCAGGAGGCCCCATTAGCTAAAGTGGTGCTTCAGGTTAAGAACAGTTTCAGGATAAGAACGGACCTCCGGAACGAATTAAGTATGTAACCAGAGGTACCACTGTAATGCAAAACAGATTAATCCGTTCCAGACTTTGAAAAAGAACCCCTAAAAGAGTAATTTAACAAGAATTTTACTAACGAGACCGTTGAGCCATAAAATGAAAGCAATCATCAATCCACTATGCTATAAAATAAATAAGACAATACGATATACGAAGAATAGAAATAAAAAGTCAATTACATAAAATACATTTTAGGGTTTTGAATCAATAGTCAAATAGTGGGTGTTATTCTGATTGTCCCAGCTAAAAACCTTGCAGCCTTTGCTGTCGCCTGCTCATCTTGATCTGCCCAGAGAAAGGACACTGTGGCAGTGGTTGGGCGACCCGGAATGGGGAATAAAAGAGGGGTGATAATCTCATTCCTCAAGTCTTTATAAAGAGTGCAAGCTGGTACTGCCATCTCCACAGGGACATAAGCGTTTTTCGTGTGGAATCTGTTGGAATCGTCCCTCAAGTCCAGCCAAGGGCAAGACATTCAATCTTGCAAGAGTAAAAGCGCGTCTATGTTTTAGAATTGCTAGGTTATGCAGATGGGGTGCCAGAGAGTCGAAATGGGAAGGTGGAAAACAGTCATACCATGGGCAAAATTTCCTTATTGTGGCCAAGTTGTTCTGATGCTCAATATCATTTAGGCGCTGACAAATTAGACTGTTTGCTTTACTTAAACCCAAAGTGAGACGCTGTTGTGGTGATAAGCCACAAGACTGAAGTTTTTGATAGATAATTTTAGTCCAGGCACTCTTGTGGCAATCTTGCAGCACTAGGGATATTAAACCGGGGGGATTTGAGTTTAGGCAAAGTCAATAGTTACCGTATTTTTCGCTCTATAAGACGCACCAGACCACAAGACGCACCTAGTTTTTGGAGGAGGAAAACAAGAAAAAATATATTCTGAATCTCAGAAGCCAGAACAGCAAGAGGGATCGCTGCGCAGCGAAAGCAGCAATCCCTCTTGCTGTTCTGGCTTCTGGGATAGCTGCGCAGCCTGCATTCGCTCCATAAGACGCACACACATTTCCCCTGACTTTTTAGGAGGGAAAAAGTGAGTCTTATAGAGCAAAAAATACAGTAAGTGTCCTACGCCAGATCCGTAATTCTACCGGGGGAAGATTAGCCTCTAGGCACAATGATGCGTTTGGGACACAGGGTGGTACAGAGAAAATTTGCCTTAGGAACTTTGATTTGACAGCTTCCGTAGATCCAAGGGGAGTGCCAGTCCAAATCTGAGTCCAATATAATTCCATCGCCTTGCGCCTCCTGACTGCATGTTTTTCTCAGCTGACGCTGGCGGGAAGAAAGAAGAGCGTGACACATCAAAAGACGATCTCTGCAAGGAGGGCTGCTTCATGAGGATCAACTTCCTTTCCACCCAGCTGAGAAACCGGGCCTTTAGGTTTGTGCTTCACCGGCTGAAAGCGACCCGCAAGAACACCAATGAACAGCTCTCGCGGCTCGATCAGGTGTTGAACATGGTAAGTGAGGCTGAACATTGGGCAGTAGTGGCTCGCTGCGAATTCTCCGCCGTTGAGGGGAAGTGTGTGGAACAGGTCTCAGTGTTTCGAATTCTGGGAATGGAGTTGAGAGAGGACCTAACCTGGGGAGAAAACAGCAAAGACCTTATGAAGAGAGCACAGCAGAGGTTATATTTTCTGAGAATCCTCCAGAAAAAGAATCTCTCAAAGGACCTGTTGATGGCATTTTACCATTGCACTGTGGAGAGTGTATTAACTTATGGTCTGTGTGTGTGGTTTGGGAGCTGCACGGCCATGGAAAAAACAATGCTGTCCAGGGTTGTAAAGACTGCAGAGAGAATAATTGGGTGCGCTCTTCCCACCTTGGATCAAATCTATGCTGTCAGCTGCCATGTCGCTGGGGAAACAAACAGTCTCCGTCCGCAGAACATTCAAAAATGGAGGCTTGCGCAAGGGGCCAGGGCCAGAAAGAGAGCCAGCGATTGACCACACATTCGCTCCATAAGACGCACAGACATTTCCCCTTACTTTTTAGGAGGAAAAAGGTGTGTCTTATGGAGCGAAAATACGGTACAGTCATACCTCAGGTTGAATGTGCTTTGGGTTGAGCGCGTTCGAGTTGCGCTCCGTGGCACGGAGCGTGTTACTTCCGGGTCTCGCCGCTCGCACATGCGTAGATGCTCAAAATGACGTCACGCACATGCGCGGAACCGGCAAAACGCGACCCGCGCACGCGCAGATGCGCCGTCGCTTGTTACGTTCGCTTCAGGATGCGAACGGGGCTCCAGAACGGATCCCATTCGCATCCCGAGGTACCACTGTAATTGGATTTCTGTGCAAGCCAGAGTCCTCTTTGTTTTGCCAAAGCAGTAACCTCCTCTCTCTCTTTCTCTCTCTCAATTCTCCCTCTCAGCTAGATCACTCCCTGAGCCCGGGCCCTTCCAGCTTCCAAAAGGTCTCCGAAAGCTTGTCAAACATTTTGCCGCAGTGGAATACAAAGATGGAGGCCCCGTCCCAGAAGCCCAGCGTGGTCCAGAAGTCCCTCTCATTAATGCCTGAGGTATCTTGGTGAGGAACGGAGGCGTCCAAGGGCAAATTGGCCAGTGGGTTGCCATCAGCGGAAACAGCCCTTCTAGCCAGGGGAAAGCTGAGAAGCACTATCAACCTCACACTGCCACTAGTGGCGAGGGGTGGAATTACGGGAGCAAGCCGTCTTCCTGAGATATAAGAGGTGGAGCCTGAGAACGAAGGGCCAATCAAAGGGGAGAACCTGGGAGTGTTAGGGCGGGCCTCATTCAGCTGCGTAGCGTGGGGAGGGCCACAGGGGCGCAAAATTGTTAGGGGTGCACAATTTCAATACAGCTGTGCACTTCCGTAGCTGTGAACCAGGAAGTGAACTCTCCAGACAATGGAACTCTGCATTTCTTATCTCTGTGGCTGCGATCTCCTGTGTGATGTGGATGCCGTTAGGCAGTTGAATGCACATGCATCCTCTGTCCGTTTTGCTCCCTCTGCATGGCTCCATGCACCGGCAACCCCTGCTATGCCACTGGCCTTAGTTAGGTGAAGTACTCCCCGTTCCTCCATGGCGGACTGTTGCTCCACTTAAAAAGGGCTCTATCTTAAGGTTACCAGATGTTTTTCAATGAATCCGGGGACACTTTTCAACTTCAATAGGAATGATAGGATTTTGTATGGGGACAGATTTGTAAATCCGGGGACAGTCCCTGTCCTCCTGGCCCGTGTCCAGAAAGTGGTGGTGGGGGATGAGTGTTCAGACCCCTGGGCTCTCACTTGTGGGGTGCCTCATGGTTCCCTCCTCTCCCCCATGCTTTTTAATATCTATATGAAGCCGCTGGGAGAGATGATCAGGGGGTTTGGGCTGGGTGTCCATCAATATGCAGATGACACCCAGCTCTACCTCTCTTTCAAATCAGAACCAGTGAAAGCGGTGAAGGTCCTGTGTGAGTGCCTGGAGGATGGGTGGAGGCCAACAGATTGAGGTTGAATCCTGACAAGACAGAAGTACTGTTCTTGGGGGACAGGGGGAGGTGGGTGTGGGGGACTCCCTGGTCCTGAATGGGGTACCTGTGCCCCTGAAGGACCAGGTGTGCAGCCTTGGAGTCATTTTGGACTCACAGCTGTCCATGGAGGTGCAGGTCAGTTCTGTATCCAGGGCAGCTGTTTATCAGCTCCATTTGGTACGCAGGATGAGACCCTATCTGCCTGCAGACTGTCTTGCCAAAGTGGTGCATGCTCTAGTTATCTCCCTCTTGGACTACTGCAATGCGCTCTACGTGGGACTACCTTTGAAGGTGACCCGAAAACTGCAATTAATCCAGAATGCAGCAGCTAGACTGGTGACTGGGAGTGGCCGCTGGGACCACATAACACCGGTCCTGAGAGATCTGCATTGGCTCCCAGTACATTTCCGAGCACAATTCAAAGTGTTGGTGCTGACCTTTAAAGCCCTAAACAGCCCAGGATACCTGAAGGAGCGTCTCCACCCCCATCGTTCTGCCTGGACACTGAGGTCCAGCGCCGAGGGCCTTCTGGTGGTTCCCTCATTGCGAGAAGTGAGGTTACAGGGAACCAGACAGAGGGCCTTCTCGGTAGTGGCGCCCGCCCTGTGGAACGCCCTCCCCTTCAGATGTGAAGGAAATAAGTATCTATCTTCTCTTTAAAAGACATCTGAAGGCAGCCCTGTTTAGGGAAGTTTTTAATGTTTAATGCTGTATTGTTTTTAACACTTGACTGGAAGCTGCCCAGAGTGGCTGGGGAAACTCAGCCAGATGGGCCGGGTATAAATAAATTATTATTATTATTTATTATTATTATTATTATTATGAAACGGGGATGTCTGGTAACCTTACTCTATCCTCTTTCAGCAACTGGAGATGAAAGCTTTGACCATGACCCGGGTCCTGGCCGACGAGTTGTACACAACCTACCGCAATCTCCTGCCACACGTCGCTGAGCTCCCCGCTCACCTCCAGGAAAAAGTGACTCAGGTCTACCAGAGCATGGAAGAGCTCCACTCTCATTTGTCCTCCGTCGCCTCCCTCAGGGATCTGCCAACCTACCTGATCCTACAGAGCCGAGAGAGAATCTCCGTCGCCCGGGAGAACCTGGACGAACTGCTAGATTTCATGGCCCAAAGCCAGGCAGGACAGTGGCTGTCTCAACCAAGTACTTCCAGGGTTGGATTGCCGTCAGCTGGGGTGAGGCCACCGATAACAGGGAACGCCGAAAGCAGAGGGGAAGAAGAAGGGTCCACGTCCTGGCAACATTCACCACCTCACCCGCCGCCTTCGTATCCAAAAGATTCCCAGCTCTAAAATCAGATGAAGAGCGCTCCTCCGTGGAACGGAAGCTTTGGGTTACTACAGCTCCGGTTTCGTGCAACCCGGGAACCGTAACCCCATGGAAGCCAGCTTTGCCATCGCCATCCTCTGCTTGTGATTCAGGCAACTGATCCCATTGCAATTAAAGGTCTCTCTGAAACAAGACGGCGCTTGCGTGCTCCTTTGAAAAAGGTTCTGTGCTCCCACTGGGATGTTGGGGGATCTCGTCAGCTAAGCGGCCTCGGCCCAGTATACCTGAAGGAGCGTATCCACCCCCATCGTTCAGCCCGGACGCTGAGGTCCAGTGCTGAGGGCCTTCTGGCAGTTCCCTCACCGCGAGAAGCCAAGTTACAGGGCCTTCTTGGTGGTGGCACCTGCCCTGTGGAACGCCCTCCCACCAGATGTCAAGGAAATAAACAACTACCTGATTTTTAGAAGACATCTGAAGGCAGCCCTGTTTAGGGAAGTTTTTAATGTGTGACATTTTAATGTATTTTTAATCTTTGTTGGAAGCCGCCCAGAGTGGCTGGGGAAACCCAGCCAGATGGGTGGGGTACAAACAATAAATTCTTATTATTATAAGCTGGGAGGTAGGTGCAAGCAGGGTGAAAGGAGAGGGTCAGTCTGTGCTGAGGGCTGTAAGGAGCCAGGTCAATCTGTTGGGGTTGGTGATGTCCAGGCCAAACTCAGCTAATCTCCTCTGGTAGCTCCTGCAATATCACCCCCTGGTCATACAATGGTGCTCCTATGACACACCATCTGTCCATTCGTTTCTTATATCTTTCCCATTTCTATGTTCAACTTCTCCACATTTCTGCATTTTTTAAATTTTTAATTATTTTTGGGGGACAAAGTAACACGGGTGGCGCTGTGGGTTAAACCACAGAGCCTAGGACTTGCTGATCAGAACGTCGGCGGTTCGAATCCCCACGACGGGGTGAGCTCCCGTTGCTCGGTCTCTGCTCCTGCCAACCCAGCAGTTCGAAAGCACGTCAAAGTGCAAGTAGATAAATAGGTACCACTCCGGCGGGAAGGTAAACAGCGTTTCCGTGCGCTGCTCTGGTTCGCCAGAAGTGACTTAGTCATGCTGGCCACATGACCCAGAAGCTGTACGCTGGCTCCCTCAGCCAATAAAGCAAGATGAGCGCCACAACCCCAGAGTCGGCCACGACTGGACCTAATGGTCAGGGGTCCCTTTACCTAATAATCATAAATAAATAAGAATAAAAATGTGCACGCCACCACCGAGACCATTTCATTGTAACTATCCAATCTCCCAAAATTTCAACACCTCTTGCGATGGTTTGGCCCCCTTTCCATTTTCACGGCACACCTTCCATATCTCCCCAGAATCATTCCTCCTGCATATTCCCCATCTTACCTTATTGACACATGTTAATTTATCCAGGGCCATCTTTAGTATATGCACCGCCGGGGTGCAAAGATCCTCCCAGGACCCTCCCCCCCAAAAAAATTTAGTTTAGCCCCCAAATTAACTTTTATTATGCTTATGTCGCTATTGTCATTTGATAAATAGTGCTCACGCCTGCACAGCTCCAAAAGGAGCTTTTGTGTGTGTGTTATGTTTAAAACCAGCTTTTCTAAAGACAAAGAACACATTGGGAGTTGGTTTAAAGACTCCATGCATGCGCTGACGGTCACAGGGAGGTGTCTGAAATATAAGACAGACGGGCATTGTGCGCATGCGTTGGAGAGCCATCTTGGGCAACCTTTCATTGTGGGAGCAACCTTATTCCTAGAGGAGCTTGGAGGGCCCTTGCGAGTGCACATATACGAGTTCTTCTTGGGAGGGAGCCTGTGCGCACTCCTGTCGCTAGATAGGCGAGTTCTCTTTCTGTCTGTCTCTCCCTCTTTGGCGCCCGGGTGCCCTGCACCCCTTGCACCCCAGGTAAAGACGGCCCCGAATTTATCATTAATAGCTATACCCCACACCTCTTTATACCATAGAATCATAGAATCATAGAGTTGGAAGAGACCACAAGGGCCATCGAGTCCAACCCCCTGCCAAGCAGGAAACACCATCAGAGCACTCCTGACATATGGTTGTCAAGCCTCTGCTTAAAGACCTCCAAAGAAGGAGACTCCACCACACTCCTTGGCAGCAAATTCCACTGTCAAACAGCTCTTACTGTCAGGAAGTTCTTCCTAATGTTTAGGTGGAATCTTCTTTCTTGTAGTTGGGATCCATTGCTCCGTGTCCGCTTCTCTGGAGCAGCAGAAAACAACCTTTCTCCCTCCTCTATGTGACATCCTTTTATATATTTGAACATGGCTATCATATCACCCCTTAACCTCCTCTTCTCCAGGCTAAACATGCCCAGCTCCCTTAGCCGTTCCTCCTAAGGCATCGTTTCCAGGCCTTTGACCATTTTGGTTGCCCTCCTCTGGACACGTTCCAGTTTGTCAGTGTCCTTCTTGAACTGTGGTGCCCAGAACTGGACACAGTACCCTTCTTCCATTTTATATTCTGCTTGCCCCTTCCACTTCCTGGCTATAATAATTCGTGCCGCTGTCAATAAATTTGCGAGCAAGTCCTGTGAACCTTCCATCTGCATCATTTTTTAAAGAAAAGGCCCTGGTGTAAATTCATCAGCATTCTAGTGTGACGTGCAAAATTTCTGGATGCAGTTTTTTTGGGCCCAATACGTTACATGTGTGTGCCAGAATCCCACCCCATTCAGGAACCCCTAGAACAGATTCTGTAGAAAGGTGAGATCTTTTGCACAGAGGCAATCATGCCTCGCCCGAAGAACAGGAGCCAAGCTTACTGAATCAGGCAGGGCTTTATGTGGTGCAAGATTTCATGGGTTCCTGGTGCTTACCCAGGGTCCATGTTTCCTTTGGAAATGAGGCATGGCAGAGACTGTGGTGCCTTTATGATATATGGTTTATTTACACATATACAGAATGGCATATGCTAGAGCATGCTATATTCATGCTGTACTCACAGCAGACAAGTGTACTCACAGATGTGGGTGGTGCTGTGGTCTAAACCACTGAGCCTCTCAGGCTTGCTGATCAAAAGGTCGGCGGTTCGAATCCCTGCAACGGAGTGAGCTCCCGTTGCTCAGTCCCTGCTCCTGCCAACCTAGCAGTTCGAAAGCACAAAGTGCAAGTAGATAAATAGGTATCGCTGCAGCAGGAAGGTAAACAGCGTTTCCGTGCACTCTGGTTTCTGTCATAGTGTCCCGTTGCACCAGAAGCAGTTTAGTCCTGCTGGGCACATGACCCAGAAAGCTGCCTGTGGACAAACGCCGGCTCCCTCAGCCTGAAAGCGAGATGAGCGCCGCAACCCCATAATCACCTTTGACTGGACTGAACCATCCAGGGGTCCTTTGATGTGGTGTAGTGGTTAAGAGCGGTAGTCTCGTAATCTGGGGAACCGGGTTCACGTCTCCGCTCCTCCACCTGCAGCTGCTGGGTGACCTTGGGCCAGTCACACTTCTCTGATGTCTCTCAGCCCCACTCACCTCACAGAGTGTTTGTTGTGGGGGAGGAAGGGAAAGGAGAATGTTGGCCACTTTGAGACTCCTTAAAGGGAGTAAAAGGCGGGATATCAAATCCAAACTCTTCTTCTTCTTCCTTTACTACTTCTTCTTTTACAGCAAACGGGCAGATGGAGTTCATCAAACTAGGAAGGAAGCCCATCTAGGAGAAGGAAAACTCTGATCCTAAACCTCCACTGACATCTTCAGGAAAAGAATCAGGAGTGAACCTACACAAATCTGGAGCAAAGTCCATAAGGCTGTTGGATAGCGCCTTGTACACCTTCTTCCAGCAACTCCTGCTGCCAAGCTGGTGCCAAACGTCTTGCTCTGCTTTCCTTTGGACCCCATCAGTGAGGCTGAGAGGGGGGTCTTGTCATCTGGGCCCCCCAGGACACACCCTGGCGAGGTCACTTCATTGCTGCTAACATACCTTCCAACATTTCTCCCCTGAAAGCAAGGACATCCTATTCTCCATCAGGGAGCTTCTCCAGTGTTTGATCTCACCCCACACATATATACATTGACACCTGTCACTTTCAGCCAATGACAACGTCTCCGCCTTGCCTACGTGGCAGGATTGTTGTAAAGAAAAAACGTGCAAGGGAAGACATCATGTACAACAGATAAATGGAATGAAATAAAATTTCAGCTGCCTTGGTTCTCCCTGTCAGGGAAAAATGCAGGATACCGTATTCCTAGTAGTAATGAAAACTGAGGATGATCAGGATACATGCCAGAGAGTAAGTCCTATTGGCAGCAAGAATACTCATCGCAAAGTATTGGAAGACACAAGAACTTCCCACGCTGGAGGAATGGCAGATGAAACTGATGGATTATATGGAACTGGCGGAAATGACTGGCAGAATTCGTGACCAGGGAGAAGAGGCGATGGAGGAAGATTGGAAGAAATTCAAAGACTACCTACAGAAACATTGCAAAATTAAAGAATGTTAGAGTGATGTTGGATTGAAAATAAGTGGTTTCCAGCTGTACAGGATAAAATTATAGACAGACTAAGATTAAAGATTAGGATTAAAGAAGTTTAAGGAAATGGAAATTTGGTACTTAAGAGGTAAAATTTTAATGCTATATTACATCAAGATTAAAGATTAGGAGTAAAGAAGTTAAAGGAAAGGGAAATTTGGTACTTAAGAGGTAAAATTTTAATGTTATATTACACTAAGATTAAAGATTGGGATTAAAAAAGTGGAAAAGAAATTGCTGGATAAACAATTTGGACTGGAATACAAAAGAGGGAGGTATGAGGAAGTCCAGAAAATAAGTAAATTCAAAAAAGGAAATGAAAAGGTGATATTGTTTTTAATTGTTCTGTTTCTTCTTCTTTTTTTGTCTTTTTTTGTGTTTTTTCTCTTTTTCTGGGATTTGTATTGTGTATTTGTGTATTTCTTTTTTATGTCTTTTCTGTTTAATTTTTTATTGAAACTTTAATAAAAATTATTTTTTTTTAAAAAAGAGAGAGAGTAAGTCCTATTGAACTCAGTGGGACTTACTTCTGAGTAAAATGTAAAGCGGTGTAAAGCGGCCCAGTCTTGACCCAGTTACCTGGGAGTCAGCTCCATTGAATACAGTGGGGTTTCCTTCTGAGTAGACAGTGTAAGACTCCATTTACAATAAAGGAATAAACATGTTCTGCGTTTCCTAAGAAACGGGTGGTCGAGGAAGCACAGTAATGAAATAATTAGAAGTGGATTGGTGACCTTTTTCTTCAAAATGATAGGGAGGGCTACACATGCCAGCCTCCCCATTTGGGGCAGGGATTTTATTTTCTGTATAAACGGGACTCCGTTTTTTGCAACAACACTTTTAATTGTGCTCCGAGACATGGGGAGGGAAAAAAGCAGAACTGGGACACACTGTGATCAATCCAGACACTGGGACGGCTTCTGTAATTCCGGGACTGTCCCTGGAAAATAGGGAAACTTGGAGGACCTGGGCTAACACGGCAGTTTGACTTTCCCCCTGGAGGCACACTCCATTGTTTATTGAGACAGATGGTTGCCAGTTCACACCCTGAGCCTGGAGGGGGTTCAAAGCATTACACCCCAAGACGGTCCTGTTTCTCCCATTACTACCGCATTGAATAAAATAATATAAAACAAATCAGTCCCTCTTGCTGCCTTCAACAGACCCACTTTTTCTCTGCTAGCTACCTCTCCTGACCCACAGACACCCACTGCACTTCTCCCAGGTGATTTCCTAAGCATGGAAAAACTGGGTGGGCATGCATTGCGACGCTGCTAAATTCAGCATCTGGCAGCCCGATACTCCAAGCCAGCGGTTCTCAAGCTGTGGGTCCCCAGATGTTGTTGGACTACAACTCCCATCATCCCTGAGCTCTGGCCTTGCTAGCTAGGGGTGATAGGTAGTTCATCAACATCTGGGGACCCACAGGTTGAGAAAGGCTGCTCCAAGCATTGATTAAACTCCAACACCCACTTAGACACAGGATTTTAGGGGAGTCAAGGCAACCCCCCAAACTCATAACAATATGTTAAAGCAAGACCTTAGGTGTATAGCTGTCAACTTACAGATTTGAAAATAAGGGACCAGCAGCCTCGAAAATAAGGGATCAGCAGCCAAAATAAGGGATTTTCCAAGCACAGGTATGTTCAACTTCTGAGCCCCTCTGAGCCAAAGGCAGAAAGCCCAGCCAGCAGCCAAACGAAGCCTCAAGCGGTGGTTCCCACAGCGCAGCAACCCGGCAAAGGGGATGCAGCAAGGAAAACCACTGTCACCTCTCCGCTGGGAAGCGCTGAGCAAAGGCGAGTCCCCAGGCAACGCGGCCGATTTGATTGGCTCAAGGCATGCAAGCTCCACCCCCCAGTCGTTCTTAGACTCCTTATTGGGTGAGAAACGCAGCCAAGCAACACAGTTGGAGCCTCCCTCCTCTCTGGCCGGCAGGGAGGGAAGGAGGGAGAGGAGCTGCTTCCTTTGAAACCTGGGAAATTTAAGGGACATCATCAATAAGGGACAGCAGCGGGACACAGCGCTGGGATAAGGGACTTTCCCTCCAAATAAGGGACAGTTGACAGCTATGCTTAGGTGGTCACGGCAGAACCGTCAGAAACCTGGCAAAGCTACGGAGCGCAGCTGGTCCTCTTCCTCTAACCCAGTTCCTCTGCCAAGCGAAGTAACAATGATGATAATAAAAACCTTGCAATCTAGATCCGCTTTCTGAAGCAATGATGGTTTTCCCCCTTCCTCCCTAGGGTTGCTGGGAGTTAGAGGCACTGTGGCAAGTGAGCCAGCGCCAGCCATCTATGACATCACCCAGCTTGACAACAGCTGCATGGAATTCTGGGAGTATCCTGGGCCCCAAGATCCCATGGAACGAAGGAAGATGCTGCCATGAACCCTGGGCTCTTTTTAGCCCACCCTGCCAGGCCAGAGACCGGAGACCATGGCTAAGGGTGAGTGCTAGGAGAGCGCGAGAGATCGAGGGGGCCCTATTTTGCATTGTTGTTTTGGGATCGGAAGGACATCTGCAGTGCAACATTCGCCCCTCGACGTGTTGCCTCCGTACCATACATTATAATACCAGAGAGCCAGCGTGGTGTAGTGGTTAAGAGCAGTGGACTCGTAATCTGGGGAACCGGGTTCACTTCCCCGCTCCTCCACATGCAGCTGCTGGGTGACCTTGGGCCAGTCACACTTCTTTGAAGTCTCTCAGCCCCACTCACCTCACAGAGTGTTTGTTGTCAGGGAGGAAGGGGAAGGAGAATGTTAGCCGCTTTGAGACTCCTTAGGGTAGTGATAAAGCGGGATATCAAATCCAAACTCCTCTTCTTCTACATTATAAGCTTGCGGGCTTCCCACTGGCCCTTGCGAGAACAGGGTGCAGCCAGCCTGTTCATATGTTCTTCAGACTTTTGCTTACGGTGCTAAGAACATACAGAGGCAGACCATTGGTCCATGGTAGCTCATAAGAACATAGAATCAGAGTCCGGTAGAGGAGATCACCTGTTGAATCAGGTCATTTGCCCATCTAGATCAACATCATGTTCTCCCACCAAATGGGAGAACCAAATGGTAGACCAGAAAGAGCCCTCTCCTCTCTCCGGCGGTTTCCAGTGGCAATAATAATAATAATAATAATAATAATAATAATAATAATAATAATAATTTATTATTTATACCCCGCCCATCTGGCTGGGTTTCCCCAGCCACTCTGGGCGGCTCCCAACCGAATATTAAAAACAATGCAGCATTAGACATTAAAAACTTCCCTAAAGAGGGTTGCCTTCAGTTGTCTTTTAAAAGTAAAATAGTTGCTTATTGCCTTGACATCTGGTGGGAGGGCGTTCCACAGGGCAGGCACCACCACCGAGAAGGCCCTCTGCCTGGTTCCCTGTAACCTCACTGCTCACAGTGAGGGAACCGCCAGAAGGCCCTCGGAGCTGGACCTCAGTGTCCGGGCTGGACAATGGGAGTGGAGACGCTCCTTCAGGTACTCCGGGCTGTTTAGGGCTTTACAGGTCAGCACCAACACTTTGAATTGTGCTCGGAAACATCCTGGGAGCCAATGTAGGTCTTTCAAGACCGGTGTTATGTGGTCTCGGCGGCCGCCCCCAGTCACCAGTCTAGCTGCCGCATTCTGGATTAATTGCAGTTTCCGGGTCACCTTCAATGGTGGCCCCACGTAGAGCGCATTGCAGTAGTCCAAGCGGGAGATAACCAGAGCATGCACCACTCTGGCAAGACAGTCCGCGGGCAGGTAGGGTCTCATCCTGCGTACCAGATGGAGCTGGTAGATAGCTACCCTGGACACAGAATTAACCTGCGCCTCCATGGACCAAAATGACTCCCAGGCTGCGCACCTGGCCCACGTGACAGCCCTTGAGATATTTGGCGATGGCCTCCTGCAGCTTGCAGGTTGTTTGGTCTACTCTCCTACTCTATGTAGGGCTGGAGGCAGTTTGGAAGCCGCCCAGAGTGGCTGGAGAAACTCAGCCAGATGGGTGGGGTATAAGTAATAAATAATAATAATAATAATAATAATAATAATAATAATAATAATTTATTATTATTCAGCCTGGGCAGAATTCCAGGCTTCTCACCGGGGCAAGACGGGTTAAGCATATTACACCAATCCCGGCCTGATTGTGCCGCTTGCCGATTAATTTCCGAGCCCAATTCAAAGTGCTGGTTTTGACCTATAAAGCCCACAATACCTCAAGGATCGCCTCTCCCCATATAAACTGAGTAGCTCTGTATTCATCATCTAAGGCCCTTTACTGGCCTCTTCCGTCAGAGGTCCAGAGTGTGGCAAAGCGATAACAGGGCCTTTTTTGTGGTGGCTCCCCGTTTTTGGGATGCTCTCCCAGGGAGGCTTGTCTGAGAGCACCTTCCCTCTGTATCTTTAGGTACCTGGTGAAAACGTCCCCCTTCTACCCGGCCTACTGTGTCCTTTTAAATGTGTTTGTGGGATGGAGGCCAACGGGTCTTTGGTTTCTATGTTGGGAATTTTGTGTTTTCATTTTGTGTTTCTATGGCTGTAAACTGCCCTGCGATCTTTGAACATGAATTTAATAAATGAATGAATAAATAATAATTTTGTTTCCCTTTCGCCCTCTCTGGAATCCTCATCCTGGATGACAACCAATGGATGGCAGTGCGAGACAGAGACCAGGTACTTTGGGGGCACAGCAGAGAAAAATGCAACGGCAGATAAGAACTCTGTCCATGCTCAGAGGCGCTAAGTGCTTTTCTTTTATCACAGCTAAGCATCTCATGCCATAGATCCGGGCTTCCTAAACCAGCCTATGCACCCACAAATTTCATTTGTGTGGCCCACAGTGCTCCTGTGGAGAACATCTGGAATTTGAACCATGGAATTCATATTGTATAGTCGTTCCTTGGTTGTCGAACGCCCTGGAACTCATACGTTTCGGCTCCCGAACGATCAAAAACCGCAAGTGAGTGTTCCGGTTTTTGAATAATATTCGGAAGCTGAACATCTGGCGTAGCTTCCGATTGGCTCCAGGATGCTCCTGCACCCAATCAGAAGCCACGTCTTGGTTTTCGAACAGTTCCGGAAGTCAAACAGATAACCAAGATATGACTGTAATGGAATAAAATAAAAGACACAATAAAAATGCAATTAAAAAATTGTGCAGTGCATTACAATTGTTGCAACAAGCTGGGGTGGGGAAAACCCCCCTAAACAGCTTTTACATTCTCAGCTCTTTTCAAGTGGTTTATGACAAGAGAGGGGAAACTCCTGCCTTAAATTTAGGACAAGGTGGCTTCGGTTGCCTGCCTTGTAATTCACATCTCTCTCATGCAAGCAGTTTGCCCCAGATGTAGAATTGTCCATTCCCAAGAACAGAGGTAGGCAGCCTAAAGCCCATGGGCCACAAGCAGCCCACGGGGGTTGTTTAATCTGCCCATGAGCCGCCCGCTCAGCGAGTCTTGGCGCGCTGCACTAAACTGGCGTGGCGCAGCATGGGGACTCGCTTCCGCGGTGCCAGAAGTCGCGTCTGCACATGTGCAGATGCTAAAAATTGCGTCTGTGCAGACGCAGACACTGGAAATCACATCTGCACAATGGAAATTGCTCAGTTGTTTATCTAAGAGTTGATTTGTCCTTGCTTGGGAACCACGACGGGCAAAGAGTCCCAAAACCACTTTGAAATGCACTGTGCAGACACGTCCTAACAGATCCGTTCCTTGTGTTGGTTAGCTTAGCGAGAGAGAGACGGACAGCCTCGGTTCAGACTCGGTGTCCTTAAGGGATGAAGATTCCAGCATCTTCAATCTGGACCAAGAAGAGGAGGAGGAACAGTGTGAGTAAGGGGAACAGGGGCAAAGCTGCTTATATACATTCCTGAAAGCTTGGGCCATTCCCACTCACAACGTGATTGGCTGTCTACACTTCCAAGCTGCGAATCACGGCTCAGAGCTCAAGGGCCAATGGCAGAGGCCCAAATCCTGAAATGTTCTGTGATTGGACACCATGTATTGAATCAGGAGCTCAGAATCCTTAGTTCAGACTCAAGCTCAGGCAAACACAGACCACTGAATATATAACAGGAAGTCTATCTACTTATAATTATTACCTTACATTTAATAAACTTTCTAATACTTTCTTACAACCTTTGTTGTTTAGTCATTTAGTCGTGTCCGACTCTTCGTGACCCCCTGGACCAGAGCACGCCAGGCACTCCTGTCTTCCACTGCCTCCCGCAGTTTGGTCAGACTCATGTTTGTAGCTTCAAGAACACTGTCCCACCATCTCGTCCTCTGTCGTCCCCTTCTCCTTGTGCCCTCCATCTTTCCCAACATCAGGGTCTTTTCCAGGGAGTCTTCTCTTCTCATGAGGTGGCCAAAGTCTTGGAGCCTCAGCTTCAGGATCTGTCATTCCAGTGAGCACTCAGGGCTGATTTCCTTCAGAATGGAGAGGTTTGATCTTCTTGCAGTCCATGGGACTCTCAAGAGTCTCCTCCAGCACCAGAATTCAAAAGCATCCATTCTTCGGCCATCAGCCTTCTTAATGGTCCAGCTCTCACTTCCATACATCACTACTGGGAAAACCATGGCTTTAACTATACGGACCTTTGTTGGCAAGGTGATGTCTCTGCTTTTTAAGATTTCTTACAACCTAGCATACCAATATTCCTTTTATTTCTTAATATTTTATGTACACAAGGGTCCTTCAAACACAACCACAGATAATAGGTCACTGTTATTTTTTTTGTAAGTATCTCTTAAACATTTCCCATTTTTAAGAAAGTAATGGTTTGGTGTTACCTCTTAACCTATTTAAAGCACACAGCTTTCACCCCAGAGAGTCTGGGGGTGATCCAGCCACAAATTAAAAATAAAATAAAATAAAAATAAAATAAAATATTGCTCAATAGTCAAGTCTCACATGTGCTCAGGAAACTAAACCCCAGATTCCTCTCTCCCCCAGTTCTCTCACCTTCCAGGAGCAGGAGCAGAGATGAGGAACTGGAAGAGTTTGTCGAGGGGGTGGACGAAGGATGGAATACCGACGAACCATCTCCGGAAGTGTCTTTCATCATCCCAGAAGTAGTAACGGACCTCCTTTCGGAGACAGATCTGACAGAACACGTACATCCGCCTAACCCTCCTCCTTCTCTGGAGGGGGTGTTCCGAAACAACCTGTTGGAAGAACCCAATTTCGCAATAGAGTCGGTGCGTTGACCCCAAAGGCCACTTGCGCCAAGGAGCCAAATCCTGCGGTGCCTTTTTCCCCCCGGGTAGGGGACGCGGGTGGCGCTGTGGGTTAAACCACAGAGCCTAGGGCTTGCCGATCAGAAGGTTGGCGGTTCGAATCCCTGCGACAGGGTGAGCTCCCGTTGCTCGGTCTCCGCTCCTGCCAACCCAGCAGTTTGAAAGCACGTCAAAGTGCAAGTAGATAAATAGGTACCGCTCCGGCGGGAAGGTAAAGGGCATTTCCGTGCACTGCTCTGGTTCGCCAGAAGGGGCTTAGTCCTGCTGGCCACATGACCCAGAAGCTGAACGCCAGCTCCCTCGGCCAGTAAAGCGAGATGAGCGCCGCAAGCCCAGATTCGGTCACGACGGGACCTAATGGTCAGGGGTCCCTTTACCTAATATAATCAGATGGCACTTTGCTCCATCTTCCTGACATTTCCTTTCCTATCAATTCTTGCATTTTGTGTGATATTTCAGACAATGCAAAAGGCACTTCTGGAAATCTAGTGTTAATTGTTTTGGCAGGGGGAGCAATCAGTTAACTCAGAAAATCAGGGGAGCTTTGCGTTGAAATTTTCACGATCGCACTGTTGCCCCTCGGGGGATGAAATTTGCGCTGGCATCTTGGCGTACAGTTAAAACTGGGCAATGCATGGTAGCATATTCACCCCAAGGCCATGGCCCATCTGTGAAAGAGGTGGATCTTAATAGTTAACCACATAAAGATCAGCTTTATTGGGCAAATAACAACAACAACAACAACAACAACAATAATAATATTATAATAATTTATACCCCGCCCATCTGGCTGGGTTTCCCCAGCCACTCTGGGTGGCTCCCAACAGAATAAAAAAGTGATACAGTATCAAACATTGAAAGCTTCCCTAAACAGGGCTGCCTTCAGATGTCTTCTAAAAGTCTGGTAGTTGTTTATTTCCTTGACATCTGATGGGAGGGCGTTCCACAGGGCGGGTGCCACCACTGAGAAGGCCCTCTGCCTGGTTCCCTGTAGCTTTGCTTCTCACAGTGAGGGAACCGCCAGAAGGCCCTCGGAGCTGGACGTCCGTGTCCGGGCAGAACGATGGGGGTGGAGACGCTCCTTCAGGTATACTGGACCGAGGCCGTTTAGGGCTTTAAAGGTCAGCACCAACACTTTGAATTGTTTTTTTTTTATAAGATATTTATTAGGATTTTCAAAATATTACAAAATAAAGATTAAAAAAAAAGAAAAATACAAAATAAAAATAATTAAAAACAACACAATCTTTCCATTACTTATTTTTCATTAGCTTATTTCCCGGACCTCCTCACGCCTCCCTTTTTTGTATTCCAGTTCAGTTTGTTGGTTCAGCAAATCCTTCCCCTCTTTGTTTATCCTAATCTTTAATCTTAAAATATTGTAACATTAAATTTTTACCTATTAATAATCCATTTTTCATATTCCCTTATAGTATTGCAGCTAAAAACCACTTAATTTCTATCCAACATCATTCTAACATTCATTAATTTTGCAATATTTCTGTAAATAGTCTTTAAATTTCTTCCAATCTTCTTCCACCGACTCTTCTCCTTGGTCTCGGATTCTGCCAGTCATTTCCGCCAGTTCCATATAGTCGATCACCTTCATCTGCCATTCTTCCAGAGTGGGTAGATCTTGTGTCTTCCAATACTTTGCAATGACCAACACTTTGAATTGTGCTCGGAAACATACTGGGAGCCAATGGAGGTCTTTCAGGACCGGTGTTATGTGGTCTCAGCGGCCACTCCCAGTCACCCATCCAGCTGCCACATTCTGGATTAGTTGTAGTTTCCGGGTCACCTTCAAAGGTAGCCCCAAGTAGAGCACATGGCAGTAGTCCAAGCGGGAGACAACCAGAGCATGCACCACTCTGGTGAGACATAGTCTAATGTTTGTGCGCTTGACTTAAGGGTAAGAAAAGCACAATGGTCATTCTCAGCAACCATGCATCAACCCCACTGCCAACCTGTACCCTCCTCACCCACCCAGTATCCATGTACTCCACTGGAATGTTCAGGGTCCCAATCCATTTGTTTATGCAAGGATGTGTGCGTCAATGGGCACACATGAAGTTCCTTCACATATTGCCGAAGCATTTAGGCCGTGGGGAGCACGACTGTACCCGACGCTGGCTGTGGGGACCTTATTTTGCATGCTCTTAGGGGATGGTGGGGGTCTCCAAGCCCCACTTGCTTTCTCCTTTAGGCAGTCACTTGACCTCAAAAGTTGTATCCAGCATCTATCTATCTATCTATCTATCTATCTATCTATCTATACAGTGGTACCTCAGTTTACATACGCTTCAGGTTACATATGCTTCAGGTTACAGACTCCGCTAACCCAGGAATAGTACCTCGGGTTAAGAACTTTGCTTCAGGATGAGAACAGAAATCGTGCTCCGGTGGCGTGGCAGCAGCAGCAGGCCCCATTAGCTAAAGTGGTGCTTCAGGTTAAGAATAGTTTCAGGTTAAGAACAGACCTCCGGAACGAAGGACGCAGGTGGCGCTGTGGGTTAAACCACAGAGCCTAGGACTTGCCGATCAGAAAGTCAGAGGTTCGCATCCCCGCGACGGGGTGAGCTCCCGTTGCTCGGTCCCTGCTCCTGCCAAACTAGCAGTTCGAAAGCACGTTCGAAAGTGCAAATAGATAAATAGGTACCGCTCCATTAGCTAAAGCGGTGCTTCAGGTTAAGAACAGTTTCAGGTTAAGAACGGACCTCTGGAACGAATTAAGTTCTTAACCCGAGATACCACTGAAATAATAAATAATCAATCCATCGACAGCGCATGAATTCCTCCACTCTCTCTCACCTTCAGGTCTTGGGAGAAATGAGAGCAAATATCTTGACGGCAGCAGAGGAGGAAGCGAGGGCCCTGGCTAGCGAATTAAGGGACGACGAGGACGAAGACGACAACAGGGAATGTGAGCCACACAGCGTCCTGACCTGCAGGATATGCCAGCTGTTTGTGCGAACCGTCGACAGGCTGCTGGACAAGTCGGAGGAGCTGATGGATCATTACCTACCTCTTACCGAAGAGGAGATTGGTAAGCATGTGAGCGTCACACCATAGAATAGAATCATAGAGTTGGAAGAGACCACAAGGGCCATCGAGTCCAACCCCCTGCCAAGCAGGAAACACCATCAGAGCACTCCTGACATATGGTTGTCAAGCCTCTGCTTAAAGACCTCCAAAGAAGGAGACTCCACCACACTCCTTGGCAGCAAATTCCACTGTCAAACAGCTCTTACTGTCAGGAAGTTCTTCCTAATGTTTAGGTGGAATCTTCTTTCTTGTAGTTTGGATCCATTGCTCCGTGTCCGCTTCTCTGGAGCAGCAGAAAACAACCTTTCTCCCTCCTCTATGTGACATCCTTTTATATCTTTGAACATGGCTATCATATCACCCCTTAACCTCCTCTTCTCCAGGCTAAACATGCCCAGCTCCCTTAGCCGTTCCTCCTAAGGCATCGTTTCCAGGCCTTTGACCATTTTGGTTGCCCTCCTCTGGACACGTTCCAGTTTGTCAGCGTCCACCAGGAGAAGGCAGCTGAATCATAGAACCATATACCGTATTTTTCGCTCTGTAAGACGCACCAGACCACAAGACGCACCTAGTTTTTGGAGGAGGAAAACAAGAAAAAATATATTCTGAATCTCAGAAGCCAGAACAGCAAGAGGGATCGCTGCGCAGTGAAAGCAGCAATCCCTCCTTCTGTTCTGGCTTCTGGGATAGCTGCGCAGCCTGCATTCACTCCATAAGACGCACACACATTTCCCCTTCCTTTTTAGGAGGGAAAAAGTGAGTCTTATAGAGCAAAAAATACGGTACGTGGTTGGAAGGTGTCAGGGAACTGCCATCGGAAGGAAGGGAGGTGAAAGGACTCAGACAGGTTGGAAGAGACTCAGCAGCGGAAGAGGGAACCAGCAAGGGGAGAGAAGCTGAACTGAGGGAGGTGAAAGGGCTCAGACAGGTTGGAAGAGACTCAGCAGCTGAAGAGGAAACCAGCAGGGGGAGAGAAGCTGAACTGAGGGAAAGGGAGCTGGGGGGATGGCTCAGAGATACTTCCAGCGAAAACAGTGGTGAGGTTTCCGGACCTCCTGTTGGGACACCCACTCCTCGCCGGAAACTGTCACGCAGAGAGTCCAGAAGACGTGTTTCCGTTAAGGAGCTTTTATGTTGGAAGCGATTACGAAAGCAGCCACTGTCGGAATCTTCTAGTGACTAGAGGAGCCATGTCAGAGGGGCTCAGTCACAGACAGAGGTTTGTGGACTTGAACAAACACTGAGGGAATACGATTTTACGCACAAGCAGCTCATCTTCCCATCACAGCATTCCGACAGTCTTTGAACGCAGCTTGTGCAGGAGAAGGCATAATGAGCAACCCAGCAGGAACCGGAGAAGCAGGGGCTGGAGCGGGTCCAAGCCTGGAAGAAAGGTACCGGGTGTTGGAGGTCCAGCTGGCGCTGCAGACGGCGAGGCTGGAGGAGAGGAGGGCTCAAGATGCAGACAAAGGGAGAAAGCCACCCAGCTCGCCAGAAAGGTACCAGGATTGGTGCAGAAATTTGGGGGGGAGCCCAAAGACTATCATAGCTTTCGGACAGAAATGCAATATGCCCTCAATCTGCAGTTTGATGATTTCCTGATGAGGAATCACGAGTGGCTTTTGTGATTGGGCATCTTGAAAAGGGGGCGAGAGACTGGGTTAGACCCCTGATGGCAGCGCATAGTGACGTCCTAAAGGACACGATGAAGTTCTTTCGCGCCATGGATCTGATGTTTTCCAGCGATATTGAAAAGGGAGTGGTGCGCAGACAGTTAATGGCTTGCAAACAGGGGAGCCGATCTGTACGTGAGTACTGGACTGAGTTCACCATGCTGATACACAGATTGGGGTGGGACTTATCGGCGGAACCCATTCAAATGCTCTTTGAAGAAGGGCTTTCTTCGGCTGTGAAAGATGAACTTTCCCGGGCGCCCAGGGCGGAGTCTATGGACCAGCTGACCAAATCAGCGCTGGCCATAGGAGCGCGCCAGGAGGCGAGAGCATTGGAGAGGCGGGAAGGGAAAGGGGAACGTTGGAAGGAGTTCCGCATTCCAGACATTCCAGAGCCAACTTTCCCGCCGGCAGAGCCGATGGAAATCGGAACAGCGCGCGCGCGCGCAGTTTCAAAGCCCAGTGAGGGGGGAAAAAAGGAGGGAAAAGGCGCCCGGAAATGCTATCTCTGCCAACAGCCAGGGCACTTTGCCAGAGTCTGCCCCCAGAGGAAGGAATGGCAAGGGATGGTGGGAGCTGTGGAGGGAAGAGAGGAAAAGATACCGGAGCAACTAAAAGCCAACGCCTGGCTGCCATTGTCGGGGCACAGCAGCCAGGCCAAAGAGCAGTGAAAGTGCCCACGCCAGAACCTCCTAAACCCGCCCTAGTGATAGAAGTGACACTAGAGCTGCCAAACGGACACCCTCTAAAGATAAAGGCGCTGTTGGACTCAGGCAGCTCCTGCAATTTCATGAGCAAAGAGTTTGCAGCTGAACACCAGATACAGACGCTCCTTTAAGCAACCCCTGCCGGTACCCACGATCGATGGCAGGGAGCTGTTGGGAGGAGAAGTCAGCTTGCAGACCGTCCCAATGATAATGAAGGTGGCAAGGCACACCGAACTCATTGCGTTTAATGTGGCCACCTTGGGAGGAGCTCCCATTATATTGGGGATGAGCTGGCTAGCGTTACATGATCCGCTGGTGGGCTGGCATCAAAGAGTGGTTTCTTTTGGGTCAGCACATTGCTTAGAACACTGCAAAGAGGGAAAGGTTTTGGCAGGGGCCCAAGCCACCCTAGCAGGGACTGAAGTAACGGAGAACGTGAAGGTACCACGACAATACGCAGATCTCCGCGACGTCTTCAGCGAAAGGGAAGCTGACCAACTACCACCGCATAGAGCCTTTGACTGTCAAATCAATTTGCTCCCTGGGGCACAGCTCCCTGTGGGCAAGCTGTACGCCATGTCAGACAGAGAGATGCAGGAGCTAAGAGAGTTCATTGACAAGAACCTGAAGAGAGGGTTCATCAGAGAGTCCAGGGCGGTTGGGGGCAGCCCAGTGTTTTTGTGGACAAAAACACGAACAAGCCGAGACTGGTGTGTGACTTCAGGGCCTTAAATGCAGTGTCAGAACCAGTGGCCTTCCCGATGCCCAGGATTGACGACATTTTGACAAGGGTGCGGAAGGGAAAGATTTTCACCAAGCTGGATCTAAGGGGGGCGTACAACCTGATACGAATAAGGAAGGGGGATGAATGGAAAACCACCATGTTCACCCCTTTAGGGGCATTTGAATACTTAGTTATGCCCTTCGGTCTACAAGCAGGCTCCGCAACATTTCAATCGTTTATGAACCACGTCCTGGGGCCGTTGCTTTACAAGAATTGTGTGGCCTTCTTAGACGACGTGTTGGTGTATTCTGAGAATGAGGAGCAGCATGTGAGAGACGTCAGAGAAGTGTTGAGCAGGCTGCAAGCCAACCAGCTGTGGGTGAAACTGGAGAAGTGTCAGTTTCATACCAAGGAGGTGGAATTCCTGGGGTATCGCCTGTCTGACAAGGGGTTGGCCATGGATCCCGGCAAGGTCCAGGCGGTACTGGAATGGAAAACACCCAAAACAAGGAAGGATGTGCAGAGGTTTTTAGGATTTGGGAACTTCTATCGTAAGTTCATCCCAAACTTTGCCCACCTGACGGCGCCCATTACGGACTGTCTCAGCAGTAAGAAGAAGTTCGCTTGGACGGAGGAGGCGGAGCAAGCATTTGAGGAACTAAAAGGGCCTTCGCCTCGGAACAACAGCTCCTGCATGTGGATTTACAAAACCGATGAGAGTGGAAACTGACGCATCAGACAGAGCGGTTGGGGCGGTGCTTCTCCAGCCAGGGAAGGAGGAGTCAGAGTGGAGACCGTGTGCTTTTTTTCGCGAAAGCTGAACAAATCCGAGAGGAACTACACGGTGTATGACCGAGAACTACTAGCCATTCATGAGGCGTTCCGGAGATGGAGGCACCTGCTAATTGGCGCACAACATAAGGTGCAAGTGTGCACTGACCACAAGAACCTAGAGTATTGGAGGACGGCACGAGTGCTCAACCAACGGCAAGTGAGGTGGGCCCAGGAATTCTCCAAATTTAACTTTGAGATTTGTTACGTGCCAGGCCCAGAGAACATTAGGGCGGACGCTCTCTCACGCAAACCTGAATATTTGGAGGGGGAGGGAGCACCCGAAGAGAGACATGTCATTCCAGAGGACCGCTGGGTGTGTGGGGCGGCATTGGTGGGACAAAGAGAACTGGTAGAAGAAACAGAGAATGATGAATACGCCCAGAATAAGCTCAGAGGTCTTAGGGATGAGGGAGAGGAATCAAGGGGTTTCGAGGAAAGAAATGGAGCTTTGTATTACAAAGGGGCACTGTATATCCCTGAAGGAGACTTAAGGGGGAGGGTACTCAAGCAGTTGCATGACAGCCCCACGGCGGGCATTTTGGGCAACACAAAACCATGTGGTTGGTCACCAGGGAATTTTGGTGGCCTAAGGTGAGGGAGGATGTACGTGAGTATGTAAGAGGGTGCGAGCAGTGCCAGCGAGCCAAAGGGGAAAGGCGGGCGCCGGCGGGGCTATTAGAACCCTTACCAACACCAGAACGACCTTGGGAGGCAGTGTCGATAGATTTTATGACTGATCTGCCGAAGTCCAAAGGGAAAACAGCCATCATGGTGGTGGTAGACCTACTAACAAAGATGTGCCACTTTGTAGCTTGCTCGCATGCAGTCACGGCGGAAGAGACAGCGAAGTTATTTGTAGAACACATTTTTAGGTTGCACGGGGTGCCATTGAGGGTGGTCTCAGACCGAGGAAAACAATTTACTTCCAGGTTCTGGAGGAAGCTCATGAGCTTACTGCAGGTGGAGGTCAACTTTTCGACTGCCCGGCACCCTGAAACCAACGGGCAGGCGGAAAGAGCAAACGGTGTCCTCCAGCAATACCTGAGGTGTTATGTCAATGACAGAGAGAATGACTGGGTAGAAAAGTTGGCGCTGGCGGAATTTGCCTACAACAATGCCGAGAATGTGTCCACAGGGATGAGCCCCTTCTTGGCTAATTATGGGTGTCATCCCAGGGCTTTCCCAGGGGAGAAGGGGAGAGATGGAGCGCACCGGCAGCCGAGCATTTTGTAGAAGAAATGGAAGCAATCCACCGTCAGCTCCAACTCAACTTAGAAAGGGCGAAGGAAGAATACAAGAGGCAGGCAGACAAGAACCGAAGGGAAGGTGAAACCATAAGGGTTGGAGATAGGGTGTGGCTGTCAACCCGAGGGGTGCCGTTCAAAGGAGGTTGTAAGAAATTAAGACCCAGGAGGTTGGGTCCCTTTGAGGTCATTCAACAGGTCAACCCAGTGGCTTTCAGGCTCCGGTTACCCAACCACATGAAACTGCACCCAGTATTTCACAGGTCGTTACTGTCACCGTACGAGGGGGGACGAGAAGGGATGGCCACTCGGGACCGGTCATAGAAGAAAGAGAATGCAGCAGTCATGTGGCAGAAATCCTTGATGCCAGGTGGAAGGGGAATCAGGTGGAGTATTTGGTAGCGTGGGAAGGAGAACCGGAGTCAGAAAACACGTGGGTAATGGCCGAAGATATCAATGACGAGGTATTGATAGAAACGTTCCATCAAAGGTTCCCGAGGAAACCTCAGCCTGTGGAGAGGTTCCGGAGGGAATACTTTGGGACCACTGAGGAGGAGGAGGAGTTGGAAGGATTCCCAGAATCGGAAGGGGAAGGGGAGATGGACTCGGAGGAGGAGGAGTGCTTCGAGACCAGGAACCGCAACAGGTGGAGAGAAGTGTTCGAGACATCGGAAGATGAAGGAAGTTCATTCCGGGTTTTGCCTCCTCACCGCCCGTAGAGGAGGGGGCGAGAGGGGGTGAAGGGGGCCCTGGAGGGGAGGTGGATGTCAGGGAACTGCCATCGGAAGGAAGGGAGGTGAAAGGACTCAGACAGGTTGGAAGAGACTCAGCAGCGGAAGAGGGACCCAGCAAGGGGAGAGAAGCTGAACTGAGGGAGGTGAAAGGGCTCAGACAGGTTGGAAGAGACTCAGCAGCTGAAGAGGAAACCAGCAGGGGGAGAGAAGCTGAACTGAGGGAAAGGGAGCTGGGGGGATGGCTCAGAGATACTTCCAGCGAAAACAGTGGTGAGGTTTCCGGACCTCCTGTTGGGACACCCACTCCTCGCCGGAAACTGTCACGCAGAGAGTCCAGAAGACGTGTTTCCGTTAAGGAGCTTTTATGTTGGAAGCGATTACGAAAGCAGCCACTGTCGGAATCTTCTAGTGACTAGAGGAGCCATGTCAGAGGGGCTCCGTCACAGACAGAGGTTTGTGGACTTGAACAAACACTGAGGGAATACGATTTTACGCACAAGCAGCTCATCTTCCCATCACAGAAGGGATCCCTGCAAGGCAGTAATCACAGCTAAAGAATCCCTGAACAGACAGCCGTTCGACCTCTGTATTAAAATCTCCCACATAGGAAAGACCACCAGTTCCCGAGGGACATAGCTCACTTGGTTGGAGCATGTGCCAAATACTAATACTAATAATAATTTATTATTTATGCCCCGCCCATCTGACTGGGTTTCCCCAGCCACTCTGGGCAGTTTCCAGCAAAATGCTGTATTAAAACACTTTACAAAATAATCTTTTTATTATTTTATTATGTCCATCTGGCTTAGGAGTTTTGGAGTCTGAGGTTTCCTTTTTTAAAAAAAGGAAAGGGACACGTCTTTTGTCGCTTGCCAGGAAATGCAACCGACCTAGCTTTGAATCCGCATTGGGGAAACCCAAGTACTGGAGGGGAAGTTATTAAGTTGCCGTGCTGGGTGCAGACGTTGGTAGTCCAAAATATGCGGCAGGCGAAGGAGGCAAACTATTTGGAACGAAGTACAGTCATACCTCGGGATGCGGGTGGCACTGTGAATTAAACCACAGAGCCTAGGGCTTGCCGATCAGGTCGGCGGTTCGAATCCTCGCGACGGGGTGAGCTCCCGTTGCTCGGTCCCTGCTCCTGCCAACCTAGCAGTTCGAAAGCACATCAAAGTGCAAGTAGATAAATAGGTACTGCTCCGGCGGGAAGGTAAACGGTGTTTCCATGCGCTGCTCTGGTTGGCCAGAAGCGGCTTAGTCCTGCTGGCCACATGACCTGGAAGCTGTACGCTGGCTCCCTCGGCCAGTAAAGCGAGATGAGCGCCACAACCCCAGAGTCAGCCACGACTGGACCTAATGGTCAGGGGTCCCCTTTACCTTTTTACAGTCATACCTTGGGTTACAGCTGCTTCAGGTTGCGTCTATTCGGGTTGCGGACCGCCAAAATCCGGAAGTACCGGAACAGCGCATGTGCAGAAGTGCTAAATCGCACTTTGCGCATAAGCGCAGAATCGCAACCAGCGTGTGCGAAGATGCGCTGCTGTGCGTTGTGAACGTGCATCCCACACGGATCATGTTTGCAACCCGAGCGTCACTGTATCCCTCTCCCTGTTGATATGCAAAGGACCAGGCCTGGTCTGCAAAAGAATCGCCCTCTGCCGTTTTACCAAGGTTGCAGGTTCAGTCCCTGTATTAGAACACTGCCCAGAAACTTCAGCTGGCTCAAAAAGCTGCAGCCAAATTGCTGGCCTGGGCTGGTTGTAGGGAAGCAGACGACTTCCTTGCTACAATACAGCCCCCCTTTTTGCAGGCACAGTGCCAAGTGCCGGCCCGTGACAAATAAAAGCCCTATATGGCTTAGGTCCAAGCTGCCTGAAAGATTGTATTCCATCATACGACTCTGCCCATCTTCAGAGATCCTCGGAAGCCCTTTTCTCAGCCTCGCCACCCTCACAGCCATGTTTGTTGGGGACGCAGGAGAGGGCCTTCTTGGTGGTGGCTCCTGCCAGACTTTGGAACTCCCTTGAGAAACCAGACTGGCTCCCTGCTTGCTGCCTTTCTGCCAGCAGGTGAAGAGGCCTTCTCATTCCAACAGGCTATTGGGGACTGACTGCTTTTAACGAAAGGGCTCGTGCCCTGCTCTTTTTATTGTAATTATTTGTATGGTTTTAATCGGGGGAAATGTGGGATATAAATTATATATTGATGACACTGTCTTCCAGATATTTAGAACAATTCCCATAGTCTGATGGGAGCTTTCGTCTAAAACATCTGGAGGACACCTCCAGTCAGACTAATCTCTTACACCCTTTAAGGCAGGGGTCAGCAAACTATTTCAGCAGGGGGCCGGTCCACTGTCCCTCAGACCTTGTGGGGGGCCGGACTGTATTTGCGGGGGGGAGAATGAACGAATTGCTATGCCCCACAGATAACCCAGAGATGCATTTTAAATAAAAACACACAATTCTACTCATGTAAAAACACGCTGATTCCTGGACTGTCCACAGGCCAGATTTAAATTGGGCGATTGGGCCAGATCCGGCCCCCGGGGCCTTAGTTTGCCTACCCATGCTTTAAGGCAGCGGTTCTCAACCTGTGGGTCCCCAGATGTTGTTGGACTACAACTCCCATCATCCCTTGCTAGCTAGGGGTGATGGGAGTTGTAGTTCATCAACATCTGGGAACCCACAGGTTGAAAAAGGCTGCTTTAAGGAGTCTTTGCCTAACTTACCCCTTCTGTCCAGAAACTTGGGACCCTTCCAAGGAAGGCAGGACACGAATAAATTTGTGGGTTATCTAAAGCAATGTGCAGATTGGCGAAAGGGGTTGTCAGGCGTGCTCTGGTTCCTCAATCTCTCTCTGCTTTCCCCAAACCCCTCGCCACTCCCAACTCGGTGCAGGAAATCTGAAGAAAGCTGTCGCGGAGATCGAAGATACGTCCATAGACCACCGGATGCAAGCCTGCCTTGTGAGGATCAACGATCTGTCCAACAAACTCCGTCAAAGGGCCTACATGATGGCCCTGAGCAAGCTGCGATTCACGAGACGCAGTACCCAAGCGAGCATCAATCAGCTCCACGAGACGTTGGATGTGGTATGCCCAACTCTTATCTCCCCCCATCCCGATTTAACAATCCATCTCTCCCTGAAACATCAATGTGCCTGTGGAATTCTTGCCCATTGAAGGGGTGTGTCTGCAATGCCTTCTTCAGAGGGACGCGGGTGGTGCTGTGGTCTAAACCACTGAGCCTCTTGGGCTTGCCGACCGGAAGGTTGGTGGTTCGAATCCCCGCAACGGGGTGAGCTTCCGTTGCTCGGTCCCAGCTCCTGCCAACCTAGCAGTTCGAAAGCATGCCAGTGCAAGTAGATAAATAGGCATCACTGCGGTGGGAAGGTAAACAGTGTTTCCGTGTGCTCTGGTTTCCATCACGGTGTCCTGTTGCACCAGAAGTGGTTTAGTCCTGCTGGGCACATTACCCAGAAAGCTGTCTGTGGACAAACGCCAGTTCCTTGGCCTGCTCTGGTTCGCCAGAAGTGGCTTAGTCATGCTGGCCACATGACCCGGAAAAACTATCTGTGGACAAACGTCGGCTCCCTCGGCCAGTAAAGCGAGATGAGCGCCGCAACCCCATAGTCACCTTTGACTGGACTTAACCATCCAGGGGTCCTTTACCTTTTTACCTAACAGGAGCTCAAGGTTCAGCTCCCACCATGGTGGGGGTCTCTGGAATGTCAATCTCTGAGTTAGGGTCCCGGTGACACAAAACAATCACAGTAGCCAGCGAGTAGTGAGTAAAGGCAGAGAGAGAAATAATAAATAATAAGGATAAGGATATCCCCCCCCCAATCTGACTGGGTTGCCCCAGTCACTCTGGGAAGCTTCCAATAAATTAAAACACAGTGAGACATCAAACCTTGAAACTTCCCTATACAGTCGTACCTTGGTTCTCGAATGTATTCTATTCTTGGAGTCCGTTCAACTTCCAAAAATGTTTGAAAACCAAGCCGTGGCTTGCAATTTGCTGCAGGAGCTTTCTGCACTCGATCGGAAGCCGCGTCCGACGTTCGGCTTCCAAAAAACATTCGCAAACCGTAACACTTACTTCTGGGTTTGTGACGTTTGTGAGCCAAAATGTTTGAGTACCAAGGCGTTCGAGAACCAAGGTACGACTGCACAGGGCTGTTGTCAGGTGTCTTCTAAAAGGCAGTTGTTTTATTTCCTTGACATCTGATGTGAGGGCGTTCCACAGGGCGGGCGCCACCACCGAGAAGTCCCTCTGCCTGGTTCCCTGCAGCTTCACTTCTTGTACTGAGGGCACTGCTAGAACACACTTCCTCAACCTCGGCCCTCCAGATGTTTTGAGACTACAATTCCCATCACCCCTGACCACTGGTCCTGCTAGCTAGGGATCATGGGAGTTATAGGCCAAAAGCATCTGGAGTGCCGAGGTTGAGGAAGCCTGTGCTAGAAGGCCCACGGAGCTGGACCTCAGTGTCCGGGCTGAACGATGGGGGTAGAGACGCTCCTGCAGGTATACTGGGCCAAGGGCTTTAAAGATCAGTACCAACACTTTGAATTGAGCTCAGAAACGTACTGGGAGCCAATGTTGAAAATGAGAAGAATTAGCCAGGGAAAATTACAATGTCCCCAAACATCCCCAGCCAGTCTCCGACCTTTCGTAGAACACCGTCGGGAGACGGAAAGAGATTCTACAACCTCTCAGGGAATATCTGAAATCAATGGAACTAAAAGGGCGGTTTGAACCCCTGTACCGCGGGTGGCGCTGTGGGTTAAACCACAGAGCCTAGGACTTGCCGATCAGAAGGTCGGCGGTTCAAATCCCTGTGACGGGGTGAGTGCCCGTTGCTCGGTCCCTGCTCCTGCCAACCTAGCAGTTCGAAAGCACCTCAAAGTGCAAGTAGATAAATAGGTACCATTCCGGCGGGGAGGTAAACGGTGTTTCCGTGCGCTGCTCTGGTTTGCCAGAAGTGGCTTAGTCATGCTGGCCACATGACCCGGAAGCTGTCTGCAGACAAACGCCAGCTGTCTCGGCCTATAGAGCGAGATGAGCGCCGCAACCCCAGAGTCGGCCACGACTGGACCTAATGGTCAGGGGTCCCTTTACCCTTTACCTTACCAACCCCCATTTGAGCTTTGTTCATGGGCTCCCTATATCCCATCTAACCAGGGAGGGTTTACAAAGAAATGCAGTGGTGGCTGGTCCATTAGGCAGCACTGCTCTACCAACCTCAGCCTGCCTCCACCAGCCAGTCTTCTTACTTAAAATCAGCCCAGGGGGTGGGACTGTCAAGCTTCTTTGTCCTTGGTCTGAGTATTGCCCTCATTGAACTTGGCAAGGAGGAGGAAGATGACAAAACAAGGGTTGGTTGGCGCCAAACATCATCGCCTCTGTCTCCACCTCCTTCTGGGTTTCCTGCCCAACCAGACCCAATGGCCACAAGCCACCACGGCTGAAATCGTGTAATAGCAACAACACCTAACATTTCTCACTCGCACAGGGCTCAGCCAGGTCAGAAGAAACAGGCCCAAGTATTTGGTACCCTGGAGAGCTCCTGCAGGGCACAGGTGTGCCCACCCAATTCACTGCGTTGTCGTCTTCTTTTTACCCATCCCATGTCCATTTCCAGATTGATCAGGTGCAGCACAGAGCAGAACTGGAGATTGGTCCATCCAACGAAAGGATGAGCATGATCTGCGTGGAGTGGAGCGCGAGCCCACGTCGGAATTCTGCCCAGGGGAATGAAGATTTCAGCACCCTGGACGTTGGGGTGCCTCGTGCTCAGAGCACCATGGTCGGGAGAGAAGGATCTGGGGCGCCTCGCGAGCACAGCACCACGATCGAGTGCGAGGAAATCGGGCTGCCTGCTGCTCAGAGCACCATGATCGAGTGCGAGGAAATCGGGCTGCCTGCTGCTCAGAGCACCATGATCGAGTGCAAGGAAATTGGGCTGCCTCGTGCGCACAGCACCATCGTAGAGTGTGAGGAAATCACCTGCTCAGAGGTCGAGATGACGCCCACAGAGGTCGAGATGTTGCCCATACCAATCAGCCCCCCAGAAATAGTTGAGGTGCCACCCCCACCAATAATTATCCCGGTGAACGTTGAGGTGCCACCCCAGCCCATCATCATCCCGGTGAAAGTTGAGATGGCACCCGCACCGATAATCATCCCAGTGAAAGTTGAGATGCCGCCTGCACCCACCAGTCCCCGCAAGAAGGACCCCATCTACAGAGATGTGTCTAACATCACATTAACGGCACCAGGTTGCGACGAGGAGGACGAGATCACCCTACGGATGCGCGACGAGGAAGATGAGAATGACAGCCCTACCTCTGAGGTACCCTTTTCTTCAAGTTCTGAGCCACCGTGTTGTTACAAGGGGTTGCCGCTGGAGAACCTTCATGGTCCGTTCCAACTCTACGATTCCATTATCTGCTGAAGGCCCCCTTACCTAAACCACGCTCTTGGCACATTGTTGTGTTGTGGAAGCGCATTCGAATCTCCCATGAGACCAAAGCACCATCCACAGAGAAGCTGACTCGCTGCATCTCTGGGCAAGTCACTGTTGCCGACTTCCAATCTGGGGGCATTTCCGGAAGCGGCGACTCTTACTGAGATATGCTCACTTCCAAGGATTTTATCGTAAACTTATCAACCTTTTCTGGCATAAGAACAGTGCCCCCAATTTCAATTCTCGGGGGGAGGGAAACAACCTTAAATTTGAAGTTTGGGAAACATGGGGTGATCGAACAAAAGCACATTCTCGCAATAACCACGGTGCAGCTGAGAAACTGTGATTCACTATGCCAACCTGCCTTCTATTCCTTTATGACCTCAGTTGCTTCTTTTAAAAAGAAGCTGAACACTGTATTTTATTTAAATGCTTCGTTAATTCTAGCCAGTTCGGGCTGCTCATTTTGCAGATTCAGGCCCAGTCTCTGCCTCCGGTCCTGCAGGGCTTATAGACCCTTTGGACTGGACCAGAAAATTCAAGAACTATCAGCCTCCTTCTCCAGGTCTCCAGAGGACGGACGAGACCTTAGTGGGCAGGCAGTTTTCTTTTAGTATAAGCTGCTCCAGGGCTGTCCTAGGCCGCTTGCCGCCTGAAGCAAAACAGAAAAGGGCACACATGAAGCTGCTTCTGCCTCCTCCTCCTCTGCCATCCCTCCCAACACAGCCTGAGACTGGAGGCACCCTGAAAAAGTCCTGGTTTGCTGCTTATAGAGGATTGCATAATAGATCTGGGAACTCCTGGCATGTTGATATGGAGGGTTTTTGGTTTTTTAAAGCACTCATAGTATTTAAGAGGAAGAGGAAGAAGAAGAAACAGCTCTGAATTTTATGTAGTCGGTACTACAGAATAAGGGACGCGGGTGGCGCTGTGGGTTAAACCACAGAGCCTAGGGCTTGCTGATCAGAAGGTCGGTGGTTCGAATCCCCATGACGGGGTGAGCTCCTGTTGCTCGGTCCCTGCTCCCGCCAACCTAGCAGTTCGAAAGCACACCAGCGAAAGTAGATAAATAGGTACCGCTCCGACGGGAAGGTAAACGGCATTTCCATGTGCTGCTCTGGTTCACCAGAAGCGGCTTAGTCATGCTGGCCACATAACCCGGAACCTGTACGTCGGCTCCCTTGGCCAGTAAAGCGAGATGAGCGCCGCAACCCCAGAGTCGGTCACGACTGGACCTAATGCTCAAGGGTCCCTTTACCTTTACTACAGAATAAAGATTTGGGGAGGTATTTGGTATGGGATAGAGTTAATGGGGGGTTAGAGCGGCAAATGTAAGAGATTAGGCAAGGTCATGGTTTGCATGGGTCAGAGAACTGTGTAACAAAGAGGGAATAATGAGTGGGAAGTACATTAAGCCTGAGGGAAATGGACCTGTTTTGTGAAAAGGGGAATTGAGTAACAAGGTAAAACAGAATTATTTTCCTGGATGTGTAAAACTTGAGTATGGTTAACTAGGATGTTGTGAACTCAAAGACAGGATGATTTAAGTTGTACTGGAGGAAGCACGATTTAAAATTACGATTCGTGGGGATCGATAAAGTAATATTTTAATTCTATTTGGTTAATTGGTAAAATAGCTGGGCAAATGTCTAAACAGGAACTGAACATGTACCATTGATGGAAATAGGAATGGATGGAAACCTATTAGAAATTAAGGGGAGAGGGGAGGGTTATTTTTTTACTGTGAGCAGAAAAGGAGGGAGGGAAAAGGAGCATCTTCAAGGGGGGGGGAGAGTCAAATTCTAAATATGGGTTAAATTTGAATTAATTTGTTTTGTGTTTTTGAAAACTAATAAAAATTACCGTAATTGGCATGGTGCACAAAGAGAAATGTAAAGTTTAGTGCTGGTAGCCATCATCCACAGGAAATAATGGACCTTCCATGTTCAGAGGCAGTCTACCTCCAAATTCCAGTTGGTTGAGGGGATTTGTACATGAGGGCTGATGCTTTCAGATTCTGCTATGGGGCTCCCAGAGGCATCTCTGCTCAGCCACTGTGAGAACAGGATGTACACATCTTTCAGGGCCCTCATCTTCGGGCTGAAACAGCAGACGTACAAAGAGAGAGATTCTTCAATATTCTCCTTTGGTGGAGACTCTCTTCAAGGTGGCTAAGGGCCCTTGTATCTACGGGGCCGCCTCTCCTGGTCTGCCCCGCAGAGGACCTTAGGGTCCATGAATAACTATAGTTTAGAGGTCCCGGGCCCTAAGGAAGTCAGACTATCCTCCACCAGGGCCAGGGCCTTCTCAGTGATGGCCCCGACCTGGTGGAATGCTCTGTCCCATGAGACCAGGGCCCTTCAGGATTTAACCTCCTTCCGTCGGGCCTGTAAGACAGAGCTAGTCCACCTGGCCTTTATTTAACTTGAATTCAGCCTAATCTTTTATTTCCCTTCTCTTCCCTCCCCCTCCCTTTTTATGAAGATCACCCGCTCTGAGACCCCACAGATAATTCTCCCCTGGCCTCTTCGCTGGCCCAAATAGGACTAATTCAGCCAGCTAGCCCTAGGAATGATCTAATTGATTTTTTATTTTTATTGTTATTCGTGTTTTTATACTGTATTTTATGCTGCTTTTATAATTGTTTTAAATTTGTTGTTAGCCACCCTGAGCCCAGTTTTTGAACCGGGAAGGGTGGGGTATAAATAAAAAATTATTATTTATTATAAAGTGCTTCCATGAGCATCTGTTAAGCTGGTGCTTCAAGCTCAGGGTGAAATGAGGGGGGGATACCTTAGGGTTGGATGGAATTCTATTTGGTTTTGTGGAGGCTTCCTTGTGGACAGGGGACTATAAATCTGAACAAGTGTCTTTTCTATTCTGACAGATAGAAGCCAAGACATTGGCAAAGTCCCGAAGCGTGACCCAGAACCTCCAAGGCACTTACGAGAACCTGGTGGCCAGCCTGAAAGACATCCCAGAAGAGCTCCGGAACAAGCTGTCCCAAACCAGCCGGCACATAAGGGAGCTCCACTCTGATTTTGTCTCAGCCCACAATTTTGGAGATTTGGCTGACAATGTCTTGAACAAGAGTTTTGCGATCATGGCTGAAGCCCAGGGCTCCATGGATGAACTGATGGAGTATGCTTTGCAAAGTCCCGAATCTCTCTTGCGGTTGAAGGACTACCTGCCTACCCCGGACATGAAGGAGGAAGAGGTGGTGAAAGATGCTCCCCTTTTCATGGAGAAAGAAGAGGAAGAGGTCCAATCTTCTCACAATCAGGAGCTGGAGCGGAACTCGTTGAAAAGCCAAAAGTCATACCAGCAAAAAGGAGGTGATGAAGAAACTTCTTCAGATAAGGAAGAGGTGGTCCAGTCTTCTCACAATCAGGAGTTGGAGCGGAACTCGTTGAAAAGCCAAGTGTCATACCAGCCAAAAGGTGGTGCTGAAGAAACTTCTTCAAATAAAGAAGAGGAGGTCCAATCTTTTCACAATCAAGAGTTGGAGGAGCGGAACTCACTGAAAAGCCAAAAGTCATACCAGCCAAAAGGTGGTGCTGAAGAAACTTCTTCAAATAAAGAAGAGGAGGTCCAATCTTTTCACAATCAAGAGTTGGAGGAGCGGAACTCACTGAAAAGCCAAAAGTCATACCAGCCAAAAGGTGGTGCTGAAGAAACTTCTTCAAATAAGGAAGAGAACGTCCAATCTTCTCACAATCAGGAGTTGGAGGAGCGGAACTCACTGAAAAGCCAAAAGTCATACCAGCAAAAAGGAGGTGATGAAGAAACTTCTTCAGATAAGGAAGAGAACGTCCAGTCTTCTCACAATCAGGAGTTGGAGCGGAACTCGTTGAAAAGCCAAAAGTCATACCAGCCAAAAGGTGGTGCTGAAGAAACTTCTTCAAATAAAGAAGAGGAGGTCCAATCTTTTCACAATCAAGAGTTGGAGGAGCGGAACTCACTGAAAAGCCAAAAGTCATACCAGCAAAAAGGTGGTGCTGAAGAAACTTCTTCAGATAAGGAAGAGGACGTCCAATCTTCTCACAATCAGGAGTTGGAGGAGCGGAACTCACTGAAAAGCCAAAAGTCATACCAGCAAAAAGGTGGGGCCAAGGAATCTTCTTCAAATAAGGAACAGGAGGTTCAACCTTCTGGCAAGCAGAAGACAGAGAAGCAGAACTCACTGAAACTCCAACAGGTCTACGAGCCAAAAGGTGGGGACAAGGAAAGTTCTACAAATAAGGAAGAGGAGGTTCAACCTTCTCACAAGCGGGAGATGGAGGGAAGGAGCATCCTCAAAATCCAGCAGGCTTACGACCCAAAAGATTGTGATGAGGAAGCTTCTACAAATAAGGAAGAGGAGGTTCAACTTTCTCAGAAGTGGGAGATGGAGGGACGGAACATCCTCAAAATCCAGCAGGCGTACGACCCAAAAGGTTGTGAAGAGGAAGAACCTTTCAGCAAGGAGGAAGTGGTCCAACGTTCTAGCAAACCGGTGGAGGACATCCTGAAAATCCAGGCGACCTATGACCCCAAGGGTTGTGATGATGAATCCTATACGGTCAAGGATGATGACGAAACTCCTTCTAGAAAAGAAGAGACCCCACCTTCTGGCAAAAAGGAGGCAAAGGAGTGGAATATACTGAAAATCTTGCAATCTTACACACCAAAATTTGCTGATGATAGATGGGAAGAGATGGAGGAGGAGGCCGCACCTACTAGCCAAGAGGAGGACAAAGAGAGGAATATACTGAAAATTCAACAGGCCTATGACCCAAAAGGTTGTGATGAGGAAGCTTCTATGACTGAGGAGGTTCAACCATCTGACAAGTGGGAGATGGAGGGGTGGAGCATTCTCAAACTCCAGCAGACTTATGACCCCAAAGGCTGCGATGAGGAAACACCTTCCAGTAGGGGAGAGGAAGCGGTCCAACTTTCTGGCCACGTAGTGGAGGACATCCTGAAAATCCAGGAGACCTACGACCCCAAAGGCTGCGATGATGAATCCTATACAGGTAAGGAGGAAAAGGTGTTCCGGACTTTTGGAACACAGGAAGTGGAGAATGATGAAGCTTCTTCTAGAAAAGAGGAGATTCCACCCGCTGGCAAAGAGGAAGCAAAAGAGTGGAAGATACTGAAAATCCTGCAAGCTTACACACCAAAATTTGCTGATGATAGATGGGAAGAGATGGAGGATGACGGCGTACCTACTAGCCAAGAGGAGGACAAAGAGCGGAATATACTGAAAATTCAACAGGCCTATGACCCAATAGGTTGCCTCGAGGAAGCTTCTATGAATAAGGAAGAGGAGGTTCAACCTTCTGGCAAGTTGGAGACAGAGGGGTGGAGCATTCTGCAACTCCAGCAGACTTACGACCCAAAAGGCTGCGATGAGGAAGCACCTTCCAGGAAGGGGGAGGAGGAAGTGGTCCAACATTCTGTCAAAGTGGTGGAGGACATCCTGAAAATCCAGGAGACCTATGACCCCAAAGGCTGCGATGATGAATCCTATACAGGCAAGGAGGAAAAGGTGTTCCGGACTTCTGGAACACAGGAGAATGACAAAACTCCTCCTAGGACAGAGATCCCACCTTCGGGGAAAGAGCAGGCAAAGGACTGGGATATATTTCAAGTCCTGAAAGTTAATATGCCTAAATTTTCTGATGATGAATCACCTTCCAGCAGGAAGGAGATGGAAGTCCCACCTCCCAGCCAAGAGGACAAAGAGCGGAATATACTGAAGATTCAACAAGCCTATGACCCAAAAGCTTGTGACGAGGAAGCTTCTACAAATAAGGAAGAAGTTCAACCTTCTGGCAAGCAAGAGATGGACAGACGGAACATCCTCAAAATTCAGCAGGCTTATGACCCAAAAAGTTGTGAAGAGGAAGCACCTTCCAGGAAGGAGGAGGTGGTCCAATCTTCTGGCAAGCCGGTGGAGGACATCCTGAAAATCCAGGCGACCTACGACCCCAAAGGCTGTGATGATGAATCCTACACGGGCAAAGAGGCAAAGGTGTTCCGGACTTCTGGAACGCAGGAGAACGACAAAACTCCTTCTAGGACAGAGATCCCACCTTCGGGGAAAGAGCAGGCCAAGGACTGGGATATATTTAAAATCCTGAAAGTTAATACGCCTAAATTTTCTGATGATGAATCACCTTCCAGCAGGAAGGATATGGAAGTCCCACCTCCCAGCCAAGAAGAGGACAAAGAGCGGAATATATTGAAAATTCAACAAGCCTATGACCCAAAAGCTTGTGATGAGGGAGCTTCTACAAATAAGGAAGAGGTTCAACCTTCTGGCAAGCGGGAGATGGACAGACGGAACATCCTCAAAATCCAGCAGGCTTACGACCCAAAAAGTTGTGAAGAGGAAGCACCTTCCAGGAAGGAGGAGGTGGTCCAACCTTCTAGCAAACCGGTGGAGGACATCCTGAAAATCCAGGCGACCTACGACCCCAAAGGCTGTGATGATGAATCCTACACGGGCAAAGAGGCAAAGGTGTTCCGAACACCCGACAAGGTGCAGAATGACAAAACTCATTCTAGAAAAGAGGAGAAGGTCCCGCCTTCTGGCCAAGAGGAGGCAAAGGACTGGAAGATACTGAAAATGCTGCAAGCTTACACACCCAAGTTTTCTGACGGTGAATCGCCTTCTGGCAGGGAGAAAGCAGAAGTGGTGGTGGCCCCACCTCCTCAAAGAGAGGTGAGGGAGTGGAACATACTGAAACTCCAACAGGCCTACGACCCAAAAGGGTGCGACGAAGACTCCTCCAACTACAGAGAGGAGGCCCAGCCTTCTGGCAAACCAGAAATGGAAGGCTGGAACATCCTCAAAATCCAACAGGCCTATGACCCAAAGGGTTGCGACGACGAAAGCCCCAAGGAGGAGTTCCAACATTTCGGCCAGTGGAACCTGCAGGGATATAACATACTGAAGATACAGCAAGCCTACGACCCCAAAAGCTGCCCTGATGATGATAAATAAGTCAAGACTCCGAAAGAGCAGAGCTACACACTTCTGACCCCAATGAAGCCGGCAAACTGGGGTGGATTTCACTCGAAAGGCTTGCCCGAGTTTTCCAAGGGACGGGTCTGGGGCTCAGTCACTGAAATAAGAAAGGCAATTTGGAACTTCGTTTCGGCCATAGATGTGTTTTGCTTGGGCAGTCCCTCCCTCCCCCGCTGGGCCTAGGCCAGCAGGACAATGACCATGGCTGGCTGGTGGTGGTTTCTTCTAAGAGGTACCATGTGGCTTGCTTGTGAGAGCAATTTCCTAACAATGCGAGTCTGCTAGAAGGTGCTGATGGGTGGGTTTTAAGTCTCTGGGGAGTAGAGGGCCAGACTGTAGGCCGGGTGGGGTGGAGGAATTCCCTCTCACAAGACGGAATGGAATTCCGTCTCGAAGATGGGCCATGGGTGGTTTAGCTGAGGTTCCTGCCTCGCAGGGGGTTGGACGAGATGACCCTCGCAGTCCTTTTCCAACTCTACTATTTGAAGAGGCAGTGATGGCCACTAGCTCTGATATCTTTAAAAGAGGAACGGACAAAATTCGTGGAGGAAAAGGCTAGTAACCTGGGATGACCATCAAACGCAAGTAACGCTTCTGAGCATCAGCCGCTAGAAACCACGGGGGGTGGGAGGCGAATGCTCTTGTGCTTAAGTCCTCTTTCTGGGACTTCTTATGGGCCACTGTGAGAACAGGCCACTAAATGGGCCACTTACGTCCTTACTGGACAACTTATCCCTATTTTATTCTTGTAACCCTGCAAGATAGGCTCTTACGCTGTAACTCCCCACCCTCCCTGTTTCGGCTGCAACTGATGCTTCTTCCGGTACACCCATCTTCTGAATGACATTTTCAGGCAACATTTTCCCGCTGCTTCTGTGTCCCGTCTCTTTTTGGCTGGTTGGAGCCATTTCAGGGGAAAACAAAAACATGGGGGGGGGGGGAATCACGAATTAGAAATGTTACCATAGGAATCAGTGGAAATCATGGACTCGTTATACAAACACTTGCCTGGCAAATGATTTCTAAGGAATGCACTGTGTTCAGGAAGTGAGACCTGTGTGTTTTTGTGTGTACAGTGATACCTCGGGTTACAGGCGCTTCGGGTTACAAACTCCGCTAACTAGGAAGTGGTTGCTCCAGGTTAAGAACTTTGCCCCAGGATAAGAACAGAAATAATGCACCAGCGGGAGGCCCCATTAGCGAAAGCATGCTTCAGGTTAAGAACCGTTTCAGGTTAAGAACGGACCTCTGGAATGAATTAGGTTCTTAACCCGAGGTACCACTGTATATATAATCTGCTGTAGTTCTTATAACAGCATAGTGAGAGCACGCTATAGCTGTGCTGGTTGGGTTCTGAAGGGCACCAGGTTAACAAAAACGGAACTAGAACTTCGATTTTACTACCTAAACATATATAGAGCAAGAATTAGTAATGACTTGAGACGGCATCAAACCCAGCGCATGACTTAAACCACCCGAGTAAAGCCCTGTCCATTTCAACAGGAGCAGATTTTGACCAGGCTGCGTGCCCTTTAGGTTCAACCACTACCACTTCCTTCAAAAGTTAGTTCTGCACTGAAGGAATGGGTTTCCCAAATCTAAAACCTGACTGTGCAGTCAGTCTGAAACGGGCTCCAAAACCCCATTTTTCCTTCTCCATTAGCTAAAAACCATTAACTTGAGCTCTTGAGCAAATGTATAACAGGAACACAGCTGTATAAACAAAGCTCTCTCCTTTATCAGTCCGTGACGCCTAATGAATGGCCTTGCCAGTTCAAAAGTGGAGCAGGCACGACACGTCTGGGTCTTATCTTACATCCTGACTACACTGACGCACAGACCTTGTCAGCCCCCCGGGAACGGCGCCAGGGGTGCTCTCAGAGTTGGTGACCTTCTTACCCCAAGATAAGGAATACAGGAACAGGAACACACTTTTATGGTTAAGAGTACAGGAGCAGGAACATCTGTGATGTCAACTTACGTGTATAAGCTTACGTGTCTGGATTCCTGGGGAAGGGGGGAGAGGTTGCCTGGAGGTTATATATACTGCTTGGAATCTCTCATTTCTTTGGACTTGCTGTGGACTGACCACGCAAGTGCCTTCTGCTATCCGGAGAGCAGAATAAACTCTTTCTCTGAACCAAAACCTCGGTGTCATTTGACTTCCTTCCTCCCGTCCGGGAGCAACGCTCACCCAACCAATTGGTAAACTCCAATAAGGCTATAGCACTGCTTACCACACTCCTCCTTATGCTCTGCTTTCAATAATTCTGCACAAAGGTTACTCCCTCCCAACACTCAGCAACAGGACTCTTCTTCAACCTGTATGAATTACGTAAATTAAACCATTTCTCTTACCTTCCCTATTTTGTTCTTTTCCCCCGCAAGCAGTAAGGAGCCACAGCAGGAACTGACCCATCCAGACACTCTGGAAGTGGTATTCAGTAATTCTTCTCACAGATGAAATTTGCTATTACTTGCTTCGAAGCTTGTTTTAACAACAAAGGGTTGTCTCCAATGCCCGTCCTACTTTTAGCAGACCCGCCGAAATTAATGGGCACAGCTCAGTTAGGTTCATTAACTTCAATGGGTCTGCTCTAGCATTGGAAAAGACCCCAAACCTAAAAGCTGAGATATTTTGAAAGCATGATTCTGCAGCCAATTCAGCTGTTCTCTCTCCTGTGTTCCACAACTGACAGTCAAAACACTCCTCTTTCTTATCAGACAGGAACATCTTTATTTCATGGTTTCCAAAAACAAAATGATGCTTCAGACAGTATTTCGGCAGTTTCATCCTCTAATCTGGATTCCGCCTGGATAAAGCAGTTTGGAATTAAGTCTGCTTCAGTTGTTTAAAAAATAGGAATAATCTGAAACTCACGCAGAGCCTACTGTGCTCCAAAAAGCCAAGACTCTCTTCCACTAACCTAAGGAGAGGGGGAAAGAGAGACGCACGGAGGAACACAGACTTCGGAAGTCCCATGAGAAGGCGTGGCCGAAAGAGCCAACCGGCACGCACAGAGTGCCCTGTTGCATTTTGGGATTTGCCAAATCAGTAGCAGGGGTGGTGAGCGAGTGGAAAGCCAACAGGACAGTGACATGTGAAGAAATGGCATCTTTGCACCTGTGTGTGCAGGTTTTTGAGCCACGCTGTCACCTGCAGCCTTGGGGGGGGGGGGGGGCAGGAAGAAAATCTGTGCTTTCTCAAACTGGCCTGCAAGGCACTGCTAAACGGAAGCCTCTATGATGCATTTGTCAAGGCTGACCTGCCTCTTCAGAGCTTCTCCATACTTTGTCGCTCAATTGCTGCCCAAGGTAGTTGCTGGCGCTAAGAGCTGGTTGCAGAATTGACTGTGCTGCTTCACACTCCAGTCTGAATGCTTCCCCTTGCCTAGTAAGCTAGCTAGCCAGTCTCCTACCTACTCCCCTGTGGGGTGTGTTTTCTACCTGCGGAGAGGTTTTTTGGTTTTGGTGTTTTTTTTTAAAGACATAAAAAGACCAACACCACCACCCGCCCAGTAACACAGCGTTTGAAAAACGAAATGAAAATGCAAAACTGCTCAGCTAGTTTTGCACACACCAATGTCCTGCCTCTCCTCCTGATAGGGTTGAGACCAGTCTTGTGTTAAGGAGAATGAGATGGTAGGATTCTTTCAGGGGAACACTTAAGGGGCAGTCGGACACAACCCACACAAGGAGTTTTGGCTAGGCCGAGGCTGAAAGGCCAACAGCCCAGCGTTCTAGCCAGGCATTCTGATATCTTTGAAGCAGTGCATGAGAGAATTATACTGTGCAGAAACGGCCCCGTATCAGCACAGTAACACTTCTTGAAAGGCCTCTCTATCGCGGCTGGAGAGGGTGGCGAACCAGCAACTATCGTAAGCAGCAGCGTCCCAAGAAGGAGGGGAGGCACAACGGTGACAAAAAAGAGCTGGGAAAACTCATCTAACACAACTCAGAATGGAGGCAAAATCAAAGCTGGATGCCCTGCCAGGGCAACATAAGGAGAGGAGCCCAGCAGGATTTTACAACAGAGAAAGAGAACCTTTGGCCCTCCTAGATGTTGCTCAACTACAAATCCCATCAGCCCCAACGGCCAACATTGATGGAATCTGTAGTTCTGCAACATCTGGAGCAGCGAGTGATCACTACGCCTTGTTTGAAATGCAAAACAGTCCAGACCCAGCAGAAACAGAATTCGACAGGCGTCACCCTTGAAATCTGAAGCCACGGACCACCGCAACCCTGGGGTGATTTAAGCACAATCTTTCTCTTCTCTCCCCCCCCTTCCTTTCCCCCCCACCGAGAAGAGAGAGAAACTCTAAATAAAGAAGTTTGACAAGGATGAATGGCATTTTCTTTTCATTAAAAAACAACCCTTTATATATTCATTTCACGTCTGTTGAAATCACAAGAGTAAAAGGGACGGGATGGGTGGGTGGGTGGGGAGAGACTGGACAGAGAGTGGGGGAAATCAAAAACAGGAAACCAATACAAACATACATCGGTTGTGGGGCTGCCCCAGAAGTTCATAATTCTCCAAGGAGCGATAAGAGGACTGGGAAATGGGAGGGAGAGGGAGAGGGGGAGAAGAGGGCTCAGGGAGGAAGGGATATGACTTAGGAACAAGCTTCCCCAACCAGGTGCCCTCCAGGCACTACTGGACTGCAACTCCCATGAGCCCCCAGCTAGCATGGCCAACGGCCACGGGAGACGGGAGCAGAGGTCTAGGAAACGAAACGGAACCCGCACTCTGGGGGGCACCAAGTCAGGGAAGACCGGCCTAGAACGTCATCTACTGTGTGGCTTGGAAAAGCATCTCTGAAAGACAAGGCAAGGCAGAGACCTCGCCTCCCCGGGGGCTGCAAGCGTCACAACCCGTCCGGCGCTGCTTCTTTGCAGGGGCCTCCCCCCCTCGGTTTCAGCTCCCGTCATCTTCCTCCACGGAGTCCGACTCCATGTGGATCGCCTCCCGTTCGGCTCCTGCCCGCTCCGTCGCAGAATAGTCTTGCGTTCTGCAGTAGCACAGAGAGGAAGGGGTTGGGAGACAAGGTGGGACGAGAACGATCTTCTACCACCCCGAGGCAGGAAAACCAAGGTTTGGGGGGCAGGGGGACCCCTGAGGC